ACATCGGCATGTCGCATTTCTTGGTCTTCCCTTTATGGTGCCTATCCCCACCATGACCTTCATGGAACAATGGATTCTGAACGAGGAAACAGACGACGCGTCTGCCGAAAGTCTTATTCGATAGATCCTCCTTCTCCTGCGGCCTCACGAACGCTAAAAACGATGCTTGATACGCCGCGCCGTGCGCGCCTTCTTGCTGACGCACGCCACACAGCTGGCAAACTGCCTCGTACGCAGTTATTTAAGATACATAATGTATCTAAAGCAACTGGCTATCGAATCATAAAAGAGGGTACTGCGCGCAGCAGCGAGAAAATCCATAATCGAGGCCGAAAACGAGTACTTGCTCCACACGAATGTGAAGCTATTGAGGCCGTTGAAGATGCCAGTTTTGGCTTTGCTTCGTTAAGCCACTTTAGGGTGGCACAGACTATTGGTATAGCAAATGGCTCTGAACGTGTAATTCAAAGAAATATGAAGGATTTTGGTGTGGGAACTTATATGGCTGCGCAGAAAAAAATGCTCTTATAAGCATATATTAAAGCCTGAATTATATAGGGATTTGAACGTCAATATTAGTAATTAGATACATTTAAGAAGTTTCGATAATGTGATAAGTCCTATTTTGCTACTTACTTACAGCGACAGGCTCGAATTCATCATTAAAAGGGTTTTGAAGCTCGAAATGCTCTCTCAAAGACCTAATTCAAGTTGAAGCGCCAAAATCAATCCGTACACGTGTATAGCGTTATTAGATAGAATTTCAAGGGTCAGCTCCACTTCTATACTGACTCTGATATAGGGGGACGGCTTGTTCAAGCTGACTATATGGTTATTCTAGAGCAAATCGTCGCTCCTGAATAGGATAAGGATCGCGTTTTAGTCGAAGATAATGATGGGCCTCATAGTACCAAGGGCAAAGGTCTTAACAAGGTTAAAGCACTCAAGGACCTTCTAGGGATCAAATGGGATATGAACTCTGCTAATTCGCCAGATCTCAACCCTATTGAGACTATCTAGAGGATAATAAAGCAGCGCTTGAAGTCCAGGGGGGTTATCTTCAAAGAAGCTGTGCTGCGTCAAGCTATCCAGGAAGAGTGGGATAAAATAACCATTGAGGAGATTAATAGGGCTATCTCAACAATGCCAGATAGAGTAGCTGCCCTAAACGAGCGAAATGGGCGCCCTATCCCTTATTAAATAGCTGTGTAGCATAGCAGGAATCTGAGAAGTCTCATAAATTTTGGCGCCAAGCTTCGGCCCGATGAAAAAACCCAATATGGCCCCTCTCTGCTAGACATCCATCTATCCACCTTGCACATCATCCGCAAATTTCTTATTCCAATCCCCACCATTCTCCTCCCACTGCAGCACCAGTCTAGAAGTCTTCACTACCCACCCGCCGCATAACCCGTCCTCCATCGACGTCGTTGCTCTGTGCACTCTGTCCATCCATCCTTATGGCAGCTAGAAGGCCCAATATCGAAAAGGGACAAGCGTAGTGGTAGTAACATGCTATGGATGTAATTAATACTGCTTCAGAAGATAAGTCACGCCAAATACTCCTGATTGAATGTCTTGTCGCTTTCTCCACTGCTCATCATTGTCGCTCCATGTCTTCTGCTGGACTTGCTCCATACCACGAGAGTGGGCTGGAGTATCATGCTCCCCCCCCCACTCCTGTGATTGCGGATTTTCGAGAACTGAGAAGACCGGATCTCAGAGACTGACGCGGGCCCGTTCATTCGAACGCAAGGCTTGAAAGTCCTGTTGAAACAAGATCAGCAAGCCCCGGAGCAAGCGTTCCAGGTCCAGGTGACTCCCGATAGGGTAAGGCCTGCTATACAGAGCCGGTTGATTTCGGTTATCGTCGATTCGGAGCTGGCAGAAATATGCAAAGCGGTAGACGCTTATCAAAAAATGGCTGGCCTGGTGGTAGGAGAGTTCGTTCTATCTACTCTCCTTGCTTTCCTTTCGGACGCTCACACACATGCCAAAGCCTGAGGAAAACGAAGCACGGTGGGCCTGATCAGCAGAAAGACGAAAGCGGCTTTCAGGACAGCCTCAGTGCTTGCCATCCGTTCACCTGGTGCACAGCGTGCGAATCACCTGAGGAATATGCCGCCAAATGTAACAAGTGGCGTTTCGAAGGTTTTCGGGGAAGAAGTCGTTCAAGAAGCATGGGTGTATGACACCAAATTTGCGTTGCTTCGAATGTTTTCGTTGTAGGGTTACCTCGTAGTCCGTTACATGAAAGTCCTTGATCATGACAGCATGAGCTCATCGATCCAGGCTATGGGCTGGGGATAACATTGCCTGCGTTCGTATAGGGCTTGGAGGACTTTCCTCCAAGAATAGGTCGAGGGAGAGGTCTAGCTTGCACGTAGATCGTCTTCAAACGTAGTTGGTAACTCTGTGCTATACAAGCGACCCCATCGGTAGGTTGGTGAAGTAGTCCCCTGTGTGACTGCAGAGAACTAGGCCCCATGGGTTCGGTGTCGGGTACCATACAGCACTGTCTTTTTTAGGATTCCAACCTCGTAGCATATGGCACACAGGGTTGCGCGAAGGTGGAGCCATCTCAGGTCGCGCATAGAACGTTCGCTCTTCGTAATCGGAGTTCCTAGAGGCTCGGGCATTAAGTCATTGAGTAACAATCGGAATGGGCTCTAGCCAGTCCCAATTCGAAGCGGCGAAGCCAGCGTGCGGAAAGATCTCTACGTCAAACACGATTGGCAACATAATGACAATGTTCCTAGCAGGTCCAATGTAAATCGTGGTAGTGCTAACCACGCGGAATCGAGTCCGCCAAGCTGACTATGTTACAGTGCGGTACATGAGGTTGATATGGTGTTGAAAGGCAGGCAACCAGGACGAGACCTGCTTCATCCGTTCTCATTTCTTGGACCGAGCCTACAAAGTTAGATCCATTGAAGCTGGACTGTTCTGCGGTGAAACATGGGAGTGCTATCATGAGTTCACAACACGTAGTCTGCGGCGATGTCAGTTCACTCACTGATGGTCCAGCAAAGTACCCCAGGATCCGGACCACAATTGTGTGAATGGATCAAACATCCTCCCGAATCCCGACCGCCCAATTTCAAGAACAAGCTCCGATGAACATGGCCCTAGCATTCTTCGAAATAGCAGCATTTACATGGAAGCTTGCAGGCTACCTTCGACATTCAAGCATGGCTCGCTAAATGGAAGCATTGCCCAATGAGAGACCTGTTGAAGCGATGTCTTCGTCCTCATGACCATAGCAGCTTCATGCAGCTAATGGAGAAACATCCCTGCCTATAAGGACAAACTCGGATCTTCTATGATATGCAGACGGCCTCGAACAACAAGCATCGTCGTCTTCAAGTCTCACCATCATCTCACTCGTATGTTGGTGCGTCCTATTGATGACCTGCGGACACATCAGAAGTCCTACCCTTGTGATCGGGTAAACTGAAGGGAGCACATCTTCCGCCGTCATGGAGGTCATGGAAGACATAAAGGTGTGGTTGGCACCCTTTACAACACAAGCCAAATCGGCACGACCACAACTGCAAAGGACGACTCATTAGAACAATCCGCGAAGAAGTAACATTGCAGGTGTCCGTAACGTCCCAGACTACCACATGCCATGACTGACATTAAGGAAAGTTCTTACTGAAAGCACATTGCAACTCAACACGCGGCTTTCTGCTGTCGCTGGTCTGGCAACCCTTTTCTTGGCGTAATCGGCCACCGCCGGCTGGACTTGATAAGTTGATCTAAATACACCGGAGTCTCCATTTCTCATTGGGTTTGGGTCATGGCGTGAACCTAACAATATGCCTCACGTCGTTCAAGGGTCAGGCAACAAGGCTTGTGCAGTGTTCAACCACGGAAGGGGCCAAACGTTCGACTGGGATCGCAGCGCTGACAGCGACTGCTGCATCAGGATGTATATCAGCCCCGACTGCTCGGGCGATATTGCCGGGTTCTCGTGTTCAGACTGGCCCAACCATGTGTCCAGTGTGGACCTTTTCTCATACCAGGTCACCAACTGTTAGAGAGCAGTGACTTGACCCAGAAGCTTGATGGATGGATGGTTGGTTCTAGTAATCGCATTCAAAAAGCGAAGGAACGTGCTCAGTCTCGAGAGTGCTAGGGTAATTGTGTCATTATTTGGATCTAAGTGTGAGTAGGGTAATCCTTGTGCTGAGTTCATTGCTTGTTCATTGCTTGTTCGAGCCTGGACATACCTTGCTTCTCTTGCGGTGTGTAATAGGTGTGCTTTGTGATAGAAGGCGTAGCATGCAACTACGGGCAAATCAATAAGCAAAACGAGGTACCTTCAAGTCGCAGGGTCGGTTTTGCTAACACAGGCAGCCCCAACACATGCTAGCATGTCTGCAGCGTGTAGCACGTAATAACTTTTTGCGAAGGCTGCACCTAGAGGTAGCCCATGGCGGACTTGCAGCGCGTTGGAGCATAGAATTGAGCATTCAATCTCCACGACCAAATGATCATCAACTCGTTCAAATCTTCATCTCTCCGCCCTTGCTTGGCTAGTCAGAGTAGCGACAGAAGCGGAGGACACCATAGATGTGGAAGTTGGATCCTTGCATCCAAACCAACCTGGCGTATGACATGTAGTTGTTGGCGCTGATACTGATGCTGTAAATGTACTTATAGAGGAAGACGTCTTATCCAGACAATGCCACCATCCGGGCGTCCTGCAGGTTTGGGTACGTGTATGTGATCTGGAAGACGATGTTGGGGTAAGGCTTGTCGAGGATGCAGTTGTTGTCGTGGTTGTGCCATCAAACTTCCAGTTGAAGCAGTCGACACACTCAGCATCTTCAGGTTCACAATTCGGAACCTCCCCATACACTTTGATCACGTTATTGATGACTCCTTCAATGCCATGATGGCCAACGCTCGCCCACCATCCTTTGTCTGTCACGGTATCATACACACATCTTGCACCGGTGTGACACTGTGACTCGAACGCATAGCCCCATATGCTGCATAAAGAAAGAAGTGAATCGCATGAGCCCATGTATACCGGGTCGGCAGTGTTGCCAAAGTGAGAAACACCAGTGTGGGATCTTGTATGATGGGAGATGCTGCCAGGAGGCAATGGTAAGCCAAGACGCTCAGCAGCAAGTGCGTCCGGGGGCGCTTCGAAGGTCACCGCTGGATGACCGTAGGTCAAACCAAGTAAACTGCTTAGGGCCCCACCAAGCGAGTGGCCAGTTAGCCAAATGGTAGAGTCAGGATAGAGCTCTGTGACATTGCTGTAGAGATCAAGTGTAGCTCTGTAGTAATGATTCTCTGCGATGAGTTCTCTGATCAAGCAGTTTTTATCGCATTGGTATGTGTTAGTAGCGCAACTACAGACCTGATGCCAAAACCAATGCCCCTGTTGTGCACAACAGCAGCTGAAGAGGAGATTGTCGTTGATCTTGTCGTTCGTGGAAGTCCCTGCACCCTCAAAAATAGCTGTCAGGAGTAAGCTTTTTGTCCACCCTCAAGTGAATTGGGAAAGGCTAACCCCTTTCGGTGCCTTTGATGGCGATGACTATGGTGGAATTGCCCTGGTCAGCAAAGATATGTCCTCTTATGCCATCGGATTGGAAGCCGAAGCTCCGTGACCGATTGAATCCGCCAGTCCAGTTGAGCCATGCAGGATCATCAGAAGCAGGAACATATGCATCAGAAGCCATGACGGCGAGATTGAGGACGGTCTGCTTGTCGGTGACATTGGGCCCGGGAACATGCTCTGATATCCATTCAGCTGCTTCTAGGTCCGCAGTTTGGCCCTGATATTGGGCATTTCTCAGCAGGCTTTCTACCCTCAACGGCTGCCGGTCCAGCAACCTGTCAATGAGAGTGTTTTCGGAGCTCGCCAGGAGTACCGGTAGTGTGGGCGCATCGTTGCCATCATGCACAACGTCAATCCTGCGGTGAGTTTGGGCGCCAAATATCAGAATGTGCTTGAGCGACTAATAATCCCTAAGCGCAAACCCAAAAAGTGTCCTGGCCTCAAACTACTTACGAACTGATGCACGTTGGGTCGCTTCGACGCTGGGTCGAGTCTACTGGGGTGTCCATCGAACCGTAGTTGGTCTGAGAAGGAAGCTGCCACAAAGGAAGATGTGAACGTGATAAGGAGTGACAGGAGCTTGGCAAGCATATCGCAATGCCGGCTGAACTTTCTCTACTGCGGGCCTTGAGTGTCAGATCTATCCACACCAAATCATGTTCAGTGAGGGCAAAAAGGCGAATATGAAAATCGTGCCCAATGGCCGAGGCCCCGAAATCGACCGTATCTGTCTCACCAACACATCAACTCACCAGGATAAGGCTGAGAGCACCGACCACAACTGCTGACACTGACGGTTCCTTGGAGGCAGCCAGCGATGTCAACAAGCACCAGCTTCTGTCACAGCAAAGCCACCGATACCTTTAGTATTGACGGGGTTTCTTCTGTCTTAGCTGACTGGAAGGTAAAGCTCCTGCGGCGAAGATGTCTTAATGGTCAACCAGGAAAAGTTTGCGGGTTCGGCTGAAATAGTGAGCAGCCATTGGCTTTTCGGGGTAACTAGTTAGTCTAGGTGACCCATAACTCCGGAGTAATAGTACCACGTATCTTTCAGCACCGCCACATCAGGTTTGCCACTGATTAAGCCACCACGAGAGCAATGGTCCAGAGGCCCAAGCGAGAGGCCGAAGGGCCTCCGGGCCAACGAGGAACTGAACGAGGGTCCAATTTACACAATCTGGATAGGCAAAAAGACTATCCAAGATGCAAGATAACATTATCCATAAATAGCAGTAGAATAGAAAGAAGTTTGGCCATGACAGGCAGCCCTTCTCAAATTGCCTGCATGAGACACGTTGAAAACACTACCACAATAGTCATTAATGATGGTGATGATCTGGGAGCCTCACCAGGAAGTATCTCAAATCACTGGATAAACCTTGGGAGTTCTAGGCCTTGGGGAGCAAATCCGTCTAGCTTATCCATCTAGATCGAGGTAAGCATGCCCTAGACATCCCTGGGCATCGTGGGCATCCAGTTGATGCATCGCATTTCTGCGCCGCCCGGACCACTTGGAAGTCAACCCCGGTTAACCTTCTCTTTGACTTCGCTTCTTTGTCGATCAGATTTGGTGCTTGGGCCCTAGAGGCTGCACCTGCCTTTCCTCCTCTCCCCAATAATAATTGCTATGTATGAACATCATCGCTGCACCATCACCTTGACACCCCATGCCCATGCCCACGGCCTTGCGCCATTGTTGCAACATCACACCACGTCAAGAATTTCGACATCTCGAGTTGGAACTACCGCCTACTTCAGCGGCACAATGATCTTGTCCCATTGATGAGCAGCAATTCGTGTGGAGTTCGCCTAGTACGCTCACTACTCTCTTCGACCAGCTCGCCTGTCGGTCGCATTCAACCCAACTTTTGCCCCGTTTCCCCCCGTGTCCTAGTACCTGGAATATCTCGACTAAACATTCCTTTGTCCCCACCATCATCGTCCTTGTTCGCAAAATCGTTTGGTTCGCCGGGCCAATTCCTCCTGCTATCGGTTACACAGGATTCGATGATTCCTCAAGGTCCTTGTCTCGGCTACTACGATATGTTCAAAGCGACATAACTGCGCATCCCAGCCGTGCCATTGCTCGACATCTCTCACGACACAAGCCAACTCCATCTGTTTATATTCTTGTATAATCTCGCGCGCGGCTCGCACCGCATAGCAACAATCAGCGTCGGCCAATACACGGCCTTAGGTGGCTTTTCCAACGCGCAATACACGGCCTTAAAGCGGCTTTCCCAACGCCCACCGTGGCGGGAGCATACGCTGCGCAGTACTTGCCTCAGACAGTGTTTGGGCTACCTACCCCGTTGGACGATACGAACTTCGCCTCACATGGTGAACCCGGCATACAGATGGCCGCTGAGCAGCCGCGGCATGCACCGGGGAATGGTTTGCTGACTCCTGGTATTGTGGATGGAAGAACAGTCAAGCAAAAAGGCAAGCCGAATTCGAGAAAGACTTCGGCAAGAAAGTCGCCTAGCAGCTCTCATACCATTGCCGAGAGTCCTAGCTCAATGAATGGATCAGACAAGAGTCCCGGCGGTGGCACGGAAGCCGCCACGACCACTGCGAAACCGAAGAGGGTACGAACAGGATGCCTCACCTGTAGATCACGGCATCTCAAATGCGACGAAGGAACGCCTGTGTGTCAAAATTGTCGAAAATCTAATCGGGAGTGTGAGCGAGGCATCCGACTCAATTTCATCGACACGACCACACCTAAAGCACCCATATATCTGATTCCTCCGACGCATGATTGGCAAGTCACGTTCCAAGACGAGTCTCGTGAGATCGCGGACGAATACAAAGACGGTCTTGCCAAGTATGCGCCGCTGGAGAAGGAAGACCAGTATGACGTCCAAGCGGAGATGACCTACGACTTTTCGCAATCGATGGGCGCACCCATCCTGTCACATCAATCATTACCCCCGGTGGGCGCGGTGGTTCAAACATACCCTGAATCTCAGCAACCTCTTTATCCTGACCACCATCATGATTCCTATCAGCAACACCACCATCATAACCCGTCGATCACTACTTCGCATTTCTCGGAACCATCCCAACCCCCTACGCAATCCTACAACTCGGCCCCTACTATCCCTGCGGAGGAGGAGCAATGCCGCCCTGCTTTTGAGACGCCGCGGGAAGTGCTCTTCATGCAAGTCTTTGTCGAAGAGGTGGCGTTGTGGATGGACAGCATGGACGCAGAAAAGCACTTTTCCGAGCTCTTACCCTTTCAATCACTGCATCAACCTATGTTACGATACGCGTTTCTTGCTTGTGGAGGTCGTCACATGAATCTGATCAATCCAGCACAATATCCTGATGATGTGGCTTTGGAATACTATACGAAAGCCAACCAGCTTTTCTTACGTTTGTTGCAAAATCCTGATCGAGACACGGCTCTATGCGCTACGACGGCGGTAATCCTTAATGTCTACGAAGTGATGACCGAGAAGGCGCTGCAGCGGATGAACCATATCGCCGGCTCGCGTGCTTTGATCAAAGAATGTGGTTGGAGTGCTCGAAGTGTTGGCATTGCACGTGCTTGCTTTTTCTTGAACGTCGGGTTGGAACTCTTCAGTTGTCTTCACTTCAACTGGCAAGTCGCCTGGGATCCTGACGATTGGGGCATGGACATGAACATGAATCCGCAACAGCTTGGTGGCAATGAAGAAGTCTGGACCCACAAGATCCTTTACATTCTGGCCAAGGTTGCCAATTTCCGGGCATCAATCCCACGCTTTCGTGAGCAGACTACGGCGGCGGAGCAGTTGCGGTTGAATAAGAGGTTACAGATGTGGATGGATCTCAAGAGCTGGTGCGATCGATGGCACGCATGCATCCCCCCAACGATGCATCCCATGGCATATGTGCCACCGTTTCAAGCATCCATGAAGTCTTCTTTCCCTGAAGTGTGGCTCATCAAGCGGCCGACCATCGTGGCAAGGATGTTCTACCACAGTGCCATGGCTTTGCTTGGTGGCATTCATCCGGATGTCGGCATGGACCAAGAATACAAGGACTCCCTGGAGCAGATGAAGATCTATCACTCCCGGCAGATCTGTGGTATTGTTGCGCATGTCAAGGATCGGTAAGTTTCCACAGCCTGACCGTCTTCCAATTCATTTACTGACATCAACGACTTTCAGGGGCGTTGCCTCTGCTTCCCTTCGCTGTCTCGCCATCGCTGCTGAATGCCTTACCCACCGGCGTGAACAGGAGGAGGTCCTTGAGATTTTCGCGCGCATCAAACGTGAGGGCGGCTGGCGCATTCAATTCGTCATTGATGAACTCCATGAGAAATGGGGTTGGAACACGCACGATACGGCCATGTCGGGCGTCAACACGACGAACAATGCATCCAGCTTTTATCAGCAACCAGGCCAGGCGAGTTTGCCACCGCTACCGCCACAAGCACCGCCAGCGCCGAAGAAGCCGCCCAGCGGCATTGTGAATCCGTTGTACAGGAATGCGGATTTCTCGAAGCCTGACGCGCCGTACAAAAATTACTACGTTCCCCCAGCGCTGCCGCCCCCACCGCCGCCGCCGCAACATAATCAGCATCCATCCGGCAATCACGGGATGAGTGTGGCGGGCAGTGGATACGCATTTTCTGGGTTATCAGCAATATAAAGGAAAGCACCAGTTGTCTTGGAATACGAGGGTCTTGGAATACGAGGACCTTGTACGCTACACAAAGCGGGAAACCCCTCCCGCCCGGCTGGCGCCTCTGCGCGATGGATGCTTCAGTGCTGTACTTCTGTCGACAAGACCATCCGCGCCGCTCCAGCAGCCCCAGCAGGAGATGCTTAGGAACGGCAATGCTGGTTCGCCACCAGCAGGGAGACGCTTAACCCATCAAAGAGGCGGCCGGACCGCCATTAATGCGTAGAAGAAGTGTCCTTGAGGCAGAATCATAATCTACACACGATACTAGCAGCTGGGGAGAGGGACATGACATTATTCAGTATCATTTTTGACATATGTCTTGCGTTGTTTTGTCCAAGAGAGTACACTCTGAAGTTCAACAAGCAGCACATACTTGGAACACAGATGAGTCATGAATATCATGATGTGATCAGAGGATAGCATGGAAAGGTAATCGATACCCTCGGCGGTTCTGGTTGGTTCTGGTTGGTTTTGTGTGGGGGGAGTTATTACCGATGGTGTGGGGCGCTGCTGTTTCCTGTTTCCTGTTTCGGCCGGACATATCGAGCAGGTGGAGTGGACCAGGACTGAGGACTGGATGGCGTCAGCAGATCGGCGTTGGATCTCAGTTGGATCTCATCTCCGAGATCTCGAGCGGACCACTACTATAGTACGTAAATGTCACATCTAAGTTACTACTATCCCCGTAGTAGGTTTTGGGTCCGGAGGTCCAATGTCAGCATAATTGATTGTCCCTGCATATCATGCGCGAATGCAGGACGTAGTTCGGAGTATGAACACGAACCTTACCTTACATATCCTGCTCGGTTCCACCCTGCCACACCCACACCACCCACACATCACACACCACACACCTACGCCACACCCCCCCTAACCCCAATCCGAAGAAAGAGTTAGGCGAGATCAGCACGTGCTTGATCGTCCATCGGAAATGCAAATATCCAGGGCAGCATTGCAGATGATTACTAACTTAGTAGTAGTTAGTTTGACTGCAAGGAGGAACATGGTTTCACTGAGCATAGCTAGTTATAGACAGTATTAGACAGTAATAAATAGTAATAGATAATAATTAATAGTAATAAATAGTGATAGATCGTAATAGACAGTAATTTATAGTAATAAATAGTGATAGATAGTGATAGATAGTAATAAACAGTGGTGACGCGGACTGTTAGGAATGCCGAGCGGTACAGGGTGTATGAGATGGTTGTGAACCTTACATGGGAATTCCTGTGGATTCCCTCCTGTTCCCTCCGTAATCCAGTCTTTTGCTGCACGCTTCTCGCGTGCGGGGGGGAGCGCACGGTTCATACTCCTGACACGGACTTAGCTGGGACACAAGATGTATTATCTAAGCATTAGCGGTGCGACTTGGCCGACATGATACGAAGTACTAACTACTGCATACTGCATACTGCATACTGCATACTGCTCACTGCTGCGTGTTGACCGTGTCGCGAACCACATGACACATGAGACGTGTCTGGTCTGGGCATTGCAGCAGCCAGGAACCACGACTCCATTCTACCAGGTAGGACGAGAAGGAAGCACATGGCTGATGAGTTTCGCTGATGAGTTTCGCTGATGAGTTTCGCTGATGAGTTTCGTATGCGTATGCTGTTGTTTGATCTACCTCGTGGGTAGAGGCATTGCCAGACAAACAGATAGACAGACAGACAGACACCTGGTACGGCGTCGAGGTGGCTTCTTGTTGAATATCCAACTCTATCAGATCTCGCTCTCGCCCTCGCTCTCACTCTCTCCCTCGCCATCGTCGCGTCTTTCTTTCTGCTACGCTGCAACCTTTAAGAACCCCCCACTGAGCCCATGAAAGTATAAATCTCCTGTGACACCCGCCCCTGCCGGAGCCTTTACGGGTTCTTGACCAGTCTCGCTTGCCTCCACCTCTACGGCACGCGGCGTGCGCCTGCGTTTGAACTCAAGAATGCCTTCGAAGCGCGACGCAGCGCATCTTGCGCACCAGCCTACCGCCATCGTCGGCGGCCAGAGCCATAGCAGAGCACGAGGCGGCGGCGGCAGCAGCAGCAGCACCGGACGCGTAACCTCTCCGCGGTCAGGCTCAGCGCGAGTGCAAGCTCGAGCCTCCGCCTTGGACTCGGAATCGCATCCAGCTTCCACTGCCGGCCGGTCTGCCTCCCAGATCCCTCCTCCTCCCCTTGCTCGCCTCCCACGCAGCCTCCTCCCGCCGGGCTCAGCCTTCGACTCGGAATCGCATCCAGCTTCCACGCCTCCCGCGCGGTCTGCCTCGCAGGACCCTCCTACCCTTGGCCCGCTCCCACGCAGCCTCCTCCCGCCCACCGCCACAACAACCCCCCCTCCCGCCACCACCGCCACCGGATCCTGACGATTGGGGCATGGACATGAACATGAATCCGCAACAGCTTGGTGGCAATGAAGAAGTCTGGACCCACAAGATCCTAGGAACATATGCATCAGAATGGAGCATGCACACCGCGCGACGACGCCGCTCCCCGCCCGACGACGACGACAACAACAACGAAGACTCCGGTTCCGACTCCACCACCGCCGCCGCCGCCTACCAATGCCGCAACGTCATGCAGCATCTGCAGGTCCTGTGGGACCTCCGCGGCAATCGCGAGCGCTGGCTGAGGAAGTTGGCCGCCATACTCGAGCCGGAGGCGCAGCGCACTTTTGTCTTTAGGCTGGTGAGGACCTGGGAGGGGGAGGGCGAGGAGGAGGATGGGGTTTGGGTCGAGGTTGATAGGGAGGGCGGGAGTGCCGGGGAGAGAGGGAGGGGCCGTGCCGTTGAGGAGCGCGAGCGCGAGACGGAGAGGGTGTGGGAGGTGCTGAGGACGAGGGGGCTGGTGGCGTAGTGATCGTGGCTGGTTTTTCTAGGGCTGCGGTGGATGCGGGTGCGGATGCGGGTTCAGAAGCGGAGGGATGAGAGAAAGAGAGAGAGAAAATGCGCCGTTGTGGTGGGCCCTGCAGTCTGTGTTTCTGTGACATTCGTTTTACAGTTTCTTGAGACATTTGATCTTTCAAGCAATTCCCTTGACAGATCGCGTAGCATATGAAGCTGTCACTCATAACTCGGGCGGGCTGATGCATTGGAGTGGGTGCAGAGTGGAAGGGTGAAAGCCCCCCCTCGTAATCGAGCCCAACATTGTATGTGACCTATGTTCATTTTTCAAAAAGACATTTCCACCTCTCAAGCAGCTTCCTGACAGATCGCCAGCGATCCGTAGCACCAATGTCACGTCTCAAGTCTTCCTCAGAGACACCTTGCACGGGTAATGCTGCACCGGATGTGCTGCCGCCCCTCCTCGACCTGATACACCCGCTCCCCACGATACGTCTTCAATCTTGACGTGGATGATGAAGAGCATGGTCTTGTAGGTTGGCAGGATATTGCCCTGGTTCTTGGTGACGGATCGGTTGGGTTGGCCGGCTTGGCTCGTCCCTGCAGGGGCGAAGAGTCGCAGTGCCTCTTTCAGCATTGCGGTTGTGTATGGTAACCATTTGGCGAGATGAGGGTGTTCCTTCTGCATGTTTGGCGCTGCTGATGCGTCGGTTCCATAGACTTGATCGTGTTCGGCGCGGAGACGAGCTGGACAATCCGGATTCTTCGACAACAGATGAAGGCTGTAGCGGATGGTGATGCTTGGAGAATCATTGCCTGCAAACAGGAACAGGCCCAATCTGGCGAATTGCAAGGCCTCGGAATTCTGTATCAAGCTTCTCGGGCCTGTTGGCTGCTGCGTTTTCCGGCATGTATGACTGCAAGACAAGATCAATCACTGTCTTGCTGCGTTTGTTGCCAAGATCAGCTTTGTATTTGTGATGTCGTTTGTCGAGCTCCTCTCCAATATATCGATCCATCCGTCGGCCATTCCACCAATGAACAATCAAACGGGCGATGTCCAACCTGCTAAAGGGTTGACTTCAGAACTAGGTTGATGCCACCGAATCTGGCTCAACATGCACTCAGCTAGCGTGTTGTGGTCTTTTTGTGCTCCATATTTCAGCATTTCTACTCAAACGTCAGCGATGTTACAGGCCAAAGGAGGATCTGATGGCTTGGTGCCCAATGTTGTTCCCCCAGTCAAGTCCATGATGAACCGCAGAGTGATGGTGTCCAGATGAAACATTTCTCCATTCCGAGCAAAACCCCGCAAGGTCTCTGAATAGACAAGTGTCTCTTTGACTATGCCGGGAATCAGGGACAGAGTATGTTCGGCATTGAAGTCTTTGTTAAACACCGCACGCCATGGCTTCCGTTCTCTTTCTGGCGAGTCGAACAGGTTTGAGCCATCAGTGATTGGATAAAGAACCGGCGCAGGAGTGCTGGCCTCCCGGAAGAGAGGTGCGGGTTCGTTTGGGCTACTGAAGTGGCAGTGGTCGGTGAGACCACACAAAGAAATCCTTCGTTGAAGAAGAGCTCTCGAGCAATATCGTCAAACATGTTGGGCGGTAGGCATATGGACCGTTGTCATCCTCTTGTACTCCGTGCACGTTCATCATCGATGACTACCTTGGCTACTTCTAGGCTGTCCCATCATATTTGTGTGCATCAGATCTCATGCAGGAAAAGTGGGAGGGTGTGCCAAGCACAGAGCCGCACCAGCCGAATCGCTTAGTAATCCTGAGACACCAGTAACTAACGTTAGTTCAAACACAAGCACCAACAATCTCATCCTGCTTTCGAATCCTTCGCCTGCTAGTGCAAAAGGTAATTCATCGAGTTGGCTCTCATGCTCCTCCATATGCTTGAGACAACCAACAGAGTGACGAGAAAGCGTCTACCCGCCACTCACTGACCAGGCTCAACAGGGCGATGGCGAGGGCGATGCCTGTGCTAGACGCGAATTGGCCTGTAGCAAGTGCATCTTCACGGTATATTACACAACACCAAGTTGCAATGCGGACTATGCCGAAGCAAGTCCATTTCACTGCCAAAGCTAGATACGGCTGTTGGCTGTTTCATGATAGCTGACCATCTCAAAAATGGCTTAGCAAACTCAGCGATCCGATCCTTCGCGAGGTCGGGATATAGGACACTTTACTATGCTGGGGCCGCAAATGTCCAATGTTGGTGCTCTACCATCATCGTAAATTCGCCACTAGTACACGAGTTGGGCTTTAAAAGTTACAGCAGTCGTCAAACGATAAGTATCCGGCATTCCTTTGGCTTGGATGCCCCATTTCTGGAAAAAGCTGTCAGTGATGGTTGGGCTTTTACATCCCTATATAGCAGACGCGCTCTCCTTGTGGACCATGCATTATGTTGGGTCACCCTAGATCTGAAATCTTTCCCTCTTTCGCTTCTTTCGCGGTCACACCAAGTCTGACTTCTTCCTGCTTTGGGCGCTCGTACGTTGAGTACCTCGAAGGACTTACTTGGGCATTCGGTGGCCATGGGCCCCAACGATAACGCAGGTCGGATATCTAGACGCTCCTATGTTGTAAGTGTTCTCTCATTCTCTTGCACAGCCAATTGACTGACAATCGTCCTAGTCAGTAGTCCTGACATTATTCGCTCTTTGCCTGATCAGCGCCACTGCCCGCTTCTACGTCCGAGTCCGCATACAGAAGCAGGTCTCCATCGACGATGGCTTCTTGTTATTCGGCATTCTCTGTCTGGCCGCCGCAGTGGGCATCATGTTCGCCTTCATGGACAGTCTGTATATGACGCAAGCCATGCAAGAGGGGATTCCAGATTTGGAAATGCCACCCGATTGGTTACAGCGCACATTCGACTGCCACAAGTTTCTCGTCGTCAGCCTCTGTTTGACATGGTGCTCCATCGCCTCCGTCAAGTTCAGCTTTTTGTTCCTGTTCAGAAGATTGATAGATCGCATACCCCGTCTAATTATCTACTGGTGGATTGTTATGGTCTTCAATGTTGCAGTAGCCGGCTACGGAATCGCCGTGAATTTTCTTGCATGCCCATGGTTCTATGACATGCGTGCCAGTAAGTTGGGCCTAGACCAGGTTGGATGCAAGGACTAGAGACTTACAATATGATTAGTACAGTGTGGACGCGGATCCTACGTCCGTTTAGCAGAACAATTTGCGATGTCGCACATAGTCCTCGACATCATAGGGGATTTGCTGAGTAAGTGTCGATACCATAAGTTGTGGAATTTAGAGGCAACTAACTCTATGCTTAGTTCTGTATATACCCGTCCGACTTATTTGGCAGATTCGAGTGAAGTGGACCGAGAAGGCTGCATTGTCATTGTCGCTCTGCCTAACAATCGTGATCATCGCTGTCACCATAACTCGAGCTGCGGGACTGCATCAACACGAACGACTCGACACGGTATGGGAGATCTTCTGGCAAACAATGTCAGCCGAAGTGGGCCTCATCATGACTTCACTCACCGCCTTCCGCACCTTGTTCGTCGCTCGTTGTAACAACGATGAGAGACGCCCGCCACGGAACTCAAGCGAGCGCAGCTGGAGCTTCCGAAGCAGAAAGCTTCTTCGTCGCTTCTTCCTCCCATCCACATGGCGATCGAGAAGCCCGGGCCAGAGCTCTTCGGGGCAAAATGAACAGAAAAGTCCGGGCCAGAAGGAACACCTTCCCTCCATCCCGCGCGGGATTCTGACAGGTGTTCGAACTTTCATCGACGGCCGAGGAAGAACCACGATGGGTGCGTCTCGGATGATGCAGAGCACTATGGCTACGACAGACGACTGGCAGTATTCATGGCCCATGTCCACGAAGGTACAGGTTCGCCATGAGATCTCGTCCACGTCTGAAAGGGTATGTGGTTGATCCAGAACGGGGGAGTTGAGAATGGCTCGGTTCTGCTTACACGCTACTGCAGATTTCAGATGACGCCAGGCAACCTCAACCCGGTAGGGAATACGTCTAACCTAGGCCTCCGCCTCGAGTCTCCATTCCCCCACAGGCACTCACCTGTCGACTGCCAAGTGCACCGCCAAAAGATCTCACCAGCACCGATTTCACCACCACAGTGGGTGTCCCAATGTGCTGTGCACTCAACATGTCGCCGAGTCGAGTAGTACGCAGAAAAGGCTGACATGCACCCTGCCACAACCCCGACAGACAGCTCTTTGCCGACTCATTTAAAGGACCGGGCTGAGCAGTGCTCACAGTAAGCTCTTGCATGAATCCATCAGTCCTGCCTCAAAGCCGATCGATTCCTGCCTCATCACTATCTGCATATCACCCGACGCAGGCTTTCGAAGAACACTATAATTAGAGAATCAATCATTTCATAAGCCATGCATTCATGCACCAGCCTACGTTAGGTCATAAGAGCTTGCGAGCAGACGTGCTCTGGAAAGAATACCAAGCGACAGGTCCTCGTTAGGACGTAATATGTAAAACAACAACTTTGGGAGACCTTGACATCAAAGCAGAGACCGCCGCCCGCCAACCTGGCCCCCCCTACCCCCAGGCCGGCACCTGTCTAGACCGTGTGCACTGACATCCCAACCCACTTGCCCCAGACGACTGACCCTAGCAGCATCCGCCCTGTTGACGACAAAGTAGCTATACCCCAGCTGTGAACAGTCGCACGTATGCAGGCATGAACGATGCGGTCTAAACCCTACCGCTGGAGTCGGACTCCGTATACAAGCGTTAACGCAAACAAGGCACCCGAGCTTGCACATCGAGGCAGCCGAAAGAACCTCCGATCCTCGTAATTCGTCACAATGGGTGTTCGTTATGCTGTCTGCTGCTTGTATCCTTGTATCGGACGACGCTCTACTGCTCATATTGCTCGAACTGCCGGCTGCTCCGCCCTTACTGGGTAGGCCGTCATCCGACTCTCGGGTCTCGTGTGTGTGTTTCTTTCTCCTCCCCTCTATTTGCCTCTCTGGCGCCAGCATCGGTGAAATTTTATTTGTGAAATCAATATCTTTTTGTGGTTTCGAATGAGCATCTTTCCCTTTGAAAAAAGTATTCTCTTTTCTTCTGGTCTAACTCGTGAGCCATGCCGGGTCGGTCTGATGAAACTCCAATCTAGCAGAAGTGAATTGCGTTTGACTGCCGGATCTGCCGGATCATCGTGAATAGTGCAAGAGATGAGATGGGGTGGGTCCCCAGTATGATGGTGCAATCTTCACTAAATGACTCGAGGTCCCTCCCCTCTTGGAAACATCTTGCGCCAAAAAAAACCTGGTTGAGGGGACTAGAATAGACTTTAAGGTCCTTGATGCTCATGTCGGAAATGCGACCCAGCTAGGCATTTTCCTGGACGGATAGAGCGTTTCTGCGAGTGTAGCCAACTCAATGACAAGGGTGTATTTATGTCGCTGTCTTAGTTTGGCACTTGAAGACCGCTTCTGCGTCTGTGCATCCGCGGTAAACGGACAAGCTCCGTTATGAAAAAGGGCGCGCCGCAGATCTGATTTTGTGGAGCATTGTGAAATTGCATACATGCATTTTAGTCAACTGTGATTCAGGTCTGGAAAGGCTGTGCAAAATCAAAAGCCCAAGTCCAATCGTCCAGTAGTTCTGGAGGTAATTGGAAGTTCATGTTCAACGCGGTTGTTGGAGCACTTGAAACGGCCGAGCTGGGGTAATTGTTGTTGCTGTCGTGCTCTGTCCCATTACTGTCGTTGTTCACGCTGGTGAGGCGATCTGTTCCTGGATTCTGCGGGACAGCTTGATGAGCTTCCAGGTGCTGGGTTAGCGGGAAGCTCCGGAACGTTTGACTCCCTTTTTCGTGTATGAACTCATCGATTCTCTTCACCAGTGCCTGAAGTCGCTTACTGGCGTCTGTGGTTGCATTGACGCCAGAATCGATGTTTGAGAGGAGCTGGGCCATAGATAGCAGAACGTTACGGACTTGGATAAAATTTTGACCTGAAAGCGGCTCTTCCAGAACGAAGCCTAGTATGGATCCGATTCCTGCGAGATGGTGGAGTAGAGGAGCACTGATGGCTCGGAGATAGGCCACTGGTACCAAGGCAAATGCAGCCACAACTTCACTAGCTACTTGACATCTTTGCTCGATGGTAGCTCCGCCTGACGAAAAAAGCACCATGCGTAGCAGTTGAACTGTGGCAGCAATATTGGCAGCTTGAAAACTGTATCTGTCTTCCGTGTGGTTGAAAGTGATGGGTCTGGTTTGCTTGAAGCATTGTGGCAGATTGGCGTACATATGCATCACAGCGTCCAGGACTGAAGCTTGCGTAGCCAGATCTGTTACGCCAAAGACCTCGTGAAGAAAGTTCTTCTTTTTGAGTCTGATCCTGCTGGCTCGATAATGGTTCACCGCATGTTCCAGGATACGGTAGAGATCTGTGGTGAAATTCCAACCACAAAGCCAGCTCTTGGTCTGAATTGGTGCGCCAATTCGGCTTGGATTGGGTCCAATCACTGGAGGAGAATCTTCTGAAGCGGCATGGAAACCGGAATCGTCAAACAGTTCATCGTCTATCTCTGTGGGATAGAGGACATCGGAATGAGCTTCACGACCGCGCATGACACCGCACCACACTGTCGAGGAGTAGATGTCCAATGTATACATAGACCAGAACTATTTGTGCATCAGCCAGAGTACTTGGAAAGAAATGGTATACATACCAACCGTCTCCTCTCCTCCCTTTCTACGTGGCCCATGTCCTTTGGCCAGTTGGCCTCGTCATGCAGTCCGTCCATGGCAACTATGCTATGATATCTCCCGAGGTGCTGATGCATGGCGCGGATTTGACCATATTGGATGGAAGTTATGGCTAGCAAGGCACAGGCACGCATGCAATTATGGTCTTGTGCGGTCGCCAGATTGATGGGGATTTGCTCCTTGGCAGCATTGAAGAAAGTTTCTGATGCAACTTCGCTGAGTGACTCTGGAACAAAACGATTCGAAAAGATGGCACCATCCCGAGCGCGGGCTGAAGCCAATGCACAAACCCCCATTGTTGCAGCAAAGAAAAAGCGGTTTCTATCAAATTCGCCACGAGAAATCTTACGAAGGAATGTAGATCGATGGAAGAATGGGAATCTGTGAGGGTAAGAACTGCGCAGGAAGACAGGATTTCAATCAACAATACTCACATGGGATATATGACCTCGAAATAGACCTCTACCAGATCCATGATCAATCCTTGACTAGCAACATAAGGGGCACGCCATGAATCTGGATTAGACGGGTTCGAGGACGCTTGGGTAGCATTATTAACAGGTGGTGTTTGAGGGGTATGTTGTTGCCCATCAAGCCCATTCTGGTGGGAGAGCGATTCAGGTCTGGAAGGTTTGGGCTGATCTTCGAGGGGCGAGCTCGTCGCCGAATTTGATCTTTGACGCGCTCTGACGCCTCTTCTCTTTGCGGGCCTGTCGTAAGTGCAGGCTTGGTTGAAATCGACACAATTTTGACATCTCTTCCCATCACCTTCTTCACTGGCTCGGCAGCGGATGCTTCGATGGTGACAATAATCGCAAGCTCTTGAGATCCTTCTCACCTTGCGTGCGGCGTCGGTTACCAATGCCATACTTCAGTGAACAATAATGCTATCTCATAGGGTGAGTATCCGCTACATGTGTCCGTTAGGATCCATTATTCGGCGCAATTCGAAAAGCAGAACACCACTACATCACTACGTGAGGATTATGTCACTGAAGTGTGCCAAGATGAGTCCTTGGCGGTGTGGTAATGAGAACACGCTAGACCAGGTTCGGTGACGCCGCTGCAACAAGCAGAGTATGGTGCTGCAACTACAAGTTGCTGAAAGTCTTCCAAAACAACTCGCTTCCATCAGACATGACCTACCAGGCGTTCGAGATGACCTGCCCATCAGTATAATCAATCACATCCTGCACTGGGCGAAGATGTGTTCTGTCACCACCAAACGCTATGCCTCGTGTCATTGCATTTTGGCAAGTCTTGCCCGGGCTGACTTAGCCCAAGACATATTATTGCCTCGTCTCAACTCTGGAGGGTACTGGTGTTGACCTGCCGACGACAGCCTCCATCGCTTGCCAAGGAAACGTGATTACTTCCTTAGCATTTGCTGGTATTCCGGCCTTGTCGGGCATCATGGTCCTGGTGTCGGGAAACCGAGACTGAAGGTAGGAGGTAGTATTCCGTTCTTTGACACCTCCTCCGCATATGAAGATCTCGTCGATGTGATCTCCACTTGAAGGTCGGCAGTAGCGTTGACCATGATCCATAATGGCTTGTGCGCTGATTCGGGTCACAGTCGTTACAATATCGATTGGAGACATCTTCAACTTTGTGCCACGTTTGATCGAGTTATGTGTGATAATATCTCTGAATACCTCACGTCCTGTCGTCCGGGGAATAAGCAGCAAAATACGGATGTGTGCTCAAGAATTCATCCACGAGCTCTTGGTTGACATGCCCTGCAACAGCTCCTCCGCGTTCTTGTCGTACCCAATTTCACCTTTAATAAAACGACGCACAGTCGCATTAATAGAGACATTTCCGGGACCAGTGTCGGGATTAAAAAAATTCCTGATTGAGCTTGCCGTGCACATCTGGATGTATGAAGCAGACATTTGCAACCCCACCAGTATTCTGGCATGCCCAGAGCTTTTCGGATGGTGCCAGGAGCAGCGCATCAAAGACGGCAATCAGAGGGGCAATCTGATGACCTGCCGCTTGATCACTAACTTGCAAGGCAGAGATAGATGTGATGCCCGTCCCTGAAGCCAAGAAAAACCCTTCAGCCATGGTCATGGCTAATCTCGTTTGACCTTTTTCAGGCATTGACAAAGGTTAAATGGTCTACCCTTTGGATCCGAACACATCAACTTTGTCGAGAGGAACGTTGTGCTTCTTGAAAACTGCAGGACTGCATCTGTGAACACGTCTACTAAAATGACGTTAACTTCGGCCAGTTCCTCCGGAATGGTGGTGTTGTGGAGGATCATTTTCATGAAACATTTCTTGGTTACATGTGGCAAAGGTATCTCATCATACTTTAGCAGCTCCAAGTGCATGGGCGTGTCTGGCTCTTCTTCTAAAACGGCAAAAAGCTCCATCGATGCTGTCCATGAAAGTTCCCGGATTCAGGCCAAGAACAGTCAAATCGAGTGGTCCATGTGTTCTCATGTATGGGGTTCTACCAAGCGGGAATCTCCCTTAGAGAAGCAATAAGCAGAAGACGGAGAGGAGCGAGGGGAAAGTGGCGGCGACCATGTAAGCGTGGGCGAAGGACTCTTGCTAAAGGGCTAAACGTCTAAAAGCTACTCTTGGGTAGGGCGTTTAAAGCTTGGCGGCTACGATTGCCCTGGGGGGGGACTTCCTCTCGCCTATTACTACCTTATCTCCATCGAGGTGCCTTCAACCGTAAACTCCTCCTTGGCCTCCACCGCCGACAATTTTAATCACTTACTACGTAATGACCAACCATCCATAAATTTGGGCCATTTGTTAGGGGTTCTCCCCCTACCTTATGCATGTCCCGGATTCCACATGGGTATATCCTGCGACCTAACATGCTAGTCCCAGATGTCCATGGGCATTCTCCTGTGATAATCATGCAGATGTCAATGCCTGTTGACGCAAGGTACAATAAGAGCTTCAACTCCCTTCCTCCCCTTCTCTCCCCTAACAGCATAATCTCCATCTCTGATCACTACTATAATTTGCATCTATTATTCCCCTTATGGGCGTTGAAGTCACTTTGTCCTCTGCTCTCTGATGCCATGGTGATGTTGTCTCCCAACGCACTATGATAGGGTACAGTACAATCTGGAAAAACGTCTCCCCAAAGCAGCTCAATACCGCCACCCCGCCCTTCTTTCTCATCTCCAACTTCTTCGAGGGCTATGACCAAGGTGTAACGGGCGGCGTGAATGCTTCTCCTCTATATGTTACAGAAGTGGACGTTAGCGATCCTGACGGCACTGTCATCAAAATCACCACCCATGGAGAATCGTCAGTATTTATGATTTGAGATGCATTTTCGAATGCTCCGTTGGTGGATGAGCTGCTGATCGCATCGGCTGGCTCAACGGCGTCTTTTAGGGTTGCTCCTTCGCCTTGATTGGAGGTGCCTTGCGAGCAGCCACTCAAAACCTCGACTTCGTTCTGATTGCGCGTGTCATCGCTGAAATTGGAACTGATACCTTAACTGGCATCACCCTGGTCTTGATCTCCGAAGTCTCTGCTTCGGACCACCGCGGAGGTTTTCTGGGATATAACTTTATTGCCAGCTACCTCGGCATTTCTGTCGTCTCCTGGCTCTCTTGGGTCTATCTTCCTCAACAACGGCTAATCTGACGTCAGGTGGCGCTCTCTCCTCGCATTCCAGTGTTTGCCATCCCTTCTCCTAGCAGTCGGACAATTCGAAAAGGCAACACAGGCCCTGATCTGAATCCGAGGCGGCTTCACCCCAGCAGCCGAGGACAAATACCTCGAGATCTGCGCCCTAGCAGCAGACAGCAAGTCTGCATGACCCCTGCAATTACTAGCGCGTAGATCGTGGACCGTCTCGGAATCTCATCACCGCCATATTATACAAGAGCCCCCTCAACGACCCAGACAAGGTCGCACCTAACGCCCCAGCCCACGATAACCATGCTCTTCCTCTTCAGCCTCATCTACGCCGCCACTTGAGGCCACCCCGCATTCCCCATCCCAGCCGAGATCTTACCCTCCGAGATGCGCACCCAGGGAAACGGCTTCAACATCACGGGGTGAGCCATCGGCGTCGGCTGGACTGTCCTCGTCAATCCCATCATGTTCGGCAGAATCAAATCGCGCACCTACCTCCTCATTGTCGCATTGGATTTGATTTGGATCCCGATCGTGTATTTCTTCTGCCCGGAGACCAAGGATCGCTGTCTAGAGAGCATTGAGGCACTGCTTAGTTTCCAAGAGCCCCTTTTAATCCGCCGTGGAGAGAGGAGTGATCGCGAGAACGGGGATATTTTGGCCAAGTACGGGGGAAGGGAGGCGGTGGAGAGGAGGATCAGCATCATTTGTGTGCAGAGTGAGAAGAGGAGGAAGTCTCTGTTGGAAGGTGTGATCCTTTTTCCTGTATCTATCAAGCTATGAAGGGCTACGAATTGAGGATAGTTTGGTTCATATATTTACTCTATTGTAATTAGTACTCTATAGTGTATCTCTTTTACTCTTCTTCTCGTCACGATATAATACTTCGATAGCTAGTGATGCACAGTGGTGTTCTGCGTTTCTGGTTCGTCATAACCTACCTCATGCATGGGATAGCTCTATCACTCTAAGTAGAGCGCGGCGGTCCCCTCTATGCTTCGTGGTATGAGCAGAATTCACGGGTCGAGACGATGTTTTCTCCCCCCAATGATGCGCGCATGAATGGGCTACCCCAAGGAGGTACGCCCAGAGAATGGCGACAATGATGATGCGGGAATTCATGTGAAAAGCACCCACGGTGGTACCTCATCTCCACTGTCATCCAGCCCACGACTTTTCTGAGATGACCTTGATCCGTCGGAACCGAAGAAATCAATATCAGTCATTAGAGTCCCACTTCCGGGGCGAGGTTGACGCGCATTTTTTTCAGAAGGTAGATGAAGACGTTCCGACATGATGATGCTTGGAATAACTGCCGGACTGCGAGAAGGCTTGAGCGCTTCCGTCTCTGGTCTGAGCTGAGCGAACACGTGCGTTGCGAAGAAAAATCGAGATATAAAAGACTCGAATCCTAGCGCCAGCCTTCGGCCATGATCGACTAGTAGGATATCAGAACAAGAGCTTCATAATGTCCACGACTGCTGGCCGGCGTTGACTCCGAGGCTGTCTGCTTCGCCATGTCTGCTTGTATTAAAGTTCCAATTTCGATCTCCTGTTTGAGATAGAAGTATAATTCTCGACTCATGTAAGATGAGGACATCGATGTACTCACAACGTATCACCAAAGGAACGGGGATCTAAGGCAATTTGCAGTATGCCCCCTTCATAGGCTCTCCCGAATTTGAACCTCAGCTCTGACTGCATTTCGAGTAGAGACCAATTGGACACATGTTTTCAGAGGCGCGTGTTTATCTCTTGGTTTGCAGTTGGGACTTGCTAGTATCCAGGTATTTTGAATACTTCATGCCTTTTCTTTCCGGGTTTATGTTGAGCAAGCTCCACACGTCATACACCGGAAGGTTTCCAGACACTCCTCGTGGTAGTATCTGCAGCTGCCCAGCTCGGTGATTCGTAAATTGCACCAGTTGCGTGAGACTGTTGTTGTATAGTCCCCTTGGCAGTTTTCCATTCCAGGTTTCAAATCCCGAGTGGGCAACTTGATGTATTAACGAACCCTTTCGCTTCCTTAAGCGGATTTAGGAAGTAAGCAATAGTACCATCCTTATCGCCAATTGATTTCATTCTTCGGAACACGCTCACTAGCAGTACGGGTCCCGTTTAGCGTACCCGAGCCGCACGCTCCTGTCTGGCACGCCTTATCCTGGCGCGGGTCCGATTGTCCTCTAGCCGGCTTTCAGCTGCATAACGAGTAAAAGACGCAGCTGCCTTCCGAGCACTGGTTCTAACAAGTCGTCCCCCAGGGCTCCTGGGTACAGGGTCATTTACCTTGATTACTTCCTTTATGACACATATGAGTTCTGCAATCATAGACTTGTTGTCAGGTGTAATTTCACATCTGACCAACCCCTCTAGCTCTCTTCGAAACAGGTTGTGACGCGACTCAGGATCCTTACTCTGGTCCAGTATTCTTCGGACAGTGGAACCATATTCTTGGGGCCGTGGCATTCTTTCCATCTCTTTGATGTCGCCAGCAAGAGTCTGCTGTCTCCGTTTCAATATTCTCAGTATAGCCTTGTGCTTTCCAACACGGCTGTCTGGAAATCTGTGTTTATTGGGTGACAGTTCTCCTTGGCACTTGTTGATGTAGCTTTCACGCACGTCAATTTCATGGACGACTGCATGCGTATATGGATGTCCCTCAACTTGGACGGCAGCTCCTTCACTTCTGCCGGAATCCGTCCCTCTACTGGGTGCGGCATCGGCTTCTCCCCTTGTCTGACGCCCGGTCGGATCAACGGCTGAGACAGCAGCTCCTTCACCTGTCTGCGAGCGGGATTCGGGAGTACAGTAATAAGCCTGCTTCTTCCTCGAAGCCTGATCATGTTCGGCCTCTCGCTCTCTCCGCTTGTAATTTCCTCCGGACACATCTTGTAGCTTGGGTAAATTTGAGGGCGCGAGCCACATTAGCACATCCAATACTTCTGACTCTTCCACCAATGCTGGGCTTTCTGATAACGCTATCGATGGCGTAGCACGCACATCACTCTGATCATTCTGCTCATTAATATCACTATCGTCTGAATCCTTGTCCTTTAATGGCTTGACACCAGAGAAATGATTCAAGATTGTTGGCATAAGTGTCTGGTCTTCTGGAAGCTGGTCTTCTAGAAGCTGGGCGTTATCATTGGAGATCCAGATCACAATTGTTGGATCTTCATTTGGATGAGGTACCAACTGTGGGATTTGACCGCTAGGAATATAGCCCAGTTGAAGATTGAGACCATGGTGAATCGTACCCCAGAAGTATAAAGCAGCTCCAATTTGGTCAACATGGAAGTTGTCAGTATTGGTTAGTCCAAATTCTGCGGTACTTTCTACATATGCTGACGAATTAAGGACGTTCTGTAGATCTTTGACTGTAGGCCGTGGTAAGGAAGGATGCATTGCGGTCATAGTATTAATGACTGCCCCAAACCCACACATGTAACCTTCTCCAGATGTCGGTATGATTTCGAAACCCTTTGGAAAATCCATCAGACATCGTGAGAAAGCGGAAGATAGTGAAGGTGTCCGAGCTTCACGATCCTGTAAGCGGAGAAGATAAGGTACGTCCATGTTTGGGCTTGTAGAGTATGGCCTCGCTCCTTGGACCTCTGATTCTGTCGCTCCAATTCTCCGAGCAGTTGAGGCAGGTAATTTTGTGCCTTGTTCCAAGGGGAAACTGCCTCCTCCCGCTTGGGATGTACGAACCCTCCCTTCTGTGGGCTCGGGATCTGATGGGACTAAAGACTCCATTGCAGCACCTCCGTGAACCCTTGGGTTCGCAGACAATGAGGGGAGTTGTGCTGATCGCGGTATCGGCATACCAGCGACCAAGGGATAGGGATCAAGGATCGCCGAGAGCGATGTTAAAGGTGGTGGTACTGCTTGAGCATTGCCGCATGCGCTAGTTAGCTGACTCCTTAATGCTGAAGATGTGCCTTTCTGAGCACGCATAGTAAGCCTTTGAGGTAATCGCGGTCCATGGTCTTGATCGGGTATGATCTTAGTTGGTGGTTCTTGAGTATTGCCGCATGCGCCAGCTAACTGACCCCTCAATGCTGAGGATGTGCCTTTCCGAGCACGCATTGGAAGCCTTTGAGGTAATCGAGGCCCATGGTCTTGATCGGGTTTGATCTTAGGTGGTGCTGCTTGAGCATTGCCGGATGCGCTAGCTATCTGACTCCTCAATGCTGATGATGTGCTTTTCCGAGCACGCATAGGAAGCCTTTGAGGTAATCGAGGTCCATGGTCTTGGTCGACCATGATCTTAGAATCTGGTATGTTAGCATTGATGGTAGGATGGAAGCGGCATCGGCGTAATAGACAATTGGTAGACCGAGCAAATGAACGCAAGAAGGAAATGTTTCATGTAGAGCTGATAAATTGCACCAGAGCAAATGTCTGATAGTGATGAGCTGACCTCTTGACTAGTGACCAGCAGGTTCTTCTCTGTATACCAAGGATTTTGATGGACCGCCCATCGAGTCTCTTGACGTTATTAATTCGTGACTCTGGGTTGTCGACGGCGCAGACCATAAACGCGTCTCGTCATTATGTAACGTCATTATCTGCACGATCTTTGCAAGATCCCAGGTGTGTTTGAGCAGATTCTAGGGCTGCATGATTTGGGTATCCAGCAGATTTGAACACCTTTGACGTTTCGGATTGTTTGACGTTCATTGATCTGGAAGCTATTTAATGCTCTGACTCGGTGTGTCTCGAATCTCGTGAAACAAAAGAAAATGGCGTCCTTCGCGGAACAACAAGGATTTGTGAAATGAATATCACAATCTCCAGACCGTATAAAGCTATAAATGGATTAAGTGCACAAGCAGGGGCGCGGGCGGAAGCCAGTTGACCGGTTTCGTAGCCATCGTCCGCAGGGGAAGTCTGTGTATGAATGCGAGCTCCACTGGCCGCAAGAAGAGGCGACCCAACTCAAATACAGAGTAGTCATCAGTACTGTAATCCGCAGCGGGAAACCGCCTGGAAACGCTGTACCTACTTGATGATAGAACATAACATGATAATTGGTACGTTAGAAGGATGATGAGAGCAGTGTCGGAATCAAATATGGGACCAGATGACGCTACTTACCTGTTGTGGAAACTTTAGAGGATGCAGAATGTCTCGCAATATAATGACCATCACCTCTACGGAGTGCTGTATTGTAGTATCTTGGAGCAGAGCAGGGCAAAATCGAATGCATCGTTTCGTCGCCAGGGTTGAGATTTGGATCACAATTTGTAAGCGAACATCGCTCAAGATCTAGCCACTTATAACTACTGCCAGCTTCCAAAGTAGGGAATGGATCATTCAGTTCCAGGCAGTATCTGCGGAGCCTCCATTGAATCGTCACATTCCATGTCTATTCGAAGACTCTACCACATCAGGGTCCTTGGCCGGTACATCCAAACCTACTTACTAAACTGTTCACAAGGTTGATTCCTTGGATAGTTTAAAGAAGGGAGCACGAGTGGTAAGCAAGCATCCCCTTGACAGGCGCGACATCCACTGCAGTGGCACATGCCCAACGCCCAGCCGCCAGCCGCCAGCCGCCCAGCCTCCAGCCACCCAGCCTTCCTTCCAGCCTTCCTCCCAACCTTTAATCTCCGTCTCCAATCAAGCTCCCCAGGGCTAGTTAGCACTAACTTAAGTAAATTAGAAGCGTTCCTGGACAGCAATTACTTCAAAATCAGGGGGTCGGGAATGCAATACACACCTTTCTCATCCATTTCAGATAACAAATGCCATCATGATCGAAATGGCAAATCCGCGTACTCCGCACAGGCTTCATAGCTTGTCAGTCACCACCAGTAACATCGAACGTTCACTCTAGCTGTCCTACCAATCCGAGTAAGGGGAAATTAGGTTTGTCATTAACAGGAGGGTTGGTATGTTGAAAGCTACTTTCATGCCATCACCATTTGATGGCCATGTCTGTCTCTCGACTGTTAAAGAGCTGCAGATCTGTGCAATGTCCGAACATTGGAGTTCACTTCTCCCAATCTCGCAAGGTCTTCCTATTCCTCTTGCATACCGTTCATTTTCCTTGTTTCACTACATATCTTCCTTGATGGTAAATTGTACTGCAGCTATGCGTTACACAATTGCTGTCTTTGCAGCGGCTGTAGTGGTCAAGGCATCGCCCTTCCCTCAAGCTGTAACCGCTGCAATCTCACCCACCGGCGTACCACCTCCAGGATGCACGGGCTCGACACCTGGTTCGTTTGGTATTGCTGCTATGAATGTCACCACCGGTTCAGCACCGGCGAAGAGGCAAGTGTCTTATATATCCGAGCAGATCATATACCATGAAGCATCGAGCACGGCTAACAATACGTAGGGGACAACCACAAGGACTGCCTGTTAGACAGATCGCCGATGGTCAGCCACAGGTCCCCACATATACCATGGCACCTGTGTCTATGATCATGGATGGCCAAGTTCAAGGTGGCATGCACACTATGATCATGATGCCAGCCAGCCAGACTGGAGATGGACTGCCTCAAGCATCGGTAGTCACAGCTGCACCGGTACCCCAGATCTCCGATGGTCAAACCCGAGCCAAAGCCAGCACTAGGACGCTAGTCTCTCGAGTCTCAGATGCCCAGCCACAGGCATTAGCTGCTACCGATCCTGCAGCATCGAGCAGCGCCGGTACCCGCCTTGTCGCTTGCAAGAGTGAAGGCACCCTTGAACTCACTCTCAACGATGGTGTCCTCAAAGATGCCCAGGGTCGAACAGGATACATTGCGTCCAACTTCCAATTCCAATTTGATGCTCCACCACAAGCCGGCGCCATCTACACCTCAGGGTTCTCGGTTTGCAGCAATGGCAGCTTGGCTCTTGGTGGTTCGAACATCTTCTACCAATGTCTCAGCGGCAATTTTTACAACCTCTACGACCGTTACTGGGCTGCCCAATGCTCGCCTGTAACCCTCGAAACGCTAGCCCTTCAGGACTGTGCTTGATGGGGTACGACATGTCACGAACCATGTCGTTCTTGAAACAACCTTTCAAACGTGTACATATTCTCCCATCATCTGGTCTACTTTCCTGTACATAATAATCTAATGCATGTTAATGCTGACCATTGAGGGTTACGACGATGTGAAAGTCAACGCAAGATAGGAATGTTTGGGTTTGGGAAGATACTGGATATTGAATAACAACATCACGTTTCAATTTGCCCACAGGGCAGATCAGCTAGGAGACGAGATGTCGTTCCCAGCATAGGGTGACTGGGCGTAGGAGGCTATGAAGAATACATAGCAAGACTCAACAGAGAACAAATACCTAAATCCAATGGTGTCTGTCGCAAAAGGCTGTTCGTTTCCTTTGGTCACGTGGTCGGTTTTACATCGCTCCCTTGCCCATGCCTCATCAAAATATCTTGGTACTTGAAAAACAACTCCGAAGCCTTCAGAAACATATGGTCCTGCTTCCTCCGCGGCTGTGTTTCCCGGACGATCCGGCCAGTACTGGTAGATAGCAGGTAGTATGTTTCACGTTCCCCTGGCCACGTTGTCACTAGCAGTTCGTTAAACAACGTTGGAGCATAAAACGTATTGATTCTGATTTAGTTCCGTTCGGTATTTCGGCATGGGTGATGATCGTCCAGTACATAAAGAAGATAGAAAACATTTTCGTCACCGGAGATCCTGATTGAGGAAGATCCTATTCATTCTATTGTTTCTAATAAATTCTGTCTGTGGCCCTATACACTCGGCCTCCCACTTCACAATCCATACACCCTAGCATATTGACATCAATAATGGGACCATGCCTAGGTAAACTTAAATCCTCTTCCTCCTCCCCCTCCTACACACCATTACACCCATCTACATCTGCATCAAACTCCAAAAAGTGTGTCCAACAAGAGCTCATCCCCCTAATGGCCTCCCAACCCGACGATACCAAACACTATGCGTATAAAAACCCCTGCTCGGTGCCCTCGTCACAAAAATCGCGCAGAGAAAGACAAAAACAGAGATCCGACCACCCTTCCCCTATCCAATTTGAGCATCCAGCGGGATGCCGCTGTAAAGGTTGCCAACCGGGTCTGTACCCGAGCACGTGGAGCATGATGGGGTCGTGGTCTGATCGATGTGTGGCTGGGTGCCGGTGTGAGAGGTGTTGCTTCATAAGGGAGGTGGAGGCGAGGCAGCAGAGTAGACTTAGGCAGGAGAGGTAGGTGGGCGCTGAGAGGTCAATGGGAGATGAGTGAAGGGAGATCTTGGGTTTGAGTCATCGGTGGCTCTGCTACGCTGGCGGGGTTGAATGCGAAAGCGGCTGTCTGCGAAGCTGATGGGTCTTTGAATGGTTTTCTTAGTCGAGTATATATGCTTGGCGAGGAGAAAGTTGGGAGAAAATATGGAGAAAATACTTCAACCCTTTGGAAACAGATCTTCGCCCATCGAGGTCCCGCGTGAGATTGTCGCTTGGCTCTGTGTTCCTCAGCGCCATTTAAGGGAACAGATCTCGGTCGCTCATAGCTGATAATCCTCTCATACTTGGTTAACTTGATTCTTCCTTCTGGTGATTTTCCTGTATTCTTCGATGACCTTTCTTCTTGCGGACCCGATTTCCTCCCTTTTCCTCAAGCTTCCCACTCTACCAGGCACATCGCCCACATCGACACCAGCAACCACATAGTCCTTGAACTTACCCTTCACTCCCTTCAGTTGAGGAGGGGCCTGTACAACATCCTGCAAATTCTTCTGCCTGCTGTCTCGCCTCTTCTCTTCCAGTTCGGCCCAGGGATCCTCATCCTCACCACTAGTATTCTTTTCTCCTATCCTCTTCTTGCCCTTCTTCCTCCCAGCTTTAACTCCTCCCCAGAGAAGCTGCTGTTCTTCTCTTTCATCCTCCTTCTCTTCCATCTCCTCTTCTAGCTTCGCTTTCCTTCGTGACTCCTCCTCCCGCCACTGCTTCTGCATCCGCTCCAACCGGCGGTTGTGCTTGGTCTTACGTTCTTCCGCCTTGATTCCTGGAATTTTGATACTGCCTGTCTGACCTTTGGTTCGTAAACCGGTGATCGGAAGAGCTTGGTCCACTCTGGCAGAGAATTCGCCTAGTCGCTCGCCTGGGAGGATCTTTATGTCGAGGGCATTGTTTGTAGCTGTTTTTGAAGTCGCGGTGGGCAGCTCCTTAGCTTTCAATGCTGTCTTGGTTGTATCTTCTACATCCCGCTTGCGCTTGATGCCTTTTACGGTAATACCATCATCAAGAGTGTGAGCAGGCTGCTTCCCTATCTTTTGATAGTTCAAGAGACGTGCGAATGCGCGAGGAGTATCGTCTTTGAGGTTTGTGACTTTTGAGCCGTCTGCATTGGCTCGAGTCTCGTCATGTTTTCGCTTTCGTTTGCGTTCATCATCTGGCTTTATTCTGTGGAAGGCTGGGAGTGACTTTGCAATGGACGTTGGCGGGAGGTCAAAGCTTAGGGGGAAATAATTAGGGACACCCCGCTAGATTGTAGAAAGGTGTCTTACGAAGCTCCTTCATCCCTGCGTTGCCTCTTGTGCTTGTGAGGCATTATTTAAGCAAGAACAGTCTGTTCAATGAATGCGACAAGAAAGGTAGTTCAGAAAGTGGATAGAATATGTAGCTACTACGAGTGGGGAGCATGAATATTGTTAGGTTGACGCTTGTAAGCTTGCTCCGAAACAGCTGTTCAACAGATTCTCCAATGATCTATACATCTCCATTCCTTCAAAAAAAGAACCACAAAATACTTGACTAGAGAAGCACAAACACATTTCTGTACTCTTATTGTGTATCTGAACTTTTTAACGAGCGATATCCATTTGCTCAGTCTTTTCAAATACAGCGAATCATCCTGTGTGGCGCTGTATCATAACTAGCCGCTACTAGCACCAGCCTAACAATGATCCTTTTCCCCCATACACGTAGTAAGGAGCCTAGTAAGGCGATGATAGTGAGGCTGGTAAATGCTTGGCTAGATTGCCTGTGAGGTCCAATAAATCCAGTCTCTTCTTATTTCCCAGACTCCAAGACGTTTGTTATGTGAGTCCAGAGGATGCGTCGCTGTCAAGCGAGCAACTTCTTAGCTGTTCCTTGAAACATTTGAGGCCCACCAGTTCATCATGACATCCAGAGATAATCCTCCTACATTTTCAGGTGGCCACTCTCCCAAGCTCCACAACGAGCCTCTACTTGGACGACGAATTGATGATGAAAGACTGTACGACCAAGACGACGATCTTGAAAGAGCAGAGGGAGAACCTATTGAAAGCTCTTCACGGCAGAGCTCTTTCGACTTTGCTGATGCTCCGCTTGTGGAGACTTCCATACCAAGAAACTGGCAGGCGAGGTTTCATAGATATGCACCGTTCTGTGCTAGATTTATTCGAGGGAGGAGAAGCAAGTCAAGACCAGCGACTAGAGCTAAACCAAGATATCTTCGCATTGGCTTATCCTTTGTTGTAATCACTTTACTGGTGTTGTCAGTCTTTCTTTCGCCCTCTTCTTCATGGCATCCTTGCTCACTGATAGTTCCCTCTTACAGAGGTGTTATACAGTTTGTTTCCTTGTCTTTTCTCACATTGGCCGCCATTTTCCCAAATCAAGCGGCATATATTGTTGATCATTGGGGTGATCCTAGCAAGACAGCTCAAGGTCTTCTGCATTGGCCAACAGACTTCTCTCGAGACATCCAACCAGTACCATGCCATTCGCACAACGATTATTGGCGAAAAGTGCCAGTGTATAGCGCTCTCCAAGCTGGATGTATTGGTGTTGAAGCGGACTTATGGTTGGTGGATGACGACTTATACGTTGGACACTCCACGTCAGCTCTTACCTCCAATCGTACCTTCAGAAGTCTTTACATCAACCCACTACTAGATATACTTACCAAACAGAACCCAACAACCAAGTTCCATCCTAACCGTGACTCAACACTGAACGGCGTCTTCGATACCGATCCCGCGCAAACGCTAGTATTACTCATAGACTTCAAAAGTAATGGTCACACCCTCTGGCCATATGTTCAAGCTCAACTAGACCCACTTCGACAGGCCGACTACCTCACATATTTCGATGGCACATCCAGGATAGAAAGACCTATTACGGCTGTTGCAACAGGGAACGCACCATTCGACCTTCTCACCTCCAACTCTACATATCGTGACATATTTTTCGATGCCCCGCTCGATAAAATGTCCGTGGAAGTTCCATCGTCCGGCCAGGAAAGCAAGCAAGGCGCTTCCGGCAATGCCCCAGCAGATGCTTCATTATACAACCCTACCAACTCCTACTACGCCTCAACCAGTTTCGATGCTTCCATAGGCACGGTCTGGTCACACCCGAGCACCATCCAGCTTGAGAACATTCGCGCCCAGGTCAGAGGTGCCCACAATCAAGGCCTAAAAGCACGATATTGGGAAACACCCTTCTGGCCCAGAGGATTACGGGATCATGTGTGGAATGTGTTGATAGAGGAAGGTGTAGACATTTTAAATGTAGATGATCTCAAGGCGGCCACGCAAGGGACTTGGGGGAAATGGAGGTGAAGGGGTTCCTTGTTCCCATAGGTTGTTCTATGGAAATGAAAATTCCCGCTTTTTGCCTTCGCTCTGTGGCCACGAAAGGACCATGTACGCAACCAGGTGACAACCAGGAGGAGAAGGATCCCATCTGAGCCTTGTTACTCAGGCGGCACTGGTTCAAATCCCACCACTCCTTTAACCACACACCATACCCTGGTTCCCTCGATAAGCCAAGGCTTCTTGTGGCTCCGACCATTGTGCATCTGAATCAGTGGGCCTGCTCTGTGTGCCAGGTAAACCTCTGAAATGGGCAATGAATAATGGACACCCTTTCTGCTCCTCCCGGCACAGCATCACTCCGCATCATCCTCCTGCAGACTCCGTCGTGTTCAAACCGAAGCACCGGCCATGGCATGTGTAGCATAAAGCTCCGAAACCGATACCGAAATAGTATTCTAGACGTCCACACAGGCAACCCAGTCAGGCCATTTTTCTGGACCAAATCAATATCTGCTCAAACTGGTCCTGTCTGTCTACTGTCAAATATCCAAAGCGGCATCTTCCGCCCCAACTCTCATCAAGTATTTTCCCCTCCGTAATGTAGAGAGCTCTACGGAGTATAGTTTCCGTCATTTGGCGGGCCAAATCCCAAGCGGGATCTAGGCAGAAGACTTCGATGCTGATGAATCAACTGGTGCGTAGGTGAGACACTATGTACAAGATGTAGATACGGGGTCTGATATTTGACCGAGTAGTAGTAGTAGTAGTAGTATCCGTCTTCATCCCGGGCCTTCATCCCCTCCCTGGACCCCAAAAGATGGAGGGGTAAGGAACGTGTACGATAAGAAGGGAGGAGTATCAGGATTGTCGTGATAAGTATTCCGTATTCACGTTATTACTGGTGATGCGACTCAGAGGACTCAAGCAGCAGCAGCTGGTGGTAATGCTTAAGACTTCCACAGCTCATGCAAGCAAGCAAGCACTACGTAACCACCTTCTCCCCAAAAAGGATAAACCTCTCATCAAAGCTCTCGCATTCCGCAAACTAATCTCAAAATATCCATAACCTGCAATACAGCATACGGGTAAATAGTATGTATATAACATCAACCCCAAGTGCCCCCACCACCACCTCTACCTTGCCTCTTCTGGGCACTGAGTCGCCAGTCATCCTCGCTGGCCGCGAATTTATTATGCAGCGGCTGGATGCGCTCGGCTTTCTTCCGTTTCGAGAGGCGGTCTGTCGGGGCGACCTTGAAGAAATTGGGTGCTGCTTCGACGAGCCACTGTTTCAGAGAAAAGATTAGTGAATTGTCAAGAGTGGTTGTGGATTTGTAGAGCAAAAACTGATTGTTGCATGAGAAGAACATGATGGGTGGGGGAAGGGGTGTGAGTTTTGATGCGGGAAGAGCCAACCAAGGAAAAGCAAAAACAATCAACAGCCGGTATTCGCTGGTGGTCACCCACCCAACTCCGAACCGGCCGGCACATGGCTTGAGTACGGCTGAGCGAACGGGAAGCCCTGTTCTCCATGTCCTGTGGTCGATTGCGAAAGGAGTGGACAAACAATAGTATATATAGGACACAACGCAGGTTCTGTGCCATGAAAATGGATCTTTCGCCTACCTTTGGTTCGATGGCCGTCGTGCACTGCATGTATTCCTTGGTTGTAAGCACCAGCGAATGGAAAATCACATGCTCAGCAGGTTTCCCAAACAAGGCACTCGATGGATGCATGTAGACTGGCGTGCCTTCGATCAAGGTTTTGTACCCTTCCTGTGGATCCTTTCGAGCACTGTTCTTGAAGTATCCGGAACAGACTGCTTGTCGTACCTTCATGGTGTTGCGACCACATGAGATGATCTGATGGCGATATCGCTCCATGATGCCGACAAGCTGCGACCGGACATCTTGAGCGCGGCGCATCTGCCGTGCTTGGATGAAATTCTCATGACACCATGGATTCGAGAATCGGGATTGCTTCCATCCGTTATAGACGTTCAGTAGGGTAAGATGGTCGCCATGCGGGTCGTGGAACTTGCTTTTCTTCTGATCGGCTTGCTGTTGCTTGTCTTTGGGTCTGTAGAAGACGGTTTGCACATTTAACATCGCCACTATGGACAGGATTTCTTCTGAGCAGCCCATTTCCACGCTGGCTATCAGCACTTTCGCAAGTGCGGGCTCCATAGGGAAATCGGCCATTTTACGCCCGAGCCTTGTTAGTAGTCCTTCGTCATCGAGCGCAGACAATGCGTAGAGCTCTTCCAGGGCTGTAAGCATGGTATTGGTGGGTGGTGGGTCCATAAAATCGAAGTGTAGCAGGTCGTTTATGCCCATAGCCTTGAGCATGAGGATGGTGTGCGAGAGATTCTGTCTTTGAATTTCAGGAATAGAGGTGGGTAGCATTTCAGATTGATAGGCGGCTTCTGTATACAGACGGAAACATTTCCCAGGTCCTGTTCTTCCAGCTCGACCTGAACGCTGCTTCGCTTGTGCTTGAGAGATAGGTGTCACAACTAGCGAGTCCATGCCCAGCTTTGGATCATAGGCATTCTGCTTGACGAAACCAGGATCAATGACATAGTAGATCTGATCGATAGTGATGGACGTCTCTGCGATGTTGGTAGCAATGACGACCTTTCTGCTTCCTGGTGGAGCAGGGTCGAATATTCGACTTTGCATCTCGCTCGGTAAGGCGGAGTAGACAGGGAGGATGATCAACTCCGGCACGCTTGGGCCGAGCGCTTTCATCCTTTCATACAGGATTTCGCAGCTCGTGTCAATTTCGTCCCTACCTGTCAAGAAAAGTAAAATATCTCCAGGTGGCTCTGTCAGGTGTATCTGCATAACAGTAACAAGCGCAGCATCGAGGTAGTCTGATTCTGGTTCTCTCGAGTACATTATCTCAACTGGAAATGTGCGACCTGGAATCGAAAAGATGGGACATTTGTAAAAGTACTCTGAAAATTTGTCAGCGTCAAGCGTTGCTGATGTGACAATCAATTTCAGATCTGGTCGTCGCTTCAAAGTCTTCTTGAGAAGACCAAACAGGACGTCTGTGGCAATAGTACGTTCATGGGCTTCATCCAACATAATGACGGTATACCGCTTCAAGTCCGGGTCCAGCAGTATCTCTCTTTGAAGCATACCGTCAGTCATGTACTTGATTCTTGTTTCCGGCGATGTACAGTCCTCAAATCGGATAGTGTACCCAACTTCTTTGCCTAATTGACAGCCAACCTCTTCCGAGACCCGTTTGGCGACTGACATAGCAGCAACACGACGTGGCTGTGTACAGCCGATGAGACCATCATTGGCATAACCGGCTTCAGCCAGGTATTGGGTCAGCTGGGTGGTCTTGCCGGATCCTGTATCACCAACTACAATGAGGAGCTGATTTTGGTCAATTGCTTCAAGAAGCTGCTTTCGGAATCTGAATACAGGCAAACTTTCCCTCTGCTGCTTAATCGTCATATTACTTCGTTTGCCAAAAGACTGATCCTTGCTTTGGGTGATGCGTTTCCATTCAGGCACAGACTCGGTAGGTTGCGACGGCTTTGCACTCCGCAATTCAGAAGCGAGCTTCCGCTGCTCTGGAGCAATCATGGGATCGTTCCATTGCGCATTCAGATCCACCTGGCCTGCTTGCTCTGCTGCTTGGTCCGCTGCCTCCTGCTGCTTCAGGTCACGACGTTCTTTGGCTAGATTGGTACCAGACATCGCGGCTCGATTCAGTGACCCATCAGGGGCTTTCACGATTCGGATGGGCGACAGTTCTAGTGATTGTTTCGTTTGACCAGCCAAGAAAGGTGGCTCTTCGTCTCGAACTTCGATGTCAATGTCCTCTTCTTCCTCGAAGTCACCTTCCCCATTCAGTGTCGCGTTGTAGTCTTCGTCGATGTCTGGGTACTCCTGAGCAGAAATGGCTCCAGATGCTATCAGCTGTTTGATCTCCCATCTTTCCGGCGAAGTCATCCTTTTTTTATTTTTCATCTTTCTGCCATTCATGTCTCCTTCAATGACGGGCACACTGCTACTAAGGCTTCCATAGGGGTCCTCATCTGGCCTCCCATCTAATCGTTCCATATTGGCTCCGGACGCAATCCTTCTTTGTGGCATGAGATCCCGTCCTGTGACTTGGTCGACTTCCTTCATACTCAATCCTATCCTACTTCCTTCGATCTTGGAGACCTTGACTTTGACAGGCTGCCCTCGAGATAAGAGGTCGCCTGGATGATTGACACGAGCACCGTCCTGCATTGCGGATACATGAACCAGGCCATCCACCTTGCCCTTGACCCCACGTAGGTTGACAAATGCCCCAAAGTCTTTGAGTCCAGTAACGACACCATCGTAGACTTTGTAGAGGATCGGCTGGTCGTCCACTTCTGGTGTGGGTGGCCGTCTTAAGCCGCTGTCATATTCATCATGGTCCCGCCGCCTGCTACGGCGATGACCATCTGTTCGATAAGAGCCGTTGATTGAGCGGCCAAATTCATCCACCTTTGAATGCCGTGATCGCTTCTCATTGTCAGAAGAAGGCGATCCCGACCAATAACGCGGCCTGGGCTTTCTGTCCGGATCATATTCATGAAAATCCGGACTTCGGCTTCTCTTGCGGCCGTTAGAGCCATTATGGGTTGGCTTCGCCTTTTTTGCGAGCCCTTCAAGCAGCGCAAATGTGTCATCCAATGGTTGTGTGTCAACTACCGGCTTCGAGGTCGTTGCCTTGGGCCAATCAGCATCCTCCCAGCTTTGCTGGCGGTCCGGCACAGCAAGCCCCTTGAAGATTCTGGCCTTGCGATCCGTTTCATCCACATCTTCTCCGCTCGACCCATTTTTAGCAAGCCCGTTCTGTTTCTGCGACTCTTTGTATTTTGGATGCATAGTCAGGATTAAACGGTCGACGCTCTCGATCAGACTTTGCGGAAACTCGGCGCCCATACCCTCGAGGGTGCTCTTGAAATCGGAGAGCGAAGCGCATTTTGAATGTTGATCTATCACAAATTCTGCGAGGGTTTTGTCGTTGATTCCCAGATGATTTTGCAGTTCAGAGGTGACTTTTGAGACGAGGGATAGAACTTCGAGGGAGGTAAGGTCGTCCATTCTCGAGATTAGCGCGAAATCTAGAGGTCTAGGATGTTCTCAAGCCCGAGTCAATGCCTACTGACGGTAAGTAACTTCACATTCACTTGATTTTTCGGGATGTTACCTAAGTCATGAAGGTTGCTCCGGACCATCTTCGTGACTCGTGCTCTCTCATATCTTGGCGATGGGCACCCGAGCTCATAGGATTCTCCTTTTGACTTGTTTAGTTTGACACATTCTAGCGATGACTTCCGAAGCTAGTCGCACAGTACTGGAGACTTTACTGTGGTGTGAAGCTCTCATCCCGCTTACAAATGACTACAGTCACACCTACATCGGTCAGAAAGTTCTATCCTTCTGATTAGACCTGTGCTCTGTTCCTGCAGAAGTCTACGACACAGTCAAGCGAAACACCATTGTATGCACAGGATTGCTATTCCCGTTGAGGCTGTTGGACCTTGTTCTCTTAACGGAACAGACCATCTCTCTCATGTAGTCTTTAGCGTCCAAAAGCACCACCGTGTTACGCCATGCCAACCGTTCTTAGTAGCTCATGGCCGAATCAGCCAGCGCAGGCCCAGATATCGAGCGTTGGTGGAGACCGCTAACGCGAGCATGGTGGTGGGCATTCCTCAGAATCAAGGGCCGTGTCTGCTAACGGCATGCCGGCGTCTTCCAGATCCCATTCAGCCATAAGACCGTGACAACCGCAGACATCATCTGAAGGTGATATTGAGACCAGAAGCACTGAAAAACGTGTTCCCATTCCGTATGCGAAAGGCTTGCAGCAGCCCATCCACACTCCTGGTCGTCAATGATGGCCGCAAATACCCATATAGTCGGACATAAGAACTTTTTTCCTCAATTCCAGTTACGGCCTCCATCCTGAGCAGTCGCTGCTTTAACCTGAGCCGAGACTGAGCCGAGACCGACCGACCGCGTCTGAGCAGCTCTGAGCAGAGCCTGATCAGGAGTTGGCAAGACCCGGTTCTGGTCCAACTGGGGCCGCTTTTGAACTCTCAGACTCGGCTGTAACTCCTCAATTTATTCTATCAGTGTTTCAGCCAAGCCTGTTGCCTGGAGCTTAGCCATTTCCTTCAAGATCCTCCTGTTTATGGCTGACTTATGAAAAGTGGGCCAGGGCAAGACTAAAGACATATTTGCAAAAGTTGATACTGTAATCTGAGGCCAAATGATTTTATTCTCTTTATGCTGTTCAGTAACATACACTCCTTAGAGAACTGGTTTTCTTTGAGAAAGATTGATATCTTTGTACCGCTTAATAGTATACATTTTCTTAGCAATTGATTTCCCTCGGGAAATGTTGGTACTTTAATGTTACTTACTAATATATACTTCTTAAAAATTTGATTTTTTGGTAGAAGTTTCTAGCCGATAAAGTAGGAGGATGACTGTGTAATCACTTATTACCCCTTACTTTACGGCTCGATGTAAAGGGTGTCGAACCGGTTCCAGCTCGGCGTCGCCGGTCTGCGCCCTGCCGCTTTTTATTTTCCGGAGCCCGCCGCTCTTAATGTCTTAGAGAAAGGAAGGACGTCGCTATCTGCGCTTCAGGTCCTTCCAGTAAGTTGTGGTGGTTATGGGGGCATGGAGATATAGTAAGGAGGAAAATCCTGCATGAGGTTTTGACTAATAACAAGTGTGGAAGAAAACGCCGAGGGGTCATACATACGACTCTACGAAGCAACTGGCGCCCCCGCCGCTCTAGCTTCTTGCTGCCGACATCTCGCTGGCGATACCACACCTCTCTTCCTCAATACAAACGGACAAGTTAATTTTTGATTATAAGAAAATACATAATAAGTTTACACAGTTAAAAAATAAAGGTGAAAATGCCAAGATCTCTTCTTCCCAACTCAGTAAGCTTCCTAAGAAGATTAAGGAAAGACAAAGGAAATCCAAAAGAGTGTACGGCCAGCTGCCCTTCCAAAAATTCATTCCTTCTCCCTCTTCCTCGTTCTCACTCAACATACCAATTCAACGGCACCTCATCCAATCCCTCTCCGCACGCTCATCACATCAGTGAAACCTTATTTTATAAGGAAAAAAAAATAATGATCAGACTGGGGCTTGATCCCAGGACCTTCCCCGTGTTAAGGGGATGTGATAACCGACTACACTATCCGACCATGCTTGACCAAATCAAGGGTTAAAAAGTATATAAACGTACTAAGTTATGCTCCCCGCAATTTATTTGCATCACAGTTATCGACTTGTCAAGTTGTCATACTTCAATTTGATTCTCTATTATAATAGTCTACAACTGATACGAGCGAGTAAGATGAATCGCTACTGCTATCTAATCTAAAGTGAACAAGCATGGAGAAAGGAAAGGAGGAGAGAAAGTATCCAGAGGGTCGTCTCGAGGTCTATCAACAACAGTCACTCCCTCTGGCAGAAGTCACACTCCCAAGATGCCAACACCGCAACGGATGTGTTCCTCTGTGTGAGTTAAAGTCTGCACACACGACAATAACCTAATGGTCTCATGTGATCTAGCGGTTAACTGCGATCACAATAACAATCAGGCAAATTATGAACGACCTAATGGGTCTGAGTAGTGCCTCAGATAAATACGATAATCTGTTTCAATCATCACGTGATTCAGAGGCTCAGCTTGTTATGAAACCTGATCAGACTATTTCCAATGCCAGCCCAAACCACCTTTTTGATCCATTTACACTGGTTCGAACATCTCAGCATCAATCTTGGCAGCAGCAAAACACTCGTTATCAACAACACCGGAGGCAACAAAGATACAGCAACCCATCTACAAAGCCTAAAAGTTAACAAACAAGATTAGCGTCACTCCTAGCTAATATAGAATAACGTCTTCACCAAAGATGAAACAATAGAATTTAAGCTTGGTCTAAATCCCAAGAGTGGTTAGTTTCACACAGAAGATTTGCCTTCCAGTCTAATTAATACAACATTTCCCCCTGGATTCAATTCTCAGTCAGTCCTACCTTTCTATATCAACTCGCTGCATTTTCATTTTGTAATACTTCTTCATCCGTCTTTCAACTCGACATCTCGCCTGAACTTCTGCTATCCCTACGGTGTAGTATTCACATATGTCTCCCTGCGTTCCTCTCATCTACATACCAATTCTATTCCATCATTGAGTCCGAGACCAATTCTTCCTTTCACTTTAAGAAAGTGCTTATCCAACCATCTATATTGGGAATCATTCAGCGCAAGATGACGCTCTCGGAGCTAACCAGAACCTCGATGAATGCACTTCTGCACGAGACCACTCCTTCAGAAATTGCAGATCCCGTTGAGTACTCTAGGCTCTTTGCAACATTGCTGGGTTTCAGACAACATCACGAGTCCAGATGTCCAAAACGTTGAACATGCTTATCGTGCAACTCGATTGTTCCCCGGTCGATGCCGGATGGATGTACATGGTTTGTTACATCACGAAGCTCTATCAACCATTCATGCCTCAAACTCTTGAATGCAGATTCATCACCACTGAACACTGCCTGACACAATGCGTGGATGTATTGGCAGACGTGCTTTGCCAGTTGAATTTAGGGGAACAGTACTTGGCTTCAACGCACTGCCTTACGAACAACAATTCCCCCTCCAACATTGTCAGCTGTGCCGCCGGAAACTGGTGCCGTTGCCCAGTGCTGGCTGACTGCGGATGAGCTTTCTGTACAACAACGCTTTCAGAAGAGGAATTGGATATGCTTTGGAAGTGTCCAGCCTGATTGAAATTGACTAAGGGAGGTGTGCGAATATGAACAGCGGGTCAGCTAAGAAGCTTAGCAAAGTGTCCAGCCTGATTAAAATTGACTACGGGAGGTGTGCGAATATGAGCTGCAGAAACGGCTGGAAGGATGTCTCTTCATTGAATTTATGCCCGCGGGATCGAGCTGCGTTTTGATCGAGGGCTCTACGTTGTAGAAGTAGGTGACCCAGTGTTCTGGATACTTCGATAGTGAACTCCAGTTGCCATTGAGCATTCTAGTTGCGGAAAATCGGGCTTTTAGCAGCCATCCTGTCATTTTCGTATCGTCGCATATTTGTGGCGAACCTTCAAGGTTGCGTTTGGACCTTGCGTTTGGAAGCTGTAGGCGGAGATATCGCTCTGAGAACAGGATCATCTACCTTGTACATCATGCACACTTATCCCGGCGTCCACCCACTGTGGATCTTCGTAAATAAAGTTATCACAATCAAAGTCAAGATTGAGCACATAGGAAAAAGAAGTGTAGATTAAGGCCGCTGTGGCGCTGGCCCTAGCAGAGGGAATTGACATCGCCATGAAAAAATGGCACTCGTATACCCGCTGTGTTGAAGGAGAGCACACCGGCTGCCTTTGGTGAGCATCAAGCAATTCTTCACCTCATAATCACTTACTTGAACCAGCCAGGGGATCCCTCACCTTAGCCTACATACTGCTTTGATTAAGCTTAATCCGCTCGCAACTTCGCCAACCTTCTCTGTGATTCACTTTTCATGTTCTCAACTCCACCATACACCCTTCCAACCTTCCAACCGTTCCTGACCTTCCTCCAGCGAATAGCACTCACGCTAGGCTCCATGGACATAAATGTTAGCGACTCAGTCAGATTCCTTAGACACATCGCCTGGGCCATTGTCGTCGGAATCAGGCACACTGAAGACAATTCAGCTTGTGTAGCTGCCATCAATTTCGAACTTCTCATCCGACGCTTTGCAAGAGTCCTGGGTATAGAATATTCAGGGACAAATCTCACTGAAGGTGCTGTCAGACTGATGCAGCGGATGGGTGCGCACCGTTCTATCCTGAAGACAACCCGCAGGTTTGTGCTGTATACCATTATATTAGCAACATGAATGGATAGTTGCTAACGTACGGTACAAGAGGTGGTTATCGTTACTTGCATGTACAAGGTCACCGTGAATAACAGCCTAAGGGTCTTCCAACAGATCAGCACCAACAAGTTGGTGGTCCAGCAAACAAGGAAGGGTTATCCCACGACTCACCACTCCTTTCCCGATTCTCCGTCATACGAGGCCAACGGAGAAGGATAACAGCTAAAGAAAATAGGACGACAGAGGAAGAGCCAAGCTCCATGAATTGCTGCTGTGATTGAGAATGAAATCGAGGGAAACGTCACGTATCTTGGTGTTTCCAAGTAAACAGGAGAGACAATAGCCTCAGAACGGCCACACAGTGGTCAGGGCATGATGAACTATTAGGACAAAGAGCAGATTTGTCCACAGCACAGATCTAATCCGCCCGCTCGCTACACTCACCGATTGGAGGCATGTTTCATAAAGGCTCCATTGGTAGGACTGCTACCTCCAACTTTCACAGGTGGCGCTCGACTTATTATGAAGTGTGTGGACGATGAAGAATAGATGGGGAGCTTGCCGTCGCGACACCCGTCATGGAAGCTAGCATCTGCTAATGAGTTCAAGGGCCAGGCGAATACTCAATTATTCTGTGTATACCAGCGTTTTGGTAAACCTCGTTCCACTTCAGCGCATCCATAATGAGATCCAATGTGGCACAACAGCCCGCTAATGGGCCGGCAATGTTCATCGTGTATCGTGCTCCATCGTCAGTGATAGTATCCCCATTCAATGGATTGTTATGGTATTCAAAGCCCCGCCCGGTCATCTTTGCTCTTTGAAGTCGCTTCCGCCGTTTTCGTATCTGTCGAGGGCTCAAGACCTGTTTCTCATATCGCGGTATCCAGAGCATGGATTCCATGTCGGTCTTTGAGAATAGGATGCAGGACCGAGCGATCGAGTTGTTCATGTACGAGTGGCGCCATCTGATTTCGGATTGGCTCCGAACATGACAAATACTTGTCGAGTTCGGATTTTATCTGCTCTAGACAAGCAAAACCCATGTCAGTTAGCGAACGTCGCTAAAGCACAATCGAATCGTTGGCCAACGCTAAAGTGGATGATAAGCTCTTTTGTCGAAATTTGTCTTTGACGGTGTAGGGACAGCCGGGAATGCAGAGGCCATCTGACCACTTATCCGCAAAGAACAATGACATATCGTGAAGAAGGATTGATCATACAGCCTGGTGCTTAACAAGGTCTGTACAACCAATAAGGTGTCGTATACCGCATGATTTGTATGTACAAGTCAGTCATTTTTCAAATGATTTCCTCATATTCTCCTCTAAAATTTGCATAAGTTTAAATCTGCGTCAGACTTCTCCAGAGCGGATCAACTTGAGTTTAGCCATCGATTGGTCTAGGAGTTGAGCGTATATGAGACAAATTCGGTGAGAATCGAAAACAGAGGAAGTGGGAAAATGATAGGAGCAGAAGCAGTAATAGTAGTACATGTGGATGAGGAGGGTAAGATTACTAGACAAAGCAAAGATAACCTCTAAAGTACATGCCCTCTAGGTTGACAATCGATACTGCGAGAACTACTCTTTAGGCAGCGGTTTCGTCCTATCTAGTTAGGAGCTGTACCACAGATGTTATCAGAGTCTGCACTAACCCTCTCCGAAGTACAGATAAACTCTAAAATGGAGTTCCATTCTTACATGTCAAATAAATATATCTACAGCAGATCCAACTTTAAAAGAGCTGAAATCGCCCAACAAAAAAGGAACTTTGTCCACAGGCTGTTTCAAACAACCGACCTATTTGGAGTGTCAATGTATGCACTGCAGAGGTTCAAGCGTGGTTACTACCTCCGCATGGCTGCTCAATATCAGAGCTACAAGTGCGATGTGAGCTAAACGGGCAGATTTGACCAGATTTGTATTTTACAAAAGTTATAAATGCATAAATGCGACAAATGTTCATCCTCAAATTGGGTTGCATAGTTAGTGGAGATTCAGCAAAGATGTCCATTGATTCAGCCAAATGATGTGGGTAAGTCAACTAAAGACACAACCAATGGCAAATTTCACCAAATGTCTGTTAATGAGTCCAATCAATAAACGACAAGACTCGTTTGCTTCATGTTGTTCGCCGACAAACTAATTTCAGCAACCAGACGTATAAAATGTTAAAGTCTACATAACAATCTCATATATTATGTTTGTTTTTATGTACAATTTTGCGATGGCATTCACCTCCAGAGAGTCAGGATCTTTATCTGAAGCTTCTCACGAGAAGGTAGTCATTTCTCAGAATGACATACTGTCAACCTGCTATGCAGAGTGCGTAGAAAAGCAAGTTGATTGATAGCTACGGGGGTAGAGAGCGTAGATCTATGTACAATTGGCTGTACCGTACAGCGAAATTAGAAGCGAAATTGCGTCGGAAATTGACCAATTAGAAGCAGCAGAAACGCAGGGATTACGCATATTAAACGCGGCCAATTAGCCCTCTCAGAAGGTCAACACATACCAATACTCTTTGTATGTCCTACAGTTCTCGCAGTTCAATTCCGAAATGACTCCCAGGCTTTTAAACAGTATTTACATTAACTCTTTTATGTCAAGATGTTTCGCGGTGGCATCACACTTAGCAACTTTAATATCCTGTTGTACAAGTGTCACTTAGTATATCTTGATCGCTTAAATCTAAGTTGTAAGTTGATGAATTCTGGAAGTAGTAATTGTCAGAATCCCTGCGCATACGATACGTATCTGTTACGTATTAGCAGGATGATACAGGGGTCCCCGCATGCGAAACGCACGAAACGCTCTTGTAACTTTTACGCCCTGTTATTTATGGCAGTGAGCATTGCTATACGAATTGAACGCCAAATGCTGTTTCTGAGCTGTTGCAGTAATGCGCTTCTATAGCTATTAGTGTGAGCAAATGCTCCTCTTGATAGGAGTAACTCAATCAATTCACTTGGAATCTCCGTACGCTATTTGCTACATCCTCTAACAGTAATAAGACGAAATGTATTTGTCCGTTCAAAATATGGGGATTCATATCTTAGTGATGTATATAATAGTACACCAAGTATAGTGGTGGCTGGTTGTTTAGTGATTGTAGTGAATCGCGTTTTCACTATGCAGCTGGAAGGCAGCTGGGATCGTTAATGCGTCAAAACAGCTTAAAACATGACTTTCATGGAAAATGGTACAACAGAAACACTATCCCGTTTCCGTCGTTAATATTCTAGGTTATCTATTATCTATAAGGAGTTACATTACTTTGTTCTTGATTATCTAATCAACCTGAACTCAAGTCAATTCTGTCATAAACGTCATCAGGTAACCGGTTCTTAGGATCCTCATTGTCGCTGGCTACTGTATGGGTCGTTTTTGTTGAGCAAGGTAGTAGTTTCAAGACCACGGATACAGCCCACTGTCCCGCCATACAGACCATCGAGCGTAACAGTGGCGAAACATGACAGGAAGGTGGAGAATAAGTAGGTTTATGTGGTTGATGGAGTCAATAAAGAAGAGGATATGAGTCCTCAACCTCGATCGATTTTCGTAGACCTGGCAGGGCAAACGCAACATCAAAAGACCAACAGGACATGCCACGCCCACCCCAAGCAGATGGCGGGGCAGAACAACTTGGTAGAGCAACCCAGTGCTGTAGAAGCCACCTCTTCAAGGCAAAAACAAACAAAAAATAATATAGAGTGTTGTCGTGGATCATTCTGAGAGTGAACGGTACTGGTACCACTATAGTGAGAGATCCTCACCAGCCAAAGCCAAGCTGAACTCAACGCTCAGTTCCGACCCAGTAGAGTAGAGTACAGTACACTGACCAACAGAGGCAACAGACAGAATTAGTGGGGTATCTTGCATCAGCCAGAAAACTGCAGCTATATCCAGAGTCAGTGAAATAGAGACGCCTGCCTTCGCCATCCTTTTTTTTGGTGTCATCGCAAAAGCAGTAGCAAAAAACCAGCCGGCTGCTGCCCAACGTCCCTCAAAAGACATTCCATCAAGGTTCTTCGTCTTCGCAATTTCTTGTCGTAGTTTACCATCACCGTTCTTATCTCGACCTCGATCTCGATCATGACCATTACCATCACAACCCCCATCCTCCACCATACCCACCCTCCTGATCACCATTCCTCTCCACTTCCTCCCTCAACCATCCACTCCCCAAAACCTCATTAACATGCCACCGCTCCTGCACATCCATCTCCAAGCAGCCCATCACTAACTCCAGCGCCTCCTCCCCTCCTTTCTCACTCAAGCGCTGTTGATCCCAATCTCCCTTAAGAATCGCCGTTGACACCCGCGACTCGATCGCGCCCTGAAATGGCCGACTTCCCACAACCAATGAATAGATACAGACGCCCAACGCCCAGATATCGCTTGCAGTGCTGACGACGCCACGTTGGGCTTCGCGCTGCTGGCGGAGGTAGTGGTAGGAGTTCGCGAGATTCACGATCTCAGGGGCGGCATATTCGAGAGATCCCCCAGCGAAGGCCGATGTGCTTGTATCGCTGGGCCCTATGTTACGCTGTGGTAGTCGGTCGGCGTAGTTGATGTTCGGGGAGGGTGGGTCGTCGAAGCTCGAGGGGGAGTCGTTGGTGATCCATTCTGCCATGCCGAAGTCGCAGAGGCGGACGTTGGGAGGATCGACAGAGGTGTCAAGGAGGCAATTTTCCAGCTTGATATCGCGGTGAGCGACCCGTGCGTCTTCATGGAGATAGCGGATCGCAGTCGAGAGTTGATAGGTATATCGTTTTGCTAGGTGGGCTGGAAGACCGGAGCGATTAGCTTTAACGAGATCGAAGAGCGTGCCGCCTTTGTTAAGGGGAATGAAGCAGAATGTGGCATCGTCGGTTTTGTAGACGGCTTCTAACGGTAGAATGCGTGGGTGTTTAAGAAAGCGCCAAAGCTCTACTTCGTGGTCAAATTCCGCTTGTGCTTGTTCGTTCTCGATTTCGGATTTGCCCTCGATGTTGCGGCGGACAATCTTTACGGCCAGCTGGCGCTGCGAGCCATCTGGGTTCATGCGGAAGGCTTCTTTAATGACCGAGAAGCCACCGTAACCAATTTGCTTGCCAAGGACATAGTCCTCACCTATTGTTTGACCTTCGGCATCTGGAGAGGCCGGACTGTTGTCAAGATTATCCCCACTGTTGCCATTACGGCTGCCGCAACTTCTAGAAAAGCCAGCCAGGTATGAAGACGCAGCAGACTTCGGAGATTTGGTGGAAGAGAGGGAGCGGCGCCCCTCTTGACGACCAATTAAGCCCCGGGGGCTTTTACGGAGACTGCCGGAATGAGCGAAGAAATCTGCAGCTGCGGTTTGCGAGCGGTTGGGGTACTCAAAAGAATGCGCGTGAATAATTGGAGATGTCGTGATGGGTGACAGTAGGAAATCATTTGTTTGATTGTCAGGTGGAGTGCGAGCTCCCTCTATAGACGGTGATAAGGTTGCCTCTGAGGTCATGGAAGCTGGCAGGTCAGTCTGTGACTCTCGTGCTAGCTCATCTACAGTAGCAGGGAGAAGGGGGTGCCGAAGCTCGCCAACATGTGGCCTGTCTCGCTCTCTGCTCCTCTCATGAGGAGCAGCATCACATTGATTGCGATCCGGTCCGCTAAGGGCACGCTGCTGACGTTCCTGATCTTCCTTCATCACCTCTAATAGCGATCGGCCCCGAATCCGAGGCTTCCCTGCTCTCTGCAGAGGCTTTTCAATGTGCTGGCTTGCCCCACAGTCTAACCTGACAGTTGAGTCGAAAGTCACAGATGGTCTTCTTGTCTGGAAGTCCAGCGGAGAGGATTGGTGCGCCTGCTGAGGGCCAGATGCAAAACTTGCCCGTGTAATTGGGGCTTCGTCTACGGCGTTCTGGCTGGTCGGTATTGAAATTGGGGGCGTCGAGACATGTTCAGCAGCGCCCTCCACCCGCCTCACAGGGTAAGTAGGTGCTGGCTCGTTGTTGAAATAGCCGTAACGATCTGATGTCCATATTCCGTTGTTATTAGAAACTCCGTCGCTGCGCGGAATTTCTCTAGGATTTTGCCTGCCAGTATTGATTCGCAATTCTTGGAAGCGGTGCGTACCCTCCGCAACAGCCATTTAATTGTGGGCCGAAGATGGGAGGCAATGCGCGCAAAAGCGGTTGGGCTGCTGGCGAAGCCCTCTCCAGCTTTTTGGGGTATTGCAGAGTGCTTTTTGAGATTTGTGTGTGTGAATTATCAGGACTCTGGGGGTATGTGTATGTGTATTTGGTGGAGCCTCAAGGAGGCGGTGCACGGCGGATGGGAATATCGCAGCCTTGGGCCTTGTTGACTTCCAAAAGCGTGGTGAAGAATGTTCGAAAATGTTCAGAAAATGATCGAAGGAAACGGGTTCTCTATAGGACACGAGATTAGACAAAAGGCACTCGTAGCTTGTGGTGTGGGCAAAAGCTAGCAATGGTTCTGCTCCACATGGGGTGCTATGGAACATGTAGTGAATGAGATTAGTTAATGGTGAGGGGAGCACCTCAATGCCAAGAGGAAAGCAGGGCGGAAAGTGGGAGAAATGCGCAGGTCACCTGCCTCCCACCGGTTTGACCCGACTTTTAGTTAAGAAATATCTAACACCTCCTCGGCCGCCTCGGAGCTATGTGTTTAACAATGTTAAGTGAAAGATGCACGGACCACTCACCTCAAGCCGCTCTAATCCACAAGCAGTTAATCTTCACTAGGCTGTGTAGATCCTAGCTTCAAACAAAGGACACAGATCAGCCAAGATCTAGGCACCACCAAGTGCTTTGGTCAGCAGGTGTGGAACATTGAGATACTAAGTACTTAAGTAGTACTGTGGTTCAAGGTAGTCAGCATAAAGGTAACTAAATGGCACAACGAAATTGACGCAGCGGCGAGCGTTCCATAAAAATCCGGTCAACAGGCACAGAGAAAGTAACGAACATTTTTCCTTAATGTTCTGTATTCTATATCGATGCCACTGAATTTGAACCGCAGTCAGACCAAGGCGCCATAATACATTGAATACTAATGATCACTCAGCTTGTTAGATGAAAGCCTCACAGAAAAGAGAGGGTGCCTGGCCAATACTCCAGAGAGAATATTAATAGTTCTTTCGGAACCACACTGCTCAATTGGATGCTTGCCCAGGGAGGAACAGTGGCAGCTGGCTAGTTAGCTGGGCTGCCCGCTTTCCCGTGTTGGGACGCCCTCCAGGCCCTGTAGTGAGAATCATGTTCCCCCTGAAACAATTATTTCTCTCCAGATCTATTTGTATCTCGTAGACTATTCTCCGTTGCGAACGCTGTGAGTCTTTTATACTGCTGTCCCTCTTTTCAGCACTCGTTATCCGGTTGGAGTGGGAACAGTCGCCAGCTTCTCATTTACCGTGCTGTCGCGCTTTCCCAGCCATTCCTTGGATATACCTGTCGCATTGAAACCTCCGCAAAAGAAATCCGGTTTTCGACCTGCCATCCGATCATTACTGCATCTACCACACGATTCTATACCTTCTCGACAAGTGTACTAAGATATTCTCGACTTTCCAAATTACACAGACAACTTTCTATCACCACGTGTGCGACTCGATGCAACTGCGCCGCGCGCCCTACTTCGAGGCCCACACTAGCCCCCATATCGTGAAACAGAAACTCCCAATCCTCTGGCATTCTTGATAATGACTACTCTAAAGCCACAACTCATTCGTGCAGGTGAGAGGCAGCAGCAGCAGCAATGATGAGCCTCCTTGATTTGCGCCTAAGCTTACAACCTATAACCATAGATACGCTCGACCTGCAAACCCAAACCTCGCCCTCCGCAAAAGATCATACCAGACAGCCCACGCATCCTTCACCAGTTGGTCTAGGCCCTGCTGCGCCTCATCAGATTCAATCATTGCGAAATGCAGAACAAGATGCTTTACAAGAACAAATGAACAGTCCTCTGGTGGCTCACCACCATGACCAGGGCGATTTTACCGAGGAGCCAGAATTTTACGATGACCAACAGGATGAGGCCCATGATGGACTCCAGCCTCAAGACGGACAAAACGCTGGTCAACACGTCGACGATTCTGGCGTCGACGATAGCGACATCGGAGACCAGGGCGATGATGACGGCATGGATGATGACATGATGGACAAGATCTCCAGTTCTCCTTCCATCGATGATGGTAAATATCCCTTTTCTATTGTCTGGCCGTTCCGCAGGGACTCCATTGATTTAGGAGTGGCCCATTCTTCTTCATCTGTTCCTCCCGACGAGCCTCCATCCTCGTCCTCACCTTATGTTTCACCCCCTGAACATTATCCCATCAATTTCCGCAAAGTCAGGGAGAAAGTACCGGACAGTCATCATCATGGTGGGTATACTGGGCACACCCTGGACGTATCCGACACTGCGTCACCTTCGAGTGTGGAGAACATTGTGAATGCAAATTTGGCCCGTTTCCAAGAGACAGATGATGTAATGGACGACTCTGAAGAAGGGCTCGATCTCAATGACATCGATCGCTACTTGGTTCCCCTTGACGATCCATTACTTAATGTGGATGAAGAGGCGGATTCTGAATTCACTGAAGATGGGAATGCCGATGACCTCGATTGGGAAGACGACGAAGCCACTGTGACCGAGGAAGCGGATACGAGCTCAGATGATGACACTGGCAGATTTCTCTTCACAAATGATTCACGTTTCATTGATTCTGGTTGGGGAGGCGAATGCTTACGAGAAGTAGAAGACATCGACTTCGAATTTGTGTATGCTCTTCATACATTCGTGGCAACGGTGGAAGGGCAAGCCAATGCAACAAAAGGCGATACCATGGTCTTGCTGGACGATAGCAACAGCTACTGGTGGCTAGTAAGAGTGGTCAAGGATGGTAGCATTGGTAAGCCTTAGTCCGGCCATCACCGTGCTTGAGCCACGCTAAACGTACAAAAGGTTATTTGCCCGCCGAACATATTGAGACCCCAACCGAGAGATTGGCTCGCCTCAACAAGCACAGGAACATTGATGTAGGCATTCTTTCCCAAGCATTATCGGGGCACTAATAGTTCGAATAGCTATCGGCGACTATGCTTGGTGACAATCCTGAGAAGTCAAAGAATCCACTCAAAAAGGCAATGAGACGGCGGAACGCGAAAACAGTCCAATTTGCGGCCCCCCAATATTATGAACCCTCGGATTTTGATTATTCAGATGATGAGGAAGGCATTGAAGGAGATCCCGAGCAGGGCGACTACGATCTCGGCTCCAATGATCAGAACGTTGCACAAGGAGAAGATGTCGAAGGCGATGGAATTGCACCTACCGGTATCAAGACGCAGCAGGACGGAGAAATTATGGATGGCATTCAGACAACAAATGGTGCTGACAACTCTTATGAGGAGAAGCTGAACAGTCCCCAGAAGAGAGGAAATTCGGATGAGATCAACCCAGATGAGCGTCCGGAAGATCCAAATGCAAGATCCAGGAGAGGATTGGTGCGGAATACTGATTCGTTCTTCAAGGATGATGGCGTGGAGACAAAAAAGATCTCACTTACTCCAAGACTTTTACGAGGCGACTCGGATCTCAATATTCCTGGTCAACAGCCAGATCTTAAGCCTAAAGGCAGTCTGGAAACCTTTGATAAAGTTGTATCCTCTGAATCAGACAAGTCAAGCGACGAGAAGAAGAAAAAAGAGAAAAAGGGGATGCTTGGCGGATTCTTCAAGCGAAAGGACAAAAAAGCCAAAATCCAAGACAACGAATCTGAAGATGGGAAAAAGGGTTCAGACGAGTTGTCTCGAGTCTCGCCACAATCGAAGAAATCCTCGGAATCGCTTACTCAGGACGCAAAACCCGTCAAGGGAGAGAAAGCGCCACAACGACAGACCAGCAAACTGCAGAAGCAACCACGGCCTCATGTATCGCCAAAGACTTCGCCGTCCAAGGAGAATTTCCAAAGGCCTGAGCAATCACCTCACCCTAGCATGGAATCAACCATGTCCCCTTCTTCACAAGACTCATCATCCACTCCATCGACAGTGCGGTCGCCAGCAGCAGAACAATCCAGGACACAAGAAAATATCTCTCCGCGTATTGGTTCACCCGAAGCCAGACAAGATAGGGCTGCCTCGCCCAGTCAAAATAATACCATATTTTCCCCCTTGACAGATGCTCTGCAGCCAGCTCCCGTCCGTTCTCGAAGCAAGGATCTTGACGCCCAACCTAAAGCAGTACCTGCCAAACAAGTGAAGAATCGCTTTGACATCGAAGACATGAATTCTGACGAGGACGCTACGCCCACTGTCGAAGCTGAGCAAGTCAGACATATGCCGCCAACCTTGGTCACTCCATCCTTGGAGCAGTATCAAGAGCGCCTCTCCGAATCACCAATTGAGGTGTCACCGATCGAGCCTTCCCAAAACCACAAGTCCTCTTCCGGATCGCGGCCACCAATGTTGATGGTCGATACCTCTGATTCCGAGCGAAGATCCGTCTCCCCCGTCTCGCCAACATTATCTTCATCGCCCTCACTGGTAGAAGCCGATGCTGAAACCCCCAATGGAGCAGAGGAGTTAACCAACCCTACCGCTTCCTCGCCTCATGCTGACGCTCACACACCTTCCACGGCGCGATCAACACCCACGTGGTCTGATGCATCTCTCCGGACCTATATGGACAATGACGACGATATTCGAGACTTACTCATAATCGTACATGACAAGTCTAATGTTGTCCCGGCTGGACCAGATCACCCCATCACTGGCCACCTGTTCGGTGCAGAGAAAGGACGCTTGGCAGAAATGCAGTTAAATCTTGATTCGATGCTAACCAACTGGCTTGCTCGGAAGAACCAGACCAGGCTATCAAGATGATTCGGCAGCATATTTCACTTTCCTTTTATCACGCTTCACATTGATGACTTGAGCGTGCCACATGAGCCACGTCGTTCTCTCCGTTGGCGCTCCTACAGGTTTGGGTGCTGACTGCCACGAGATATCGTGAGTACCAATGGATATGGTTCATCACGTAATGTACATATTTTTGGTGGGTATTGAGTAGTGGATTTTGTCACATGTGCTACTTGAGAACGGAGGCTGCGGACGAAAGATGCTGTTTTGTTGTCCCGCCACTGCAACAAGAACTAATCGGGGACCAGAAGACGAGGTTCCGAAGTCATGCACTTCCTGCAGCTCTCAAGAAGTAATAGGTTTCACTGCCATAATGGTTACGAATTGCTTCTAAGCATACATGCGACGTGGAAGATGACTGCTGTATTCATTGTTCAGAGCTGAGATTTAGTGCCTTCGCGACTGCGCCACAGGGCTGAGTAGTGGCTGCGGGGGTTTAGTTAAGGGTAAGGTGACGAATGCCAGGCGAGGGGCCACCCAATTCACATACGATGTGGCGGCTCTGGCGGATCCGAATCCTTCTAAAGAACTTACTTCACCCTCAAGCCAGCTTACCTTTACTCATTCTTCACTCTTGAGATAAATCCCCGTCACTCGCCTACTGAATCTCCACTTCTCGACCATCACATATATCCTCATCTTCCCAGTTCACGCACTTCAGAACGGTCATCATGTCAGGTCCCTACGATCAATACGGCCAACAGGGTTACCAGCAACCCGGCTACGGCCAAGGTTATCCGCCACAACAGGGAGGGTATCCTCCCCAGCAAGGCTATCAACCTCCTCAGGGCCAATACGGCCAACAACCACCTTATCAAAACTATGGGGGACCACCCCCTGCGCAGTATCCTCCTCAACAAGGATACGATCAGAACTTCGGTGCGCCAGCAAGAGCGGATAGTTTCGGGCCACCGCAGCACGGCGGATTCCAGCATGGCCAGGCAGGCGGGCAATACGGGCAGTATGACGCGAGTAATCCTCAAGGCCAACCGGGATACTAGTAAGTTTGATTTGTCACGACTACCTTGATCTGGTCGTCATTTGAGTCTGTACTGACCTTCTCCCCTAGTGGTGGCCAACCGCAGCAATACCCACAACAGCCTCAGTATGGCCAGGGCCCTCCTCAACAGATCTACGATGCGAACGGCCAGCCGCATCAGTTTCCCCCTCAGTCTAGCGACAAGAATGCCCCGAACTATGACCCCAATGCTCCACCCATGACGGAAGGCGAACGCGGTCTCCTCGGCTCAATCGGTGGAGGCGTGGCAGGACATTATCTTGGCAAGAACACTGGACATGGTTTTCTGGGTACGATCGGTGGTGCAATCTTAGGGAATTTGATGGAAGATAAGGTCAAGAAGGGGAAACATGGCAAAAACCATGGCAGCAGCAGCCATCACGGTAGCAGCCATCACGGTAGCAGCCACAGCGGGAGCAGCTGGGGAGGCAAGTGGTAGACATTCTGGCGTGTCTGATAATGACTTTTCTTTGTTACTGGCACTTTTTTGTATAGCGGCCACGAGTTTCCTTTGGCTGCCTCCTCGACGATGTTGAAATGACCTTCCAGCGAGCTGGCATTTAGATGGGCGCATTCGAATCGATGAATTCGGAGCAGTTATAGCTCTGCGATTCGACAGATCTACAAATTGCTGGAAGGATTGATGAACCCGACGGAAAAGTATTACATCCAGTATCATGGTATCAAGATATAGTACTCCGTACATCTGCCCTTTCTCTGCGCTATCTTTCCGAACGCTGTGCACATCCAGCTCTGATCTGGTCTTTGTTCACGAGTACCTCCTCGCCAAAGAGCGGGCTTCACTCCATTCACATTTCGACGTGTTTCGGTAAGGCCGCTCCCTGATTTCAGATCACAAGCTTATCAGGCGTGGCTTTCTTGTAAACGCATCCAGACAACTGCACGATATGTTTCGCAAGACATCAGCGCAGATGCTCTCGGGAGGGGAACAGCCTCCTGGCAGCGGTCAAGATGAATCAGAACAAATTAAAATGAACGAAGGGATGGAATCGGCCCGCAGATGTGTCACTGCTTCTTCCTTTCTGCATGCAGTGTGACAGACCCTGTAACCTTTGGAGAGGAAGTATCTGGCGAGCTGGATTGTAGGATGATTGACAGATGTGCCGCGATTACAGATATTCCAAATCATGTGATGCTGCCCGACCAAGCAGGCATCATTGAATGTTTATGTAGTAGTGCTGGTGGTGCAGGTGGATGCGCGGCAAGATGATTGAGTGGCTGACCAATTCCCATCCTGTGGGACTTGGAGAGTTTGCCGCTGTCTCGGACCCTGCGTCACCCCTTGACTCCGTCTCGTCCCATCAACTCGCTGCAACGATCTCGCGTTTCACCTGCCACCCTGCAACCAAAGCCGCCCGCCTTCAGCTGCCATCATGATGATGCTGCTACAGCTCCGCTGTCATTGGCTTTCGCACACTTCAGTAGCACGGTGTTTCTCTGATGATAGGCTACTGGGGACTGCGGCTCTTGTATTACTCTGCTCAGGTGTCCGAGCAATCGCAATGTCCGGCAAGCGAGCCCATCGCTTCGGTGCCAACTGAAACGAGATCTCTGTTTGGCAGTCGGCTACTCAGTATTCGCATGGCAGCCATTGATCAAGTGGCTCGCTTGTGCCTTAGAAGGGAAGTTGTCTCTTGCTCGTCTCTTCCCAGGTTGGCCATCAAGCCAGTTTGTTTGCTTGCAATCAACCTCATCTGCCAATCGTTCCCAGGTACCGAGTTCGAAAGGCAGTGCTAAACTCAAAGTTTGTTTCTCAATTTGCTACACTGCTGGTCCAGATACTGTTTCACTTTTCCGCTGTTTGACCTGTGCCAATCATTCTGCCCAAGCGTCTTGCCGGTTCCTTGATGAGTCCTCGCATCGGACTCTTACAGTCTGTCTGCAAACGCGCATGCGGGATAAGAGCTTGAATGCCTTGATATTGCTCGGTAGCACTTTATGCCAGAGGTCGATTGGGAAATTCCATTGCACGTAATTGAAATACAAGGTATCGGTATTCTGGAGGCGCAGCTGTGTTTCGGGTCCATTAATCATTCAAGCCGCAAACCAGTTTGGGACGTTTGTTGTCGCGAGCAGAGGGTGTGCACACGCTTGCGGTCTGCATTTTTGTGCCACAACCTAATCCCAGAATCCATCATTGTGCCATCGAGGTTAGTGTTCTCTTATGCGCATTTTGCATTTCTAAACCGTTCTGATGTACCGTCTGCCTCCAGGCACGCATTGCGATTTTGCTTCCGCTCGTACCGTTGATACCCCGTCAGGAAACTCGTTCATTGGCAGAAATCAGTGCTTGTCTTCGTTGCGGTCACGAGACTTGGCTGTGTTGAGTGCGGTCAACAGGGCAACTCCCAGGTCGCCAGGTTTGGTACTTTTGCGGAAGCCTTAACCACCTAAGGCGGTGGGTGGAGCGCAGTAGCAGGATAGGGGAAGGACAGCAACAACACTGGGCCAAAAGAACAAGAACAACAAACACCCCATCTCACAGTTTGCACCTGTCTACCCTGAAATCACGTCAGCCTCAACAATTTTTCACTGCAGCCTCAATTCTCTCTACCAACTCCGTCTTCATAATGAACCTCCACTATTCCGTCCTCTTCCTTGCGTCTATCCTACTACTGTCGTCGTCCGCCTCTGCAGACTCTCTCAACCTCTTCAAGGTCCAAGCGATTACTAACTTCCCCCAAAAATGCGCGGCCACCTACAGCATCGATATCAGCGACTGCAGTCCATCTGAGATCACCGTAAGCGGCGAGATCGAACCCGATGGCAGAGGTGTCTGCTCGCTAGAGTGCATTGCCGCCCTGTCGATGGTCAACAACAACCTTCTTTCTGCGTGTACAGGTGTGCAAGCAAATGCGAACACACTGATTGGCATGTTTTTTGCACAAAAGGGGGTCAGCTATCTATGTCCCAACAGCGTGGTGGGGAATGGACCAGCGCCTTCATCTACAGGAGTGGAAAGCACAGCAGCAGAGACGTCCACATCATCATCATCATCATCCTCGAGCGGCGAGACTTTGACAACGACTACAACGACAACAACCTCCTCAAGTAGTACGACAGAATCCTCGCAATCTAGCATAACGTCAGCACCCTCACCCTCATTCCAACCAACGACAGCAGTAGACAAGGGTGTTGCTACCGTCCTAACCTCTGAAGCCCAACGAAGCGATAGCTCAAAGTCAAATCCAGACGCGTTTGGTGGTGGAGGCAGTCCATTTGAAGTTGCCGCAAATGGTGCTGTTCCAGGGAGAGTGAGAAATAGTGTCCCAGTCATGTTATATGCTGCGACGTTCTGGAGTGTCATGGCGGGATGCTGGATCTTGGTTGGTGGATGAAACAGGGGTTGGAAATGTATTGAAAGAAAATCGGAGGCCAACGCTGAGCATGATGTTTGGGCACTCCGGATTGTCTTTCCTCCCTTTCTGTACAGGGATCAGCATGAATTTCTTCTACTTCCGCATCAGGAGAGAGAGGGGTGTGTTAGTGAAGTCCCACCGAGAGGAGTAAAGCGCAGCGCACGGTGTCTGGTGTTTTTTTGCTCTATCTGTCGGCATGGGTCCAAAATTCGACTCAGAGGCTGCCTCGCTGCGGTGAGCTACGGTTAATACACTCATCATAATCCATCCTCATGCATTCAAGTTCACAAGCGTTTGCTTTCATCATCTTCATCTTCGTGAGGACATCTGTTCGGTCCGTCGTCGTCTATCCGTCTGTCAGTCGGTCGGTCAGTCGGTCAGCTGCGAACCACCCCCACCGCAGTTACACAACCCATACGGGCCACTCAACGCTCACTTCACTGCATGAGTCAACACAGTCTCACTCATCCACAAACAGTCCTACTAGTAGAGACTTGGCACTCCGTACAGCTAGTAGTCAACCCAGTTCAGCGAAATGCATAAACGGTGTCGACCAGTAGAGCAAACAAGCTAGAAATAGAAATAGAAATAAGAAGAAAGAAAAGAAAAGATCATAAATCATGACAACGGTGTTATGATGTGATCTGACCCCCTCCCCCTGCTCCTCTTTGTTCGTTATCAAATATATCCCTTTTGTGCACTTCCTTCCATCCATCCAGATCCTAGCTAGCTGGTTAGCTCCCTGGGAAATGTTCGATGTGTTTTTTTTTTTTTTTGGATTCTTGATTCTTGAGTAGACAGTGCGTGCTAGTGACTAGTTGGTTGTGACACTTGAAGGGAAGGGAGGGAAGGGAAGGCGGGAGTGGATTTTCCTTTCCTTCCCTTCCCTGCCCGTTCCGTCTCGTCTCGTCTCGTCCCGTCCGCTACTAAAGAAGAAGGAGGGGGGTAAAATGAATGAATGGATGAGAAATAGAAGAGGCGGGTCTGTCGTGTCTACGCTACTCTACTCTACTCTGATTATGATGATGATGATCACCATCATCATAGATAGAAGGGAAGGAAAGAAGAGGAGAGGAAAGGGGGATACATGGATATGAAGGAGTGAGTAATAGTGAGACCCAGATGGGAATGTAAGTGGGTATGTAAACTCTGAACCAGCACAGGGAGTTACAGTGGTTCATGTATCATGTAGTTTGATGCTAGATGGGGCGGTGGAGTGGAGTGGAGTTTATATGTGCATACAACAAAGCAGTGAAGGCAAGAGAGTCCAAGTCGTGACAGGGCAAAACCCTCCGGCGAGCTTCACCGTATCTTGCTGGCATATGCTGTCCCTCAGGATGTGATAACTCACAAGGAGTAGCAATAAGTCATCCTTTTAAAATCAGTTTAAATCCATGTCACCTATGTATCCTTATCTTACAAACCGAAACATACCACATATGTACTGAAACAGGGTGCGTAACCCGACCTCCATGCTCGAATTGCCAACTCCCCCAATCATTTATCTCTCTTTGACTGCTTAACTAGATTCGCGGACTCTGGCCCGCCGCAGCACCATGACCAGCTGTAGTCGTCGTGGTGCCACTCGGATATCTGGTAATATTCGGAACCCATTCCTCTTCCGGGATAGCTGTCGCTTCAGAAGGCGAATTGATATGTATCTCTGGGGTTGTTCCATCGTGACCTTGGTGCCGGTATTGTTGCTGCTGATAGTAATCCTCCTGCTGCTGTTCTTGCTCCCGTTGCGAGTATTGCTGCGAGTAGTCCTGCTGCTCTTGATATTCATATCGCTCTTGCAAATATCCCTGCTGTTGAGAATCGTGTTCTTGTAGGTAGTCCTGCTCTTGCTGCGAGTAGTGCTGCGAGTAGTGCTGCGAGTAGTGCTGCGAGTAGTCTGCTTGTTGTGCATATTCTCCTTCTTGGTGTGCGTATTCATCCTGTTGGGCATATTGGACTTCATGTGAATACGCCCCGTCCTGCTGTGCATATTCATCCTGCTGAGCATATTGCTCCTCTTGAAGATACTCAGCTTGTTCGCTGTATTTTGGATTCAGATTCTCCAATTCTGGCTCTTCTTTCTGGCCTCGGCCCAAAGAACGTGGAACTGGAGGGACATCGACCTGTCCTGCACCTCGATGAACATGCCAAGCCACGGTGGCAGTTTCAAGAGCCGGGGTTTTTGCATTCGTCTCCAAGGTGATGGTACTTGAACGGACAGAGCCAGTATCCTTGCTTGTCCACTGGCGGCCCTTTGGATGAGCGACAGCAGCTGGAGCCAGTAAATCTGTTGGCAACGCCGCTTCACCATCATTGGACATTGGCTGCTGCAAACGCTGTTCCCGCTTCTGCCGTCTTTTTTGCATATTAGTGACCCAGCCAGTAACCGACATGTGACGAACTGGTCCCGAATCTTCTGTCATAGTTGTAAGTGCGGTGTCTCTTCGCGAATCTCTGTCAGAAGGAAGTGGCGGCAGGGGATTCTCCCTGAGACTTGTTCGAATCGGTGGAACAGATGTTGGTGCAGTAGTCGACCAGGAAAAAGCACTTACTCCAGGTCGAGGGCCAGACTTCTTCTGCGACTTCAGTCGCGTGACTGCTGGATGTAATGCCATTGAGGATTCCGTCTGTATTGACATATCTGCAGCAGATACTGGCCGCCGACTCCACTCATCGCCACTCGTGCGGACGTTTTGCCTGTTAGATATTCCGTCATCGAGAGTGTCCGAACTCTGGCCTTTCTCCATGTCGACTGGACTTGGTCCTTGCTTGCCCTTCTTCTTCAATGCTTGGTTCAATGGCCCATATAACGCTTGTTGAATTTTCTGAACGAGGTTTGGCTTTGGCTGCCCTTCTGGCGTTTTAGGGACTAGATCTTGTTGGCTCTCATTGAGCTTATTGTCGTAAGTATCGTGCAATGCGGATTCATCATCTGAGACCGCTCCCCTTGTCGTCATTGGATCAGAGATTTCGACCTCAGCTGGCTCTGCAGCGTTTTTGCGTTTCCGCCACCATGCCGGGGGATTGCAGCTATGATCACTACGTCTTCTATAAAGCAGAAATAGCGAGAAGGAGATCACACCAAAAGCGATCATTGCACCGGTGATAATGCCGAATGCAGCTGCATTCTTAGGATCGATAGGCTTTCCGTGTGAATTGGGAGCGATGGTTGACACTGTAGCTTGCGGACTGTCTGTAGAGGAGGGAAATGTAGCACTGGTGGGACTTTCATCGTCAGATCGGGCTTGAAGATAACCCGGAACAGAGATGGGAGATGGTGGGCGGTGCCACATCTTCGCCAAACGTGTCATTGCAGAACAAATTTAACTTTTCGGCCAATGGTAATTTCCAGACAATCTCAGTCCAGACTTCGCATTCAAACACAATCTTACGATCTCCGCTTAACCAATCGATCGACACCAGATGTCTTTAGAGTGGTTGACAAGTTCTCCAGAACTGTCGATAGGACTACAGAGTGATGTCGACAAAAGACCCTGAGATGTTCCTTTGACACCTGGAAACGGTAACGGGTTGAAAGGTGTAATGGCCTCGGGGAAATGATGCTGGTCGATTCGATGAGACCGATAGCAAGAGTTATAGCTTCAATCCCAGAAAACGATAGGGTAGGTAGGATTGGGACAAATAAGAATATGTTGCAAGAGATGCAAGCCGCTTTCCCCGAGCGATGGAGATCAGCTTCAAGCACACATCAGCTCGAGAAGGTGACCCAGGAGCAACTGAGCCTTCGTGGGGTGCCTCGGGGAGCAAGCAATAGAAAGAAAGACAAAGGACGGTAGGTAGACCAAAAACTAGGTGTCCAAATTCCGAAGACTAGCAAACGGAAATAACAATCTGGGACATAGATAAAATCAGAACCAAAGAAAAGACAGGATAAGGCGGTGGGCTTCCACAATCAAAAGAGAGCAGATAGAGAAGGAGTATCCAGCCTCAGAAAACAAAACCAGAAAACAGCTGGAGAGATGTCTGGGGAGGCGATGATTCAGCTGAAGAAACAAGAGAACGGCATTGAACAGAGCAGCTGTCCGGGTGATGGCTGAGGTGGCATGTGAGATTCATGTTGTTTTAGACGTTCATCCGAAGGGAAGAATGTAACAGGTAGGCGTCAAGGCGGAAAAGCATAGGAGTTATGAGCAACAAGATCCATCAGCATCAGACCTCCACTCTCCTGCATATGTTTCTTCAGCTAATCGTATTTGGTGACTGACGTTTGTCTGTCTCGATTTGTGGGTCGAAGCTAAGGATGGAGCGGTTGTTGAAGGGACTTGAGACGAAACATGTTGCGAGTGATGTGCTCCGGATGGAAAAAATCAGGTCGGCTTGAAGGGGAAACTTATGCTACAATCCGTCCTTGGCGTTCGAAGCGCTCTTGGCAACAGCCACTTCTCTTACTAATTAGTACTACTCTACCAATCAAGTACTACTCAGACGAAGAACTAGAGTGATTCCCCAGGCCTCCTGCTGTAGCTGTCTATTAAACTGTCTCTGGCTATCATGCTGAACGCTTCAGCTCGTGCTACCTAGCCATACAACTTCCATTAGCTATGTTGATTATGTACGCTCTATACCAGCAGAACCATTTGTGTCGATGGTTCCAAGCCATCACAATGGTCCTCCCGATGCACCAATAGTAAGGAAATGATATGTACATATGAATAAATAATGTCAAGAAGCATCGCTCCGAGAGGGTAAGAAAGTAGTAAGGCGTGCCATGGGGCCGGCCTCAGGTCCATGACCATGGCATGACTTTAAAGGAAGCGGCTGCCCAATGGAGACACCACAAAGAGTTGCACCATAGAAAGGCGACATCTCGATCGAGCCGATGGGAATTATATTTTGCGACATTGATATCCAATGGACATCAGCAGTGTGGCGCGGTTGTTGTTATAAAGGGTGGAGGAAGAGTATTGTTGTCATGCCAATCATAAACCATTCGAGAACGCCATGCTTCGCCTGTAATGCCATGCCAACGCCAATGCTGGTGTGAAGGAATGGTCAGAATCACGTTTCAGGACGCGCCGCTGAACCACTTTCTGTGGAAGCGTCTCCTTCGACTGTTTTTCTCCACGCTTCTGGCAGACACACACAGACCAGGGGGAATGCCTTGATCTCGCCGGTTGGCGGCGGCGACTGGGCTCTGGCAGCGGAGCCATTTGATACTCCACTGTCACGCTGTACTTTGTGCTTGCCATCGTAGTCCTCTGCGCGCTCGTCGATACGCACACCGGTTGCCCAACCATCGTCCCAAATGCCCACAACCTTGAGCATGTCCCCTCTTTCGAGCTCGAATTCATCACCAGCACGAGGTTGATAGGCCCACAGAACGGACACTTTGTCGTTGGGATGAATCTCATCTGAGGAATAGTAATCCTTAAAGGAAGCAAGCTGCTCGGATTGACCGCTATTGACACCTTCTGGAGATGAATATTGACCATTGCTGTCGGAGTTTGGTGAGCTGTCTTGGCCGGCTGGGAAAGCTGAGTTGCTGGACAAGGAGCCATCACGTTTACCCGTGACAGGTCCCTTCATCTTGTTATTTGATCCAGGGCTCTCGTAAGCCTCAGAGTCAGATGTGTCATAGCCTCGACGGCTACCCGCCTGCGGTGCAGCGTCTCCGGCAGAAGGCCCCTGCAATGCCGACATTCGGGCCACACGACCTCCGGGAAGAACTTCATAACCAATTTGAGATGAGGCAGGTCGCGTTTGTTGCATGCTTTGCGCGCCGAATCGTTGTGGAGTTGGTTGATTAAAAACACTATCAGAAACGCTTTTACCCCGCCGTCTTCTTCTAGCGAAGATACAGCATGCAGCAAGCAGAGATAACAGCAACGCAGCGGCCACCACGGAGCCAATGGCAATACCTGCGATAGCACCTCTAGACAGGCCGTTGCTCTCGGCCGCCGCTGGAGGGCTGGTGGAGGAGGAATTTGGTGCCCCACTAGCTGTGGAAGTGGGCAACAAGTTTGGATTAAGGGTAAATTGTGGCAAGACAACGTCTTGACAGCGTCCAGGGGCGTCTGAACCAATACAGCAAGAATCTGTGGCATTCTCAGAGCTTGCTCGGCAATAGTCACACAAACCTCGAAGGCTCGGACCAAATCCACAGTTCTCCGGTTCGTTTCGAGCTCCAGTCACACAATCTCCACTTAATGAATCTGCTGGAAGGGCGCAGTTGGTGAAATCGGCTCGAATCTGCTCGACATAGTTATCCGCTGGATTGCCACAAAGTTGGCTGTCCATGGTTATTTTTTCTTCGCTGATAGCCAGCTCTGCCTGAAAAGGAGGTCAGCCTGAGAAGAAGCCAAACCCAGCTTCAAGACACTCACACAAGCATCGGCACAGAGCGGTCTGACATCATCCACAGGTGTTCCGCAAGGTTGCCGAGAGTTTTGGACAATCCCATTACATATTACGCTGGTGGTATATCGGGCGTATAATAAGCTTGTATTCCTAAGGTCGACATTGTCGCAACCGAGTAGGATTTGGTATCTGTCGATATGGTCAGCTTGCGAGCTCCTAAGTACCTTGTGGAAAGACCTACTTTTGTTGAACGTAGCCACTCATGACATATTGACTCAGTTGGTTGTCAAATTCTTGAGTGTTCGAAACGAAGGCGAGAAACGGACTGCAGTGACATAAAGGTTAGAGATTGCGTATATCAGCTGTTGGGCATAGGTCCATACTATAGACTAATGAGTTCGGTATTGGTCGAGATGGAGGATGCACTGAACGCAGAGCATGTCGTGGAACCTGCGAGAGGGATGCAATTTTGTGCGAGTGTGACCGAGGTTGACGACGCAAGTAACCCTAGCAAGAATGATTTGTTTATGGCTGTTGTCCTCCTCTTTGCACGATTTGAGCTCCGTCGCTTTTCATACGAAGAGACCATCATGGTGTCGCAGATGTCGTTCATCGAGATGCTTGCATGGTTGCGATGCTCGCTGTAGAATATGTCGTCGGTTGACCCTGCCCGTGAGGCGGCCGCGTATTTCTCGCCGAGGTGAAGGTCACAACACGATTGCAACTCCAGCTTCTCCAACTCTTCCGAAACAGATCCAGACAACGAAAGATTACTTAACAGGCCGCAAGGAGAGAGAGGGAAATTCAAAAGAGTGACTTGGCCTGTGTTGTCTGGATGTCCCAATCGGAGGGAAAGGAGGGTACGAGTGAGATGAGAGGGCGCGGCGACGATGACAAGGAAGAGGAGAGCAACTGGATTGATTGGGGAAAGACGCCGACCAAGCTGGGAAAGTGCGACTAGGGTAGCTGTTTAGTAGGCTTAAGTAAGTGGCTTATCACTAAATAGTGGAGTTCCCCGAAATTAACGAAGACGGGGCTGGTAAGGATTAAAAAATCACACACCGATGTTCAAAGAACGAGACCTATGCAGGTCGAATGCTGCCACTCATGGTCATGCATATCCCGCTGAGCGAAGAACCATTCATACTCCTGCCGAGCGATGTCAAAATACCAGCTGGAATCCGTGAGTCCCATCAGATGAAGAGGATAGCACGCGTTGAATGTGCTCTGTCTTGAGCTTTAGCCTTCCTAGTGAGATTACATGGCGCACATGTAAGAAGCCTAACCTGGCCAACCCCCATTTGCACCACATCCCCATTCGCAACGGTTTTTGGGTCGTTCTCTGTGTTCCTACTTAAAATTTTCAAGCCACAAAATTCACCTCGCCACCTTTCTACAGATATTCATCAATACCAGTACTTAGATGGTTCGAAAGGCCTGAATCAAACACTGTCTGTTTACATGATGCACTACCAATCTATTCCATCTCCAAAATACCGTCAGAATAATAGAACCTGAATAGCAGTGCTCTGGGACCTAGAATGCCAAGTGATTTCTGTTGCAAATTGGGGTGTTGTGCAAATGGGAGTTGGCCACGTTAGCAGATCCTAGCTCTGCAGATTCGGTCCACTAAGATCCAACCACCTCCGCTCCAGTGTGAAAGTTTTGCTGGAGTTACTACATTGTACAAAATTCAGTTGGATTTATTTTCACTGCTCATGCTGGGTCCCGCCCAACCGTTTCAACTGGAGTCTATGTTATATCTTTTTTCTGCTTCAATTAGAGCAACACAACAATGGTTTGCGCACCCAAAAACTGTACGAGTAGACGAATATGAGAGTAACATGTGAAGCCAGAAGATTAAGGCACGATGATGAACCATTTGGGTACCTGCAGCCAATGTATGGGCAGCCAGACAACGTACTAGCCTTGCGTTTAGGCATGATAATGCGCGCCATTTGCTGTGCGACAGGCCACCGATGCTGGTGTCCACCTATTTTAAACAGGGAGGTCGGTCTTCCCTAGAGATACATGAACCAGCCGCTCGTCCTCTCAGAACATAAAGCATCAATTGTTGTGGAATCGTAGCGAGTCATCATCTTTTGCACGTAATATTGACTTCTAGATCACAGACATGCAGATCTACAAGGGGGTTAGTAGGTTAGTTCATGATCAGCATCACCCGTAGCTCAGGAATAGCGGACCCTGCGGGAGATGTGCTGAGAGCACGTGTCTTGCCTCCAAAGAACTCGTACCTGCAATTCGTAGCCGCATACCACAGCAACGACTTGAGATCTTGATACTAGAAGATATTAACTCATAGGCATCGTCGAGCTCTTCGGAACCGTCACCCGTTCTCTCCGCATTGTGAAAAGTCTAGGCGTGCTGAGCTCCCCATCAGGATGTATGAAGCAGACATCATGTAGGAGGCGGACCGTCACTGCCAGCTCAAGCAGAGAGAGCAGTTTCTTAGGAAGTAACGGAGCATCCAGAAAAATGGCGTCTTCAGCTACTAATGAGACAGTATCGAAGAAGCGTAATGCTTGTCAGTCACATAGCTTTAAAGCGCATTATTTCCCTACTGATTCTACTAATTGAACAGTTAGCGAACTCATGAGTCCCAAACCTAAGATACCTAAGGGCACCCCAGCCCCAAATCCCATGCCATCTTCAACAACATCAGAAACAGCAGAAAACATTCCCCCAAGCCGCCGCGACGGCCTGGGCACCTACATCGCGAATCCCGCCTCCTTCCCACCTACCGTCGTAATATCGCACAACCCAGACTACGTCACAATCCGGGACCTCTACCCAAAGTCCAGCATTCACCTCCTAGTCCTTCCCCGGAACCCAGCCAAATCACACCTCCATCCCTTCGAAGCCTTGGATGGTTCCGACCCCAGCTTCCTCACCTCTGTCCGTGCCGAATGCGCCAAAGCTAAATCCCTCGCGGCATCTGAACTCCGCCGCCGCTTCGGCAATTTCTCCACCCAAGACCAAGCGCGTGAGGCCGCACTGTCAGCTGATCCCGCACCTGACGATCTCCCGCCAGGTCGCGACTGGTCCGCTGAAATCATGGTGGGCGTCCATGCCGTCCCTTCCATGTCACATCTGCATATCCATGTAATATCTATGGATAGACATAGCGACAGGCTCAAGCACCGGAAACACTACAATAGTTTCTCAACGCCTTTCTTTGTGCCATTGGATGATTTTCCCTTGGCAGACGAGGATGACAGGAGGTGGCCAGGCAGGGAGGGGTATCTGAAGAGAGACTTCAGATGTTGGAGGTGCGGGAAAGGGTTTGGAAAGGAGTTTAAGAGGTTGAAAGAGCATTTGGAGGAGGAGTTTGAGGATTGGAAGAGGGAGTGATAGGTGAGGAAAGAAGGAAGGTTCTCGAAATTCATGATGGTTTGCCAGACGCGCGTCGATAGCTTTCTGGTTCTACGCGATTGCTACACAAGTGTCTTGCAATACATCTATTCGTGTTTCCGACCCTGGTCGTATTGGATGGAAACTGTCGCCAGCTAAACGAACCGATGGATCGAGGGTTCTCACGGTGCAAAGTCTTCTTGGCATTTCGGAGTGACCAAGAGTGTGGTCTCAAACATATACTCCTTCGCTTTTCACAGGCCAGAATCAGAGTCAGTACGACAGGTCGTGCATTCAGTAATAGACAGTCCTCGTCTGCTGTGTGCGTGCACCAAGGCTCCAAGATATATGGAGGCATGCCAGCCAGTACCGACGCTACATTGTGCATTACTAGTACATTTTGTGGTCGACGTGCAGTGGCACGATTAAAGCTTTTCCAGAATTGGATATACTGACAACTATCATGAGCATGGCTCTTTCGCTCCAATTGAATGCGGTTCCATGTAAGTCATTTTGCATGGAACCCCTGTAGAAACGGTGAATGCTTCCGTCCGACGGCCGTGTTCATAGGACGAATGGCCTTGGGCTTCTCATGCCTCTGCCCCAATCACGAGTTGCTGACTGTGATAGTGATGATCATACGTACAGCTTGCCAAACCAAGAGCCCAGCGGGTTGCAACTACAATTACTCCGTCAGCGTTGTCAAATCAATCGCTGGGAGGGTTTTTTTTTAGGCAGATACCATACTAAGTAAGCTGCTTGAGGTCACTCTGAAGAAACTTATGCTGCGGATGGCTTCGACAAGCTTTGCTAGTTAGTGCTATTTCGGTTGGGATGATGAAGGGAACGATATTATGATGAGCATACAAGCCTGTACTCCATTACTTAACTCTGAAACAAATCTCCGGGATAGAGTGCTTGGACACGAGTTAGTTGCGAATTTAGTGTAGTTGAGGGACCACACGTGAGGCGCCGTTGAGGTGAGGTGTTGGAATTGGGTCGTTTCGCTCGTGGCATGGCCCCCACATCAGTCCCCTTTAAAAGTGCCTTGGCCAAAGCCAGCACCAGACCCCAATGCGAGACATGCATCTGAAGATTACCAGTCAAATAGAGGACGATGAGCCACGATTATGACAGTGGATATAAACCAACCTTGGCCGACCGTGGGTAGGTTTTTCCACAAATGAACCCCTTGTGTTACTGTATCCTTAATGTCTGCGTTGACCACCAGTGCTTGTACATCCTGTTGATTCCTCTCCATAGAATCTTGCTGTATCAATCCTTTGTCAATAATGCATTTCCAAGCTCTTCCTCAAGAAATTGTTCTTCATATTCTTCGCGATGTTGGATCGGCACATTTCCGGAGCAGCGTCGAAACAACTGCTTGTCTGCAAGAGTTGGTACCCTGCAGCGCAAAGCGTGATGGTTGAAGAGTTACATTTGAGCGAATACAACCTTCCATACTTTCTAGCGAATATGTTGGCGCAAAGGAAACTATGGCGCCTTGTTGAGACCAATTGTCGAAGGGTCAACCTCAAAATTCGTGGTCCTCAGGGGAAATCGATGTTCAAGAATCATTCGGCTGAATTCGAATGGGGCGCGCGGATCACTCCATGTTTGACGTATCTGGCAACCAGATTACCTCGCTTTATGCGTCTGGAAGATCTTACTATTGAAGCCACTGCCCCAGATCCAAAGCCCAGAGCATTCCACGCCTATCTTCGAAGGCAACAGATGGCGAACTTCTTGAGGCCCGGCTATACTTCGAGGCTAAGGAGTCTTAACCTCGACCTTTGCCATACATTGAAGCACGAGACAGTTTCCAATAGCTATGGCAACCATCTCTGTGCCTTCATCTCAAAGTTCTTGCTCACTCTGCAGCATGTGCGCATCCGGATGGATTCGATCTGCGCCGAAGCAATGGATACTGGTGATGATGAGAATACCGCTAACCTTGAGAGCCTCGTTTTCAATATGTACATACCGAACAACGATACGAGACCCGGCTTCCCCGTCGACGGTCGTGCTCTTCCATGTCAGACTAAGGAAGAATATCCGATACGATGTCCTCTTCGAAGGATGATGCGCGCGGCGAAACGTCTTTCTGAGAGAAAAGCCACTATCAAAACAGCTAGGATCGTAACGTCATTCTATCCTGAGCAGAGACCTGTTGCAATTGATTGCATAAGTGAGAGGAGAACAATCCTGGCGAACCGTAACGATTGGACTGCAGATGGCCCACTATTCAACGGATACGTCAATGAGGAGGCAGAATGAAAAGACAGAATGAAAGAAGGTGGGAATGAAAAATGATAAAATTTGACCATCGAGGACTGGAATAGCAACACGATTCTTCGGACATACTTTGCACTGAAATCAAAGTCGAGCTAATTGCCTAGGGGTTGAAGTTTGGTCGGATTGGATGACGGTCAACCAAGACGAGCCGAGCGCAGAATTGATTCACAGCATGAGTGATGTACCCTTCATATCTGGGATTCAGAGTCACTGAGGGCGAACCTGTGGCCTTGCGAATATTCGAGATTGATTTACGGCGTGATGGTATGCCAGACCGGGTTGAAAGAATCTCGCGCTGTGCTTGTGCCTGTACGGATGATTGCAGGTGTGGCGCCTTCCCCCGCAAACCACGACGCATTCAATAGCGCCCAAAGCGCATCATTACCTCAGGTGTTACGTTCCTTCATGGTTTCAGCTCTCTCAACTGAACTTTCAATGTCTTTGCCTGTGGTTGTGAAGTGAGACAGGTGTGCATTTTCAGCCCATCAGGAAGACGGGCTCCAAATACATCGCGGGTCCTTGGTACCATTGAAGAGCTGATCACCGTGCCAGCCAAGAGGGAATATCACACCATAGCTAGCTCTTCTATGCTTCAAGGCTTGCCAGAAGAGACCTAGCTGAACATATGTTCCCAGTTCGCAATTGATGGCATGAGTGTGTCGGATGGCTTTCGTACTCTCACAGCTCTTCGCCCCACCTGTAGAGCTTTCGCATACTTGCCTACCGAGAAATCTTCAGGGCCATCAAGATATTTCCATCAAATGAGTCGCTGCATGCTCTGTAGTGGATTGCACAGCACTCCGTGTGCAGCTCACGTGCTCAGAGACTTGAAGTCTACTCCATGTATATTTCTGCCTTGTTGACTATCAAAGCTAGTTTCAACGATCACCGAGCTTATGCAACGATGCAGTCGGGACGCTTCATGGAAGTAGGAATTGATACGACGCAGAAGATCGGATGACAGTTCTGCCTTGAAAGCTGTATCGCAAGTATCTCAAAAGTCAGAGAGTCTGCGAAAGATGGAATTGTCAATGCTCTCTTTGATACTCGCAATGTAAATTTGTGCATATTACCGAACCTCACAAGATCTGATTTCTGGACTGTTAGGAAGTCATCAAGCTTTGAAAGAAGCCAGCTGAGCCTCTTCGAAAGAAAAACACCGCTGTCACACCACGATGGCAGTGACCGCGATTCAGACGACGACCTCAGATTTCTACGCGCACCGTTCATGGCGTACACCATCTCAAAAAGGAAGTTAGAGCATCTTGCACTTCGCGGACTTAGCATAAAGGCATTTGGTAAAGACCTGTCCACACTACAGTTTGACCAGTTCTGGGATTCGCTCTCAGCAACCGATAGCAGGAGTTATCAGCTCAAGTCTGAACTCTTCAACAACTTGGAAACCCTCGAACTCCAGCCTGTCATCCCGCGCCGTGGTGAAGACGATCATCCTTCTTTGCCACCTCGGTACGACTTCGAGGGGGGGGCGCTCTTGCTCGCTTTTTATGGGCATTCCGGTCGCTGCAAATGCTCAGCCTGTCGTTCTCCCAACAGCTCTGTGGATCGGGGTTTATTGGTTTCTGGAGCAGCAATTCCGACTTTTCCAGCCTCTCCTCGCTGACTAGCTCGGAGCAGGCCCCTACTGCCTCGTGTCATTGATAGCTAAACATGGCAATTTACATTTTGTTCTTCCGACGCCCTCTGCATGATTACCTTGTCACCTAGCTCTCCGCATAGTTCCCTCGATCCCCATAATACCGCATTTGCGCCCAGTGCTGCAAGACTGAAAAAATCCCGGAAAGGTTCAGTCAATCAGATAGAAGAAATGGCTCTGTTCTCTCTCGAATAGGGGCAGTGCGCAGATATACGTACCAATTCGCCGTAAGGTACTCCGTACAGCGAAATTAGCTGCGAAATTGCAGGAGAAATGGACCAATCAAAAGCAGGCGAAACGCAGGGTTACGCGTAGAAATTCCAACCAATGAGCGCTCATACGGTCCGACAGGTTCCAAACTAGGGGGAGAGCAGCAAAAGACGTCGTCAAGAAACCAAGGGCCATGCCTAGACATGAGCATTGCATCCCTCTTCAATCTGTATAGCCGATCTTTCTTGCTCGGGTCAGACTTGCCATCACGGTAGGATTTCCAATTGAACAGCGCGCATGCACACAGCCAGAAGTCGTCATCTTTCTGCAAACAGCTTGAACGAGGGTGGTGCTCTCTTGGCGCATCCAAAGCTTACAGTAAGCAAAGCACAGATTGTTTCACAGGTACCACGAGTGCCTGTTCCAGATCCATGGGACTGCAGCAACCGCCCATGTCCCGTGTTACATGACTCTTCAAAAGTACAGCATGTTCGACCGGGTATCTCCTCGATGGTGTTTCAGGCACAGCGGACGTCATCAACATGAGACCGAGGACACGCTGACCGTGGTCTCTGTACTACCCACGCAGACTCTAGATGTTTTAGTGATGACCTCGTCTCATGACCGGGGCTGTTGAAGCTCGGAGTTTTTGGCTTTGGTATATCTCCAGCCCACTCACCTGTCACGTAAAAACTTCTGCTTTCTCACTTGTGTTGCCGTCCCCCCCGCTTTTCCACAGCTATTAGCACTGATATTATCCTAACACCGAGAGCATAAATCCCACGATTATGTCATCTAGCGACCGCAAACCCCCTCGTGCCGGCTCAAGGAGTGCCTCCTCATTAAAAGAGGAGAGAAGCTCCACACCGACCACAACACAAAAGACCTCGGCCCACCAAACAAACCCCAACAGAGACAAGGACAAAGCGCTCGAAGAAGCCTTCGCCCACCAACTCGAACTCGCCACCACCGAGCTCCAGATGGGCAAGAGAAACTTCCTCGCAAAGGCCGGCCATGACATGCCTCTAAGCGACAACCTCGCTCCCACCAGTAGCGACAGCGGCAGCGGGAGCGGGAGCGCTGATCCACGCAGCGCCAAAAAACAGCTCGACGCCCTCACGGCGCAATGCCGCAACGTGGCCTCGCTCTGCGCAACGCGGCACGGGAATCCCGATCCCAACAACACCACCCCGACCACGACACTGACACCGACACCGCTCCTCTCCGCCTCCTCCACGTCCTCCTTCCCCACCACCGAACCCGAACCCGAACCCGACCCGCGCGTCCCCTACCATCGCCGCGTCGCCTCCATCCTCCAGCGGCACAGCGACCCGCGCCAGGCCCTCCCCCGCCTCGAACGCGCCCTCCAGCCCTACCTCGTCGTGCGGGGCGAAAAGGGCGAGGACGACGGCCTGAACGACGAGATGATCCGCCAGTACAGACATGCCATCAAGGCCATGGAGGAGGAGATCGCCGACCTGTATCGTGTCCCGCCCGCTGGAGCGGCCGATTAGTCCGAAGAGTTGGTTGGCGAGGACTATGACGGGGAGGAGGAGGAGGAGTGGCGGGGATGTGAGGAGGGAGGGTGGATCTGGTGGATCGGGTGGGACGGTAAGTCAGTTGGGTGGGAGGGCGAGGTCGGCGCAGTAGGTGGGTAGGTAGGTAGGTAGATAGATAGGTTGGCTAATGGGGAGGTCAGGGGTGGAGAGCGAGAGAGCCAGGGGGCAGGAGTGACTGGGTCTGTTTCATGTAATTTTTTTAGGTTTCCTTTTTTGCTGGCTTGACGACTCTTTTTGGTAATAGCGAGCGAAAGCGGAAAACAGTGGTGGACCAAGAAAAAAATGAAAAGGGGAAAACACTGGCACCAATGGAAATAGAGTCAGGCTAAGAGGAATTCTGTTTCCAGTCCCCAAGCAGACAGCTCGAATAACCATTGCGGTCCCAGATCCTTCGGGATCCGGCACAAGAATGTACTAACTCGCGCACCGCTCACACAACACTATTAATTAGATAGAGTTCGTAACTATGTGAATCGACCATCAGCATTAGCCCCCAATGTCCACCTCGTACTCTACTTGGTTGCAAATGGGGTGATATGTATAAATGAGTTATCGCCAAATATATTAAAGGAAATTATGTGTGGTGACTTTATATTTCTTTTTGACTTCTCGGCATCCCACCGGTTGGGGCCAGTCTATAGACAGCCTGATTCCTCCATATCACAAAACTGCAGGCCCATAGCTATGACTGGGTTTGCCGGCTATGGTGGACTTCTGATCGTTGGCATCTCCGAACTACCTAGGTGAGCGAGATTCGGCCTGCTACCGTCTGGAGGAGGATAATACTCGATTGGCTCTGGGGCGTGCGCAGGATGATACATGGGCTGGGTGGTTTGCACTGGAGGTGGAGTCGAGTAAGGTTGGGAGTGTGCATTCGAGTGGACGGGAGAGTGGCTCGAGAGGTTGGGGGAGAGGACGGGGGTGGTGTAGTTAGGATCCACGACGGTGAACTTCGATTCGGTCGCGTACTTGGATATGGGTGACTGCACGCTCGAATAGTCTGTAGCTGTCGGTACTGGGGTCGGCTGAGGTTGCTGGTTGCTCCTGCGTCTGCGAAGAAAGAAGAATATTAATCCAGCCGCGAAAGCTAGGACAGCGACACCGCCAACGGCGCCACCAACGATTGCTCCAATGTTGCGCTTCTTACTAGGTGGGGTAACGGGAACAACAGGTATAGCAGTCTGAGTCGGTATCGCCCGTGTGGGAGTGCGAGACGAGTTCGGTGCCAATTGACCGAAATACGTCGCCACTCGGTTGTCGTCCCATCCATTTGATGGCGACTTCTTAGTAGCTCCACCTCGAGGTCTGTGGACAATTAGCTGACCGGACCTGGGCTATTCCAGGTGTTGCACTTACGAGCCACCTGTTATTTGCAGGATCTCGGGTGGCACCAGATACTCGGTCACATTTGGCAGGTATTGAAACCATTTTGCATTGTCCCTGTTGTACTGACCCAGATTCAGATTGTGCTGGCCTTGAATTTTCGGGACATCGCACTCGGTGGTATTGGTAAAGTTCCCTCCCATGACCATCATCTGCGAATTCTCGATAACATTGCAAGTCAACAAACCGTGCGGTGCTCCTGGGCCAGGCTTCTCAGGGTACCATTTGACCCATTCGAAAGCCGGCATCGTGAGCACGTATACGTCATCAAACCCCTAAAAGATCGTTTAGAGCGCAGATGTGAGGGACCGCCAGATTGAACCTACCGTTGCATTCTCTGCAAAGCCAAATCCGCCATAGATGTATCTGTCAATGCTGTCAGCCAGTCGTTTCTTATGGATAGGTCTGCTTACACCTGGTACGAGGATCTGTCCTGCGCCCAGGTTGCGCCACCACAGAACTTGCGTCGCTGTTCAGGAATTTCTCCTGTTGCGGCTTGCGAATGCCAGCTGGCTGGTGCGATGACGATTAGTACATATCTCGAGGGTGGTAGTTGGAAGTGTTCTTACCATCGCCAATGTCGTAGATAAGAATAGTGTCTAATGGTGCCTATCGTTTTCTTAGCCATATGTTTAAACCCGATATGGAGTTTAGCAGGCAGCTCACCGCTACTGCGGTCTCGTTTCCATATGGGAAGGTCACACCCCCAAAGTATACGAGTAGCCCAGCCCCCGAAGCAGGAATGTACACCATAGTTCCCTCAGCCCTGCCCATATTGTCATAACCCGTGTTATTCGTAAGCTTGTGGTCTTCCATATCGAATATGATCAGGTTGCTAGTTGCAATCTGGGGCCCGTTCCACAAAGGGTTTGTTAGGTTGTTGAGGTAACCACCATAATAGTACCCTCTGCCAATGTCGTTGACAGAGACCCCTGCGCCATAAGACACTCTCTGTATGGGTGAAGTCGCAGCGGTGCCAGCGTCCGAGAGATTCCACTGATTCAAAATCACATCGTAACCCCAGAGTTCGAATGGAGAAGGTGCTGACTGGAATTCACCTCCATACAACCAGAATACTTTGTTGACTTCGTCTTCCCACAATGTTCCTCCAGCCACAGCCGGGACAGAGCTATTCTTGGTGAGATTGGCATGTTGTTTCGGCATGCCGTCGCTGATCTCGTCCAGATCATTGTAAAGCAATCCTCGATCTGCAGACTCGTCAGAAACAGCTCTCTTGAGGATGGAGATGATACAGGCTTACTGATAACAGGAGTCGGGTTGCGCGAAATTGGGTTGGCATACAACCAACCGCCGTCGATGTATAGCTTCCTGTCAATGATCGCTGTCTGGTGTCCATACCGCCTGCAGAAGTCCTTGAGAGGGTCGGCCGGGGCTTGCGCCAGCGCTCTCAGCGCCCAAAATGAGAGAAGGAGAAGAAAACAGGTCGGATATGAGGGAGCCATCATGTTCAAAACAGCAATTAACCCAAAGACGAGGGGGGGAAAAAAGACAGCAGTTTCTTGAGCATATGCGATTAACAAAGCTTGACAAAGCAATCCCATTCAAAGACCCGACATGTCGATGGGAATGATCCAGAATACTGCGACCTCGAGAGTGCGTCAGCCTTCCCTAATCAAACAATTCAACCGAAACCGAACCAGCAATTTCCAGCTTTGAGCAACAGACTTATCTTTTTCTAGTGTCTAATGGCCTGAGGAAAAGCGCGAACGCGGATGGTATGCCATGGTAATGGCGACCAATCATGACTGGTAGGATAGCTAGAACTGCAAGGATCAGCGGGTTGGTACTTGGTAGTTTGTATACCACCGGGTCGGAATCGCAAGGCGGAACCACCCCAACCTGTCAATGGGCTTTCAGTGTTCGAGCATTATATAAGCAGTATACAATGTGGCTGTGACAAAAAGCTCCACGAATCACGGGCCGATAAGACGAGCTCTAGAGTCTCAATGGAACTGTTTCTGGCTTTCAATAGTGCGCGTCCGTCACAAAAGCACCAGATGGTTGGGCTTCCAGATACGGAGTACATAGGCCACCTAGACTAAAGATCGTATCTTGTTGCAATGATATCCCACTTTATGAATGGCCAGGTCCGTCAGTATACTCTCGTATATGTTTTGCACTTCAGGTACGGAGTATCCTGGCCTGTTCGTGCATTGAGTGGAGGGATGATCGTGGTGCCTTCATTTGAAGCTGCAGTGTTGTCAGGCCCGCCATGATGCAGGTGTGGGGTGGATCGTGGTACTACTACGGGGTGCCTGAAGTAGTGTTAGCTCAGGGCTAGTATCTTTACCTGTAAACCTCTCTGTACAAAACAGCCATGCCTAAAAAAGGTTAGATATGATGACTGACTCATTAGAATGGAATGCACATAGAACAAGCTTTGCAATGACGGATTATAACACTGTGTCAGCGTAATGAGAACTAGTTGCCACTAGCACCAGACTAACATTACTTCAGGCCCCCCTTGTAGTATGTGCACAGGCCACCTTACTACAACAGAAGGCATACGTAGTAAGTATTGCTAGCTTCAAGGTGGAAATTTTGTACTAACACTAGCCATAACACAAATGCACCTTACTGTAACGATATTAGTCCGTATAGTCCTCAGAACAGAGCCAATCATCAGGATTAGTGAGGGGTAAAGACTTACGATGGCTCCGGAGGAAGCCGTACACTTGTATTGAAACTAGCTATAGCTAGCTCACGCTAACAATTCTTACGCCTCCTACCGTAGTATGTCCTCACCACAAAGTGACTTGGGCGTCCAATCGCTTGCCACTCTTGCAAGGCAAGCTCTCGCTTTGGCCTGTTCAAGAAATGCAATGAAAAGGTATCGGTTACTACCAATCTGTGCTGTTTGTGCTATTTGATGCTGGAAGCACTTGTTTGAAGTCGAATACAGCTAATTCAAGTGCCAAGGGTTCTCTTTGCTCACTGGCGCATGCGTAATGAGATCACCATTCAGACACGTCAAAAAAATCTCATGCACTCCAAAAGCACAGAGAAATGAGCGCTTTTGAGCGCCTTTTCCCAATCACTAACTACCAATATCCATTGAACTAAATATCTCCCCCCTCTCTGTTTTCCCACCTCCTTATTAATTCCATCACCACACCGCAATGTCCTCTCCACCCTTCGGGCTCCGCTGGCGGGCATCCACCATCTTCATCATCGCGACAGTTGCAGTGGGGATTTTCACCGACCTTTTCCTCTACGGTCTCATTGTCCCAGTCTTACCATTTCTACTCCGTGACCGCATCTCGGTTCCACAAGACCAAGTCCAAAGCTACTCATCCGCCTTGCTGGCCTCTTACGCCGGAGCCAGTGTTTTGTTCTCCCTACCCGCAGGATGGATCGCCGACAGGACGAGTTCCCGGCGGCTACCATTTCTCAGTGGGCTGGCGGCCTTGCTGGCTGCTACGTTGATGTTGTCGCTCGGTAAGAGTATTGCTGTGCTTGTCATGGCGAGGGTCTTGCAAGGAATGAGTGGAGCGGTGGTCTGGACAGTGGGATTGGCTATGATTATGGATACGGTTGGGGTGGGGAACTTGGGCAAGGTGATGGGCACGATCTTCAGCTTTGTTTCTGTGGGCGAGCTAGCAGCACCGGTGCTTGGTGGAGTGCTGTACGACAAGACCGGGTTTGCTGGCGTATTCGGACTGAGTGCTGGCATTCTGGGCGTTGACTTCATCATGCGATTACTCGTTGTCGAGAAGAAAGTTGCTGCTCGATACGAGGACCCCAAGCAAAACGCTCCTGAAAGTGACACCACTGGCGACGCAGAAGACACCTCTCCAACCGAAGAAGACGCCCTCCTCCCCAAGACCGAGAAAGACTACTACACCATCCCTCCCAACCAGAACTCCATCGTACGCAATCTCCCCGTTCTCTACTGCCTCACGTCTCCCCGTCTCCTCACCGCTCTCCTCCTCGCATTCATGCATGCGTTCATCCTCGGCACATTCGACGCGACCGTCCCAACCGAAGCAGAATCCCTCTTTCACTTCTCCTCTCTAAGATCAGGCCTCCTCTTCATCGCTCTTGATGTTCCGTACCTAATCTTCGGGCCTCTCGCCGGCTGGACCGTCGACAAATACGGGCCTAAACCCGCCGCCGTATTTGGGTTTGGCTATCTGGTTCCTACGTTGATTTTGCTGCGTCTGCCTCACGCCGGTAGCGGTAGTGGCCAGATAATCCTGTACTGCGCTCTGCTCTCGCTCTGTGGGGTGGGGATGGGCGTCATTGGCTCGCCTAGCATTGTGGAGGCATCGAATGTGGTGCAGAAATTCGATAAGGCGAATGGGGGGTTCTTTGGCACGAATGGACCTTATGCGCAGCTTTATGGCCTGAATTCACTGGTGTTCAGTGCTGGACTGGCCGTGGGCCCCGTTCTGTCGGGCACCTTGAGAGATAGCATTGGTTATGGGAACATGAATTTGGTGGTTGCGATCTTGTCAGGAGTCACAGCGATTTTGTCGTTCGTATTTATTGGGGGCAAGCCAAAGATGCTGAGATCTAAGAATAGATAGAGGGTCCTTCCTGTGTCGAGAGACCAGTTGAGACTTAACGTATCACACAACAGAGGTAAAAGTTTTACGGCATAAAGCTGATCCAAGTGACAAGGGTCGAACTGTGTTGCAATGACGAATTTCCATGTTTGGTATATACAAGAAAAACTTTTTTATATTCGAGCAGGTTGTTTACCTTTGCTAATACTCGAACGCAATGTGCCGGAGTACGTGCAGCAAGGGCGCTCCAAGATCTCCCAGCTTTTGCGGTAGAGTAGCCGAACAATCTTCAGATGCCTAATCAGCCTTTCCTCTACTCTTTGGCCTTGGATTCCCGCTCTTAACTCTCTTCGCCTCAGGCCTTTGAATATGGTGTGCTGGGATCCATTCTTCGTTGTAGCCCTTAGCGCCTGTCGTCACCGCTGGTCCATCAGTTCCCAAAGCTTCGGCCGACTCCCCAGCGTCGATCTTCTTGTGGCTACCAATTGTCTTTTTGGGTTTCTCGCCCCCGCCCCTGGTACGCTTTTGCGGGAAATAGGGAGCAATCCAGATGCTGTAGAAGAGGTACAGGACACCACCGGCACAGGAGAGCATGAAGAGGTAGAGGAATATACTTTGTGAACTGTTAGCAGAGCGCAGGCTAATTGCTAACTGATCAAGATTGAAGCTCACATTTGAGGATCAAAGATGCTGGTGTCCGGCTCCACGATACTGACAGTTTCATTGAACGCTTGTAACGCAAAGTCCTTCCCGTCACTACTGCTTATGATAGCAGCTAGCTCAAGTCGAAGATCCTGGGGATGTAGTTCGGTAGCAAAATTGTACGGAAGACTTTGCTTTTCGCCTGCTGGTACCTCGACATGGTACCTCGTTGCAGTCAGATTGCGGACGATCTTATTGCCCTGAGGGTCGAATGGCGGCGTCCAGAGTGCTCCGCCAATGAATTTGACGGTGACAGGTTCGGGTTCCTCATTCGAGAAGGAGATGAGAGCTTTGGTAGCCTTTCCATTGACAAGCTTGATGCCGAAGATTTCGGCATCAGGGAAGGAGGCACTGACAGTGACACCTAGTGACGGGCTCTGCAATTTGTCCTCCGAGATGTCTTCTTCGACAGGGTCCTGGTCACTGTTAGAAAAATGCACAACCCCATTCGTTTGGAGCAGAAATTTTTACGGCTTGTGCGTAAGCTCCGATTGCCTGTAGGGACAGGAGACAGATGGCTGACGAAAGGAAACGACGCATGGTGATTAGGCTTGAATTGCTAATCCAGTCTCCCAGTGAACCAATGCAGAAAGCACAAATGGAGGCGACTACAGATGCAGAGGACAAGTTCCTAGAGCTTGATGGCGGCTGGAAGGTTATGTATGTATGTAAATGAGCGAGCGATGCCGTAGTTATGTAATAAGCTCTCTAACTTGAGAAGCTAAGCGCGTCTCAATTATTTCGGCAACGCGATGTCAGGCCATCCATCCAGTTCCAGGCAACTTCACTTCGAATTTCTGCCCTTGATCTAAATTGAATGCCTGTTCTTCCAGCACCTGATACCTCATCTGCCATGAGCGATAACTGGCCCACCATGGCTCGCTTTCCCACTTTTTCTCCTGAATCCGGCAACCCATTCTCCAGCAGCCCCAGTTACTCAAACGGAAACTTGACCACAGCACGAACAATGCCAGACCAATCCACCATTGACTTATTCAAGGATCGTCATAACCGTTTGATGAGCACGGAAAATGAGAAGAATAAACTTATTGAAGTGAGTGCTACCCAGTCCGCTTGGTTCTTGTACTAAACGAACCACTTCAGGACCTCCTGTGTCGCCTCGAGCTTACAGAGGACCAATATCAAAGATCCCGACTTGACCATGACAGGGAGATCAGGTACAACCGGGAAGGTCAGATGCGAGAAAATCAACTACAAAATCAGCTCCGCGGAGTGAAAGGACTTATGGTAGACCAGGCGCCGACCAGCTGGCGGGTATCTTTCTGCTAACGAGGTACAGGATAGGAATGCTTTCGTCGTTGTCCTTCTTGACGGCGACGGCATGATATTCAGTGAAGAACTTCTCCAGCAAGGAGAAAAAGGCGGCAAGGAGGCAGCCAGTCAACTCTGGGGTGCAATGAACGATTTTGTTCACCGGGCTATTCCTCATTTATCTTCGCCCAAGATTTTAGCTCGAATTTATGCCAATGTGAAAGGACTGGGCGATGTGCTTCAAATGTCTGGCATAATCGACAGAGCGACACTATTTGAAGATTTTGCTAGAGGCTTTAATGGGAGTAAGCTACTCTTCGACTTTATCGACGTTGGAAATGGCAAAGACAAGGCAGATGACAAAATCACGGGTCAGTCTTCCTGCAATATGTTCTACCATGTCTCTTCGTGCTGACCCATGTTGCAAGAAATCTTCAAATTGTATCTACATGACATTCATTGCCATCAGATCCTTCTGGGCTGTTCGCACGATAACGGATACGCTCGACTTTTAGATGATACTATGGGAGATGCTATGCTTATGGATCATATTACTCTGCTTGAAGGAGTACCATTCGAGCGAGAATTGGCCAACCTCAGGGCGAGCTTTAGGACAACCAAATTTGATAACATGTTCCGCGACACGAAGTTGGCGACTCCTTATCAGCTCAAAAACGCACCAGGTCCAATCCAGCGACCACTACAAACGATTTTCGCTAACATACCAATCGGATCGCCGCTCGCCCAGGTACCTTCAAACAGCACCACAGATGAAATCACAAACAGCACAACCACCAGCATAACTTCCAAAAGCAACACCCCAGCTCCTACCTGGGCATCAATGACTGCCGCACCCTTCATCCCCTCGGCGTCCTCTCCTGCCGCTCGATCCGGCATGAAGAACGGCACAGGCCCACTCAAATCCACTCCAGGGATCAACCGCAACCGTCTCGGTCAAAGAGTCGACGATCTCGACGAATCAATACCAAACGAGGACATCAAACGCGTCAAGAAGCTCAAACTATGCAATGTCTACTACCTGAACGGCGCAGATGCTTGCAACAACGCCCGCTGCACGCACGATCACGATTACAACATCACCAAGAACGATCTCAAGACGTTGCGCCAAGTGGCGAGGATGACGCCCTGCTACTTCAAGACGGAATGCGACGACCCCAAATGTATCTATGGGCATAGGTGTCCGCAGAGCCAGCCGAACTCGAAGGAGTGCTGGTATAAGGAGGATTGTCGATTTGCCGGGTGGGGCCACGGGATTGATACGAGGATCTGCAAGACCACAAAGGTCTGATCTGAGCTGGGGAGGTGCTGCTGTGGTGGGTTGTGTCGAGCAATACGGGAGCTTTGCTATCGGGGCAAGTAAGGGAGTTAATGTGGGGAATGAGGGAACACCAGGTAAGGAGTGCTATGGAAACGTAACGACCGTCAGGACCCAAAAAAAGCAGAGGTGGTACCCTTCTTGAACGAGTGCTTTTGAGTGCAACGAGGCTTTCAGTAGGACAGGGCTTAGCTAATGCTACAACTATCAGTGGCTTTCAATTTAAGGATTCTCACAAGAATACCCGAAGGCCTTGAGGGTGTGAAGTTTTCGCCTTGGCCAGAAGGGGTAAATTCAACCTGATGTCCGTACTACTAGTAGCATTGCAATGCGGGTATCTAGCAAGTTAATCGCTCACAATACTGGTCCCAAACAGCGCAAACACCCTCTCCCACGCCCCATCGTGACGGGCCTGCACGCCGTACTCCTTGACCAGACACTCAAACGGCCTTCCCGAAGGCTCCAGCCGCCCCTCCACCACCCCTTCCTCCTTTGCCTCCTTTTCTCCCTCCTCTTCCTCCTTCCGCTCCTGCAGATCCCCCCACAGCAGGAAGAGCTTCTCCTTCAATTTCGCCAGGCTCTTCTCATCCTCCCTCAGGTTCGTGGCTCTGATGCTCCGAAGCAAAAAATCCGCGTCCGGGCCTGCGACAAGCAGCTTCATCCTCCCTGACTCCTGGGGAGCGGGTGAGCTGGCATCTTCGACGAGAAGCTCGAACCGCCATTCCCATTCTACCTCGGCGCCGTGGGGGTCGGTCAGGTCCATGGAGATGTCTGAGTCGCTTTCGTAGTCGGAGAGGCATTCGTAATCGCTTCTTTTGTGCGGGGCGGCGAAGTCGGCGATGTTGGGTGGGTGGAAGTCGATGACGCGGATGCGGTTGAGGTGGTAGAGGTTGTTTTTGAAGGGGACGGTGAAGGGGTTGCCGGCCGGGGTGGTGAAATCGCCATGAAGAACGGAGGGGTCTGTGATTTCGGAGATTTTGACCGGGGTGATGGTTTCGGGGACTTTGTTGGTGCGGATATTAGGGTTGAGGGATTCGCTTGCTGACTTTGATGTATTGGCTCTTGCTTTTTGAGCTTCTTTTTGCTTCGCTTTTCTCCTCTCTTTTTGCCTTTGCTTTTTCTTTTCTCTCGCTGTGAGCTCTGGTTGCTTTGCTGGCTGCTGAACTGCTTCATCTTTGGGCTTGTTTGATTCTTCCATACCCCTGATACCATGGAGTTTGAGGTCTGCTTCATAATCTCGCTTTCGCTTAAGGAGTGCTTTGATTCGATCATCGTCTTGTGCTTGCCGAGGCTTGCAAATGCTGATGCCGATCCTATCAGGATGATATCTATCGCCTCGCAGATTTCCCTCCATTCTGTCACCTTCTCTGTCCAGACTGATCTGCACATTGCGTAGAAAGACAATGTTACCGAGGCCAACATTTTTCCTGGCAAAGTTGGCATGCGAATCCCATGCGGTCACCACCATGCTCATTTTGCCCCATGGCCCTGACCAGGGTTTTTGTCCTGGTATATAGTTGAACTCATCACCATCCCTGCCCTGTTCATCATCCAATGTATGGGCATAATTGTAGAGAGACTCGTGCGAGGTATAGTCCGTTATGCTGAGCTCAACGCGAAAATCGTTCATGTAGACTTTGCGCACTTCGCCCAGGAGATCAGCAAACTTGAGGTCCCTTGTGGTTCTGGGCAAAGTTAGGTCTTGGATCAGCTGAAATTTCTTTGGGGCTGGCGAAGGGGCGGCCCCGTTCGAGCCCATGAGACTGCTCGCTTGCAAAGATGTCACTGGAGCAGGCTCGCCAAATGTACTGCGATCCAAGAAATTGCAGATTTCTACAGCATAATCAATGATATCCTTGCCAGGTGACGGGGTTTGATCTGACATTTTGGAGAAGGGAAGGACTCCATTCACTTCTGTGTCATTGAGGGGAATGTCCTGCTGATGGAAGACAAGCCATGAGGACTGAAAACTTGATAATGCCATCAGTTGCCCATTGTATTGCCTTAATTTGGTAGAACGGAGCACAACGACATCACCCTTGGAAATTATGTTAGGGAGTTTGTCTTCGGTGCGGCCAAAGAAGCGACACTTCAGACCTTCCCCTTGAAACCACGATCGATCTGTCAAGGTGAAGGTGATAACATAATCTTGCCCCCTGCTCTTGGTAGGTGGCAGGAAATCAGCGACCACTCCGACAGCACAAAATTCACTTCCAGCACCCTTTTCAGCGACCGAGGCAAGCTCTTCGAAGCCAGTCGGAGGTTTCATGCTTGTTTTATGACAGGGCATTCAGCTTCCTACCTGGTGTATGCAGGCGCCATTCGTGGTGACGCTTGTGGGGATGTACTGATATGAGACGCGTCAAATTATTGTCACAATAGACGCGTCGATCATGGCTGCGGGAATCAAGCTTGTTTCTTACTTGAAGAGCTCTGCACCATTATGGGTGACACAGAGAAATGCTTCAGCACGACGGTGTCTATGCATACATCATGCACATTTGATCGGATCCACAGGTTCATAGGCAGCTATTGCAAGGAAGAATGAGAAGCATAAATAGATCATTAGAATTAAAAAACACTTTTGGCGTCTGCAGTCTGCCATAGCACCCTTTCTAAAATCCTTGGCCTGTGCACTGCCAGATGAACGCAGCCAAAATCCTCCTTCACATCAGAGTAGACTTCCACTACCTAACTCACTCTCTCTGCACTTCTCTCAGATTCGTTTCAGATCAGCATTCGTTGGCCTCACTAAGCCCGTTGCTAGTTGATTCTAGTGCTACAGCTCCCTTTTCTGTACCTGCGCAGCCTCGGAGAGGAGGTATCACCAACCATGTCTGAGCGCTACATCCCAGAGCATCGCCGCACGCAATTCAAGGCAAAGAATACCTTCAAGCCCGATGAGCTTCGTCGTCGTCGTGAAGAACAGCAAGTTGAAATTCGGAAGCAGAAGAGGGAAGAGAATCTTGCTAAGCGGAGAGGAATTCAACGTGGTGATGGGCAAATCGGGGTTGGAGGAGGACTAACTGCGGGCACCGATAGTGACGATGAAGCTGGGACAATCGAAGGAGAGGTACGACTTTCCAGCTTGATGCAACTACTGTAACGAATGACTGACTAGTGCCTCTCAGCTCAACACCGAGCTGCCTGAAATGGTGAAGGGTGTATTTTCAGATCAGATTGACAGTCAGATTGCAGCCACCACAAAGTTCAGGAAACTACTTTCAAAAGAGCGAAACCCTCCCATTGAACGTGTCATAGAGACTGGGGTCGTTAGCCGATTCGTCCAATTCCTTCGATCTCCACATACTCTCGTTCAATTCGAAGCCGCCTGGGCTCTGACCAACATTGCTTCCGGCTCAGCCCAGCAGACTCAAGTGGTTATCGAGGCAGGTGCTGTCCCTATTTTCGTCGAGCTCCTGAGCAGTCATGAACCAGATGTCCGCGAGCAGGCTGTTTGGGCGCTGGGCAATATTGCTGGTGACAGCCCGGCTTGCCGAGATTATGTTCTCAGCCAGGGAGCTTTGAAACCATTGTTGTCGTTGATTGGAGATGGCCGAAAGCTGAGCATGCTTCGAAATGCTACCTGGACCCTGAGCAATTTCTGCCGGGGAAAGACACCCCAGCCAGACTGGAATACGGTACGAACTTGCCCTCCATCACGACATTCTTGGCTTACTGATATGACTTAGATTCAGCCAGCTCTTCCTGTTTTGGCGAAGTTGGTCTACATGTTGGATGATGAAGTCCTTATTGATGCGTGCTGGGCTATTTCATACCTGTCGGATGGCTCGAACGACAAGATTCAAGCAGTGATCGAGGCCGGCATTCCCCGCCGTCTTGTTGAGCTCTTGATGCACGCTTCCACATCAGTCCAAACCCCAGCTCTGCGCTCGGTTGGTAACATAGTGACCGGAGACGACGTTCAAACCCAAGTCATCATCAACTGTGGCGCACTGCCCGCTCTGCTAGCTCTACTAAGTTCTCAAAAGGATGGCATTCGGAAAGAAGCTTGCTGGACAATCTCAAACGTCACTGCCGGCAACTCGACTCAGATTCAAGCAGTCATTGACGCCAATATCATCCCACCGCTAATCAACCTTCTCTCCAACGGAGATTTCAAGACCAGAAAGGAGGCTTGCTGGGCAATTTCCAATGCAACCTCTGGCGGACTTCAGAAGCCAGAACAGATTCGTTATTTGGTAGCACAAGGGTGCATCAAACCACTGTGCGACCTGCTTGCCTGTCCTGATAACAAGATTATCCAGGTTGCTCTTGATGGGCTCGAGAATATCCTCAAGGTTGGCGAAATGGACAAGGAAGCAGCAGATGCTCGCGCAGCCGAGGCCCAGGTCAATCGATATGCACTGTTCATTGAAGAAGCTGGCGGTATGGAAAAGATCCACGACTGCCAAAATAACGCCAATGAGGAGATCTACATGAAGGCATACAACATCATTGAGCGATACTTCTCGGACGAGGAAGATGCTGGTGCAGACATTGAGGAGCTTGCACCTGGTCAAACTGCCCAAGGTTATGCTCTTGGTACCCAACAGCCGCAAGGAGGCTTCAACTTCGCGAACGGCACCGACTCCATGGACATGTGAGCGACGATGCTTCCTCTTGTCAGCGTTAGACCAAGCAACGGATCACTCCCTCTCGAGCCGCGTCACCAGTACCCAGAATCCAGACGCCTCGCATAACCACGTCGCATCGAACCAATAAGCGTGTGGAACTACAAACCCCATACGACCTTCTTGACGACAACCCGACCTCGATCCACACCCTTGACCGCACAAGCCGTTCCCCCTGCGGTCATTCCATCACCACAACCCGAAGCACGATCCCCAGCACAGTGCCCCTGCTACCGATCACGACACGATTCACCACCCACGAGAAAGACGATACAACATCATGTATGCCCCTGCGTTCCGACATTGCACCATACAACTGCAGCATTTTCTAAATGGCGTCCCTACTGAAAGTAATGCTTGCCTCATTTTCCATGAGACATGATATGGGAAAGGTTCTTTCGTGTTGGCCAGCAGTTCAGACAATTCCTAAGCTAAAACTTGGTACCAAGAATCCAAGAACATTCAAAACCATCGAATTCCGTGATGTGGTTGATTTTGAGTGTAGACTCTTTCTGTCATATTTTTGCCTGTCTGACAGGATACTTACAAGCGTATTCCACCAGCAATATCCCTCCCTACTCGTCTCGTAACGTAATGTACAAAGCCAGAATCACCGAGCGGAACATTGTTCGTGCTCAACCATAACATACATGGGTGACAACGAAGAAAAGAAAGACGAGCACCCGGAGCTTAATCAATCACCCATGACGCTTTCGACGTCCTCACCATTCCCCTCTCGTGCCCGCCCTTCCTCCTCAACCTCTTCTTCCTGTGCTTCCTCCTCCCCACCCTCTTCATTCTCCAGCTCATCATCCCGAATATCATCCTCCTCCAACACCAACGGCTCACTCTTCCTCTCCTTTTCTTTCTCCTTCTCCTTCTCCTCTCCCTTCCTCTCCCCCCCTTTCCCCTTCCCCATCCCCATCGCCTCCCCGGCACCCTTCTTCCCAGCAGGGCCAGCCGCCTTCTTCCCCTCCAATTTCTCCCTCTTATCCTCCAAATACCCCAGCACCTCGCGGTAATTCGCACCCAGCCTCATCCGATTCCGACAGAGCCTCTCCCTCACGCCCATCTTCTCCGTCCCCGTCTCCGTCTCTGCATCCCCAACCACGCCCGCAATCACGGCTAGGACCAGCTTCCCGGTGAATTCGCATAGATTCTGCTCGGCGAGCAGGACGGAGGCTTTGCGCGCGTCTTTTCCGCCGCCGCCGCCTCCGGCAACGTCCGGGGCACCGTCATCATCTTCGTCGTCGTCGTTGTCAGCGGCGGAGTCGGAGTCTGAATCCGAGGAGTCGCCGATTGGAGCGTCGTTCTCGGCTGGTTCGGGGTGGTTGGGTTTGGAGACGGAGGAGGAAGGGTCGAGTTTCCGGCGGGATTTTTTGGCGAAGATTTTTTCCAGGCGGTCGTGGGTTTGTAGCGTGGCGGTTTGGAGGGGGGATGGGATGGGGGGGATGAGGTCGTCGAGTTGGTTGCGGACGGGTGGGGGGAGGTGTTGGGATTCTTTTGCTGGCCTGACGTGGCGGAGGGTGGAGAAGAGGGTGTAGAGGTCTAGGGTTGTGCTTAGGGAGAGGAGGCGGAGTGGATCGAGCGGGAGGCGGCTGGACGTGATCTCTGAGAGGGTGTCTGCGAAGGTGGTGCGGTGGGTGGATAGATCGGTGAGCAGGTCTGGGTGGTGCTCCAGATGGTGGATGTTGTTGGAGGTTATGGAAGAGCGGATGGATTGGATCTTCCACATGAAGTAGAAGAGCAGGGTTTTGATGGCGCATGTGGCTAGGTCGTCCTCTAATGCAGCAACGTCGTCTTCTACTTCCTCATCTACTGTGCCTCGTCTGCAGAGCTGTAAGAGGAGGTCGAGAGGGCTGGGGTTTGCAGCCTGGCTCTGCTGTTTCTTTTTCGATGATGAAGCTGGCATGGTTGTCTCAAGGAATAACGTGCAGTCCGATATGCTTGCCAAACTCGACAGTCGAGAGACTGTGTTGGATACCTCAGTCAATAGGTTTCTCGGTAGAGTTCCCCTTGCCTCTGAATTCTGATCGTGAAGCAAGTTCTGTAGTGTATTCAGTATGTCGTCCCACATCTCTTGCATTTTATTGTCTGCTGCCTCCTTGACTGGCTCGGAACTCTTTGCCTTGAGCAGAGCAACGCTTGCTTCTGCGAGAACAGATCTATCCGAGTGGGTCATGAATTGCTTATTGATGTCATCCAACAAGGCAGAGTAGGTTGTCTCGCTTGATTGAAGCTCATTGAGCAGATCCATATCAAGCAGATGTTCCAATCTGAGAATGGCAGACGCGGCTTGGGGGACGGAACCGTATTTGTTCAGCAGCTGGGGAATGATCTTTGAAAGGTGGTAGGCTGCTGTTTCTTGCTTATCGTGGACGTTGTTTTTGCTCGCTTGCGTCTTGCGCCCCTTTTTCTTTCCCTCTGTTTGCGACTCAACAGTTTGGATGAGATATAGCTTCACTGTGTAGTCCAGAACCTCTAACAAAATGGCCTCTTCGCCGTCGTTTAATTTGTAGATTCCTTGAAGAGCAGCTGCAGGGTCGGCATCATCAGCATCACTTGTTATCGCGGAGTGGTCATATAACAAATATCCTGCCAATGACTCCCACTCTTGAAGCTCGTGCATGTGTGAGAATATGGCCTGGGTGGCAAGCATATAACGCGAGTCCATATTGGACGCAACAAGCATGCTTGTTGGTCTATGACCATTGCCCTCTTCCTCGTTTCCATCATAGGCTTTTAAGGTTTCAGCCAGGCATTTGAACTTGATCCACGATCTTGTTGGAGACAGGTAGTCCTCACTATCATATGCTTTCGGCATAAGAGAGTCTATTTGCTCATCACCAATGGGCTCGATGTTGGCCTTGTACAAATCTTCGAGGTTCGAGACAAAGAATTTGGCGACAGCTTTACGCACTTTTGGTTCGGAGTCGAATATCAGCTGCCCGATGATGTCGATATCGTCAGGTTCGAGAAGTTCAGCATCTCTCAATCTGTCCAGCAGCTCAATGGTGTCGGCTCTAACGCCAGGTTCCGCATCCCTCGTCGCAATTTCAACGATTCGGGATCTGAATCGATCTGTGAAACCTCGCAGAGGGCCAACGTTGCCTGGATTCCTGAATAGAAGCTTTAGTTGTTTAACGACCTCCGCGCGAGTATGAGCAACGGTGTCCGAAAGAACCCAGCCAAGGTATCGCAAATATTGCCCTTCAAGAAACATGCTTCGGTATGTCATGATCCAGTTTCCCATCGCACTGACGCACTCAACTCGGATCTTCGGGTCTACATCTCGATACCGATGCACGAAAACGACATCGAATTCATCTTTGAGAATGTTTTCAACTGTTGCGAGCTTCTTCTCATCTGCTTCAGTCTTTTGCTGCATTGATTTCACTCTAGCTTGGTTGACCTTTTTCTTCCTGCCCTCCGTTTCGGCCTGTCGTCTCGACATTGATATAATCGATTCGAGATCGCGCGCAACCTGGCAAAGAGCGGTTGACATGGTCAGCGAGATAAGAGTGGCCGTATGCCGGAACGGCCGAATTCCAGCTGACGACATTGTATCAACCCAGATTTGGATATTGTCGAAGAGAGTCTGGTCTTCGTACAGGGTCGAAGAATTATGCATGGTCCGTATTACAGCGCTAAAGAAGTCGACAAGGACTGGTCGAAAGGCGGCGTAGTCTTTGTGTTTGGATATTAAAGGATAATCAGTAATTGAGGCTTCTTGATACTCATCCTGAAGGTCGCCAAGTTTGTTCGGAATGTTATCAACATCTTCGATATCATGCACTGTGACCTTGGCTTTGCATCCAGTACATTGCAGGACGAAATTTACCATTTCACACATTGCATTGACATTATTTTGCTCGTATCGTTGAAACCAACCAGCGGCGGCATCTTCGCCAGAGTTGCCTCGCCCAAAAACTTCGGCTGCAATCACACATCAGTCAGAAACAGCAACTATGACATCTGAGAGCCTTACCGTACAAACCCTCCTGGTTTACCTGACTCTGTCGCGAACGGGCCTTCTGTACTCGAGCTTTCTGAGAAACATTTTTCGGGGTTACCTTAGCAGACCGAATGGCAAGAGTCGTGCCGGTACCGTTGGAAATCTTTGCTCTCTTACTCGGTTTGGGGGTTGACTTTTTTTGCCTTGACTGCCTCCTCCTTTCTTTGAGCTCTTCCTCGTCTGCAGAACCCTCACTCTGTTCATCTGACTCTTCCTCTTGGGATGCGTCCGCATCTAGATCAAGCAATGCATCCCCATTGGACTGGCGTTTTCGTTTCCCAGAGCCGTTACTCAACAGACTGCCTTCATGGTGTTCTTCAGCGAATACGTCAGGTTTTCGGACGGTGCGGCCTGACTTCCTTCGCTCACCAGTCTCTTGCGTAGTAGGTGGACTTGACCCGATAGCACCGTCTTGTGAAGTCATCTTTGTGGGCAGTGTGCTAATATGGTCGTCTGAGATTCGGTTTAGCACACTCCGGTTCAGTAACAAGGTAGTCGAGTGCGTAAAACGGAGTTGGCGAATGCGGAGCTTTCAAAATCTTTGCAACATGCTCGCACAAGCTACGCGATCGATTTATTCACAGCATATCACGTTCCATGCTGCTTGAAGCGTTGTTCGGAAAATTTCAAAACATTGACTAGAAATTTTATCCAGACAAAAAGTCGCGAGTATGTACATACTCGGCTACGCGTCGGGGCGTTCTGGTGTTGAGGGGCACCGAGGCCTATTCTTGGCGTCGCAAGTAAAACCCGCTCCACAATCAGCACGATACTCACCCCCTCGACGCCGCTTTTATCACCAGCTCACCCACCACTCCCCTGCTGCCCAATGCTCCAAGGTGATTTGTGGGTACACAATGCATGATTCTGCCTCATGATGGCCTTTTGCCAACAGTCTACAGCATGGCCGTTCAGCGCCACCCTGTTCAATCGAGAGAGAGGGCCAGAGATGTGACAGCATCGTATCAAGACTGCTGCTAAGCCTTAGCCTTGCGAGTAATCTTTTGTATTCGGGGGCAATGAATTAAGCTTGTAGGCATCTACATTATTTAATATATTAGTGACTTGTGGGTAATCAAATCATAATTTTCTTAAGATTAATTATATTCTAATAAATGAGATGATAGTTTCCAAACTAACTAAGCCCCATACTAAACTACTATTTAATAATTATATATCTTTACTCAGATTGATAAGTCCTTAGAATAAGTCATAAGTTAATCTAACTTAAAGAAGAGTATTAGGAATACATATTTTGCCTCAGCCAACATGGATGGATTTGTCGCTGCTGAAGGGCGGGGCTTGTGTTACTTAGGACAAGGCTCATGGCGAGAATTGATGCAGCGTTATCGACCCAGAATATCAAAAATATGTCTCTGCAACTAATAAAGTGGCACCCACAAGCCCTGCAGCGAAATCTGGTTCAAATGTCATCTGAGCGGCAACGTAACATAAATTTTCCAACAAGATATGCCAGTACGATGTCGAATCCGTAATTGAATGTGCTGTTGGGTGATAGGCCCAAGACCATCTCAAAGGTTGTAGGCAAAAGGAGCGGAGCTCTCGTTTAGCCGCAAAATCGTGGACTGTCAATATTAGACCTATCGTGCTGGCCATGTGCTTCAGTGACGTGGGGCAGTTCTCTGAGGCGGTTGCGTGTTCTTAGGGATTCCTTCCTGGTTGGTGTGGAGGATGTTCCGGGGTCGTCCGCGCCTTTTTGTTCTTCCACTTTGGGAGTTTTCTTCTTGCTGAGAGCGCCTCCTCGGAGGTCTGCCACGATTCTTAGCATTGTCTTTGTGGGATATCGTTTCTTGCTGAGCCCCCCTCTTTGGAGGTCTGCCTTGCCGCATCCTAAGCGTGGGCCCTTTCCTTGATGGCTGAGAGGCTTTTTGAGAAGCAAGAAGATTTTCCTCACGATAAATCTGGGCGATGCGAGCACTTCGCCTTAGAGGCAGTCTTGGCTTTGTCAGTGCTGCGTCAACATCAGCTGATGCTTGCTTTGGTAGGCTTCTTGCTGGCCGCTTGTGGACGCTATCAAGATCGTATGAAACAAAAGTCGTGGCTAATTATGTTAGTATGCTTTCAAATAGTGATATAAATGTTTCTTACTTCTTCGGACTGGGATAAATCCTATGCGTTTGATAAGCTTTTGTTCCTCTTGTTCTTTCCGCTTTTTCATGTACTCAGTGATAGATTTGAAATCATCTGTTGTTGGACCAAAAGGACCGCGGCCCTCAGAAGACCGTTTACTAGCTTTTGTTTGACATCTGTGCACTTTGTCATTAAATCTGCTGAGGCCATCCACTCCTCATGCTGTTTTTGAACCACATCCCATGGGACAGGATCAGGCCTTGGGTCAAGCACAATCTCTGTTGCCTCGGATGATGCATAGCTCGGTGGAGAATTGCATGGTGATGTCCGCCCAAACGGCTCTTTAGGGTCAGCCGTCAACAAAGATAATCTCGTTCTCAGCTCGCGACCACTGAGATCTGGTTGAGCAGTGGCCATGTTGGAAGAATGAGTGTACGAACAGGGAGCTCGAGTGGAAATAGATTTCGAAAATTGAGAAACGACTTTTAAGGTGTTATGGTAGCATTCCAAGGTACTTGATTCGGTGGCCCCTGGCTTGGCTGGAATTCCAGCCTGATATTAGTCGTTTGTCAAGTGCCTGGTGCAAGTTTTGTTTGCTTGAAACATGGTAGCCTGAGGTCAGAGAGAGACATGGCCCAATGGCTCCACCAGCTTCCGTGAGTGGCAGCGCGCAGGGAGCGGCTTTAGAGTAGGTGATTTTCTATCTCGTGCTTTCGTGATGCGTTCTTCCTCTAATGTCTCTGTGCGTATTTTCGTTTGATCATGAATTCGCATTCGAAGTCGGCGTTTCTCTATCTTGTTCCTCTTAATGACAAAACAGTGGAAATATTCCACTTACCTGCCAATGAGGGTGTAGTCGGCTGTACGCCGAGCAAGCACAAGCTAGCTCTTGCGCTTGACATTGACGGACGACATAGAGATACTTTGGTTGTGGCGACTATTGGACGGAATAAAGCTTACAATTTTATTCTTCCACCAGTTCGACATTATGCTAGACACCAGTGCAGCTTCTTCCATAATCGATTCGTTTGGGGAGCTTCTTATCCACCACTCTATCATAAAATGACGGTATTTATCATTGGCTCAAACATCCGCCACAGACACCAGGTACGCTGCAGGCGCAACCTTAAAGGATTAAGGTTGAGATGATGCATATTCGTTGCTGGATAGTCACGTGAGATGCCTTGGCTGCGGATGTCTGAGCCATTGATAAATATCGTCATTTTATGACAGAGTGGTGGATAAAAGACCATTCCAGTTCAAGAAATACCTATATCGAATACCTGGAGGAAGGCTTTGAGAAATTCCAACTTAGCGGGCCTCTACGTAGGCGAGTTGTGAAATACCCTGCAACAATACGGCTTATTTTCCACGAAGCTTGCTTCTCGTTAGTTCTCCTGAATCCCATCCTCAATGACCTCAAAAAGTACATCCTCGACAAACCGATTCCATGCGATCTCGAACCTTCAATCCTACCACCAAACCTCCCTTCTACAATCAAGCACACCAGGACGTTCACTCCGAAAGAGCATGTTCCAAATCAAGGTATCTGCCATTTCAGGATCCGCGAGATTGGCTGAGGCCTTTGCGGAATTGTCTCTGAGACTATCACGTCGTACCTAAACATTCTATCCACCAGGTCCTCTTCTCCAACGTCGTAAGGCGAATAAGGTTGCGTGCAAATCTTGTCACCTGTTGACAAACTCAAACACATCCACTCTTTAAGAGCAGGAGCAATCTAAGGATAGTAAAAACCTGATAATTCAATTCAGTTCATCCACCTCATCGGTTGCATTGCTTAGTAACTTCGTTCATAGGACATATAAGTCTTTGCTAAGCAGCGATAATCTTCATTTCATAGAAATACCCGTAAAGTTATCCAAAGAAGTATGGTTTCCAAACAATGTTTCAGCTCTCATTGATCTCCATTCCTACTCCTCAATGTGTCTCTGAGATTGGAAACCATTGAAGTAACTGTCGAGACTTGTCTTAGATAGTAGATCATGTCTCACCGGATATGTCCTAAGACAGAAAGGAAGAGGGTGGTGCTGGTGCCCGGTCGCCTCATTGACCGCTAAGGCTGCCTCCTGCGGTGGGTACACTTAGCCGGAGTGAGCTCGAGCGGCATCACCCTACGTAGTACTACGGAGCTCGGGGCAGATTTTTCTTTACTTGGCGTAGTCTCGATCGCGCTGTGTCAACTTCATATAACTCCATGTCTCTCCTTCCATCTCCATTCGCCATCTCAACCTCAGTGCCGGGCGAAGGAGTCATAGAGCTGTCGCTGCTCCCACCGCGCAAACAAGTTCTCAAAACATTAACATATCAGTACCCGCTAAAGCTCATTTCCCCAGATCCACATTCGGCACCCAACGAGGAGAAAGACCCGGTAACTATCGTCTTTCTCCTGACGTATGGAGGGGGCCTAGTGGGCGGCGATAAGATCAAGCTTCGTGTTGATGTTGCAGAACAGACTAGGCTAGTGCTTCTCACCCAAGGTAGCACAAAGATATTCAAATCCCCGTCCAGAACTATAGTCAGTGGACAGACTCTGAACGTGACGGTAGGCCACGGGGCAGCACTATGCTATCTACCTGATCCGACACAACCATTCGGTGAAAGCGTGTACGAGCAATGTCAGACTTTCCATGTTGACACAAGGGGCCTCAGTAGCTTATGTGTGCTGGACTGGTTCATTGAGGGTAGAAGAGCGAGAGGAGAGAGTTGGACTCTCCATTCTTGGAAAGGCAGGAATGAGGTGAGAGACTTATCCTTCAGAAGTAATGAGCAGGGCAGACTTCTACTGAGAGATGCTGTGAGACTGTCTAATGACCAGCAAGTTGGGCATGCCAATGGACTGCTCGATAAAATGAATGGCATGGGTGTTTTTGGTACGCTGATACTGTACGGACCACTCTTTAAGAGTCTAGGAGAGTACCTGTTGAAGGAATACTCTAGTCAGCCCAGAATAGGTGCAAAGAATTGGACAGAGGAACGTTCTGAGGACGAGAGGTCGTCCGAGAGCATACGAAGGGACCAACGACAGGATCAAGAGCAAGCAGATGCTCTCCTATGGACAGCAGCCCATGTGCGCGGCTTTGTATTAGTCAAGTTCAGCGCCAGAGAAATTGACAGAGCAAGAGCATGGCTTAGCTCTATCATCCGGCAGGAAGGGAGTGTGGAGAGGGAATTCGGACACCAAGCTCTCTTCTGCTTGCGATAGATGAGGGCAACTTGTTTGTCAGCCACAACTGAAGATGGAGGAACCCGCGAGGTCTATCACTCCCACAAGGGCTAGCGAACAAACTTGTTACTTGCCAATGGTCAAAAACAAACGGTCACCAACATCGCCCAATCCAGGTCTAATCATTCCTCTATCGTTCAGCTCTTCGTCGATGCCTCCAATCCAGACTTCTGTTGCTTCGGGCCATTCCCCAGCGGCCTTGGCCACGCCGCCTGCACATCCCAGTACGCTGATCAAGATCACCCTTTGCACACCCCATTCCTTGAGTGTTTGGATTGCAGCTACGGCCGTTCCACCTGTAGCGATGACAGGGTCTAGGATGATAGCCAAGTTTGCTGCAGAGGGATTGCCTTCCGGTGCTGTTGAAGAATTGGGACGAGTGAATGGAAGGTTGTTGTAATACTCGACGGGGTGAAGGGACAAGGGATCACGAAACAGACCAAGGTGATGAACGGAGACGGGATATGGAAGTACTGTTTGTAAGGCTAGACATGGTCAGATGTATCTACTCTGTACAGAAATGAGGTTGGCGTCTGGGCTTACCATCGAGCATTCCCAATCCAGATCTAAGGATTGGTACTAAAGTTATACTTGTCGGGGATATTGTTTCAGTCGTAAACTCATATCCGATAGGTGAGATGTCCTGAAGGGGTTCAGCTGTAATCATGATAAAAAGACTGGCTGTTTGGTAAAAACGAGTCTTACTGTACCACTCTGTCGAACGTCTAAACTAGCTAGAGCTTCAATGCCCAGCATCGTAGCGATATCATTGACCAAAGCTTTTGTCTCTCTAGTACTCGTGGATTGGGAGCGCAGAAGGCTCAATTTTGCTCGGAGGCATGGATGCCTAGAGACATGGACATTGGATGGAAGTGTAGAAACCATTGAAGAGCCAGAAAACCAGGTTACGGAATCGTTAATGTTCACACTATGATGGAAAGGACAACAGAGATTAGGATTTTGAAAATATATCTATGCACCTAGGGTATGTAAGCGTGCATCTATGCAAACATGCTGAGTGGATTGCGAATGGCAGAGCAAACAACATCATAAATCCTACTCAATGCGTTGCAGCGAAGGAGTATTGCCAGCCATAAGAAGCAACAATCGACACGCGTACTGTAATTAATCCTAGCTTGAAAGAGAAGCATGTGATTTGGAGTAGGACCTGCGTTTGCTTGATCTGAATCTGACCTACACACAGTTTTCAGGAAACCTGGTCTGTGGGCATGAATCGCACTCACAGTTCCAATGAAACTTGACAATCACAATACGGTTGCAAATAACACATGTTTGCCCTCCAGCTCGTCGTAAGCTCCAAATATCTTTCTCAATGGTGCGTATAAAGCACCGCTACCTTCTAATACAAATTCTCTACCCATCCTTACAAACAAGTAATCCTGAGGCTCCTGATTCGGTCCTCTTTCATGCGCCTACTGCTCCTCACATAACGTCCTCAACCTTGATACACCTCCTGCGCACACAGGTTTCCCTCCTCTTTGGCGACTACGGCTCCGGCGTGCTTGCTGCTGGCTTCTCCATCAAATACTTCTCCAATGCCACATCTACTGCAATTGTTCGATGCCCGAGAGCCCATTACCGACTTGCTTGGGCAGCTCTGACTTTCGTCACTGAGCTACCTGGTGCAACCAAAGGGCCAACAGAGGGAGAAAGATGTGTCTTCCGCGTGGTAAGAGTCAGTGGGACGATCAAGAAGGCGGAGGAGGAGGCAGTCAGACGGGCGAGAAGGATGATATCTGCCATTCAGGGAGACGGAGAAAACACGGGGACATTACAGGCTGTCTTCGGTGCTGAGGATGAACAAGGGATCGAAGATATCAACGCGGATGACGTGGAAATAAGCGATGAAGGCTGAGAAGGAGAAGGAGAAGGCAACACTCATGACGCAAATTTCATTATGGCTTCCTGCTACCACGGACGATCTTGACGCCACTGTTTGTTGGTATGTTTACATCCTCGAAATCGTCATCCTCACCATTCATTGACTTCTCTTCCCTTATCTTTGCCTCCTCATCCCAATGTTTCCTCTCCATCTCGTCATACTCATCCTTTGCATCCAACCACCTTTCTTGCACATCTCTGACATCCAACTTTCCTAGGCCTTCACGGACGGCAACTTGCCAAACAGTGTCGTTGGCGCCTGCTGGTCCTCCAAATGCATATCCGCTTGCTCGATCTATCGTCTGCAGAAGGGACATCATGCTTTTCTTGTCTTCGACGGCTAGCGTCTCGAATCCTACCAGCCCGAACTCTTCCACCAAGTCCACAATTGCTCGGTTCAGGCCAGCAAACTTGCCATCCGGCGCGAATATTGGTGATTCGGAGCTGAGACTTGGGAGGAGATAATTGAGGTCTTGCACTTCGGTGTAAAAATCCAAGTTGAACGGCAATTCGGGGTAATTGGAGAGATTGTCGATTTTCGTCAAAACGTTGACCTGAGGCAGATCCATTTGCAGCATCGACCTTAGCGACAGAAGGAGAGCTGAAATATACAAGGAGGGCAAGGTCAGGACGTAGGAGTCAATAAGATGGATCACGACCAGCTATGACCAGTCAGCTGCGCAATAGAATCCAGAGGAGCGTGGGAGCTGCACACTCTGAACCCCATCTTCTGTATCTTCAAAAACATCTTCCTGAGCGAGTTGTGGTGTGTAAACAGCTCGACCTGTCCGGGGCAGTCGAAAAGAATATATTCGTCTTCACCTAGTTTCTTGAGACCATCTTCAAGCCACTCCATGTTCTCTTCAAGCTCCTCAAGTGCATATAGTACTGCGCCGTTGGGACCCAACTCATCGTTCGACATGATTTCCTCCACAGTGACCAGGTTTCGCACATCTAGGGCGCATGGGTAGGATGTCGCATCGTTTGCCGGGTCGAGGTTTACCACAGATGATTTGCGCCCAATCGCGTTGAGGAACTGTTGCATTCCATTGCAGTAGGTTGACTTCCCGGAGCCAGGCGGTCCGATTACAAGCTGTGCGAACGGCATATCACCATAGATGTCATTAAGTTGAAGAGCGTAACAGGATCGGCGGGAGTTGGAGAAGGTTTGGAGGGGACATGTCCTTGAGGTTTGCGCTACTGGGATCAGTTACTGTAGAAAGAGTGTTAATTTTCTACAGAAGCGCAGGCTCAGCCGCAAGCTATCTGCTGCAGGCGCCTTGGCGCACTACCACAACAGTTACGCCTAATTTAGCGGCATGCTGATCTACATTGCATAGTTAGTGCCCTTGCAGTTTGGTGAAGTTGCGATTCTGCCCTGTCCCTGAAACCTCATTCACATATTATGGTATTGCCTATTTCGCTTGGAGAATCAAATTCATCCAGCCATACTGTTCCTTCTCGAGCACATCATGATGATTGACAATGTCGCATCGACCGTTCTACCTGTCCCAACCGGACTCACCTGAGCGAGAGTCCCTCGCAAATAGAAGTAGCTTCGATTTGTCCGCCGAAGACCCCGAATCGCAGGTTCTCTTCTCTTCAAGCTACTCCCATGGGCATCATATCGCCTTCTTCGACAAGGTACAATCGTTCTTGCGCGGCAGGGGGTTCAATCTCAACTTCAATAAACTCTTAAGAACAAAGAGACAACGTCGCAGGGGCAAGAAAGGCTTGTGCCAGTGGCCTGGACGTCGTCGGTTATGCTTCGCGTTCCAAGCTTTTCTTGTTGCAGTACTCTTGCTGGCCACATTCATAGCCATCGTTCGTCCGTCTTATTCGAAGCCACCGGCTCGTTATCATGAGCTTCTTCTTCTTGCGCAAAGCTCCTCTGAAGCAGGCAGAGCAAATCCTGGGAAGGAGAAGGTCTTCATAGCTGCAAGCATATTCGATCCGAAGGGAAACCTCGCCCGAGGGGCTTGGGGAAAAAGCCTGCTCAGTCTTATAGACCTCCTTGGACCTTCGAATGTCTTTCTTAGCGTCTATGAAAATGATGCTGGACCTGTAGCCAAGGCAGCATTGGAGGAGTTGGAGGAAAAGACAACGTGCGAACATTCCATTGTCTTTGAGGATAAGCTCCCTCCAGACGCAGTTCCAGAGATTCAACTCCCAGATGGGACAATGCGGAGGAGGCGCATCGCTTATCTCGCAGAAGTACGGAATCGGGCTCTACGTCCCTTGGACTCCTCTAGCACCAAGTTTGACAAACTTCTGTTTTTGAATGATGTTATGTTGGATCCTGTGAATGCTGTACAGCTTTTATTTGCCACGAATGCTGAGTCGGGCAAGGCTGATTATCGTGCTGCATGTGCTATGGATTTCAGCAACCCCTTTAAATTTTACGACACATTTGCTTCAAGAGATCTTGAAGGATACAGCATGGGACTTCCAATCTATCCTTGGTTCTCAAGTGCTGGGAGGGCAGAAAGCCGGCAAGATGTTTTTGATCAGACAGATTCAGTGCGCGTACGAAGCTGCTGGGGCGGCATGGTGGCTTTCGATGCAAAGTACTTCCAATCCACAGCGGATGATTTCGATGATCTGGATGCAGCTGGCGGTATTACTGGAGCAAACTTCACGGGATTCCGGTTTCGTGGGGAAGAAGAGCTCTTTTGGGAGGCCGCTGAGTGCTGCCTAATTCAAGCTGATATACAAAATCCAGATGAGGGTGAGACAGGCATATACATGAATCCGTATGTTCGCGTGGCATATGACACCACCACTCTCTCTTGGCTAGGATTGAGCAGGAGGATAGAGCGCCTGTATACGCCATTCCAGTATCTCATCAATATTGTAGCGGGACTCCCTCGTTTCAACCCGCGAAGAGCCCAGCAGACGTGGCAGGAAGTGCAAGAGAAGGTGTGGGTACCCAATACTACTCTTCCTTCAGGAGGATCATTCAACGTGATTGACAGAATTGCGACTCACGCTGGCTTTTGTGGTACCAGAACCCTTCAGGTGTTGAAAGAAGACCCACAGGCTGGAGAGAAGAACTGGGAATTCGTTCCGCTGCCAAATGGGTGATCAAGTAGAGTTGGGAGACACATGTGAGTGTAGCGAAAGAGTTTATGTGCTTTGTTGCTGTGTTCAGTATGTTGCGGTGTTCAGTCTTCACCCTTTTTTAAATAACGGGACAGCTTTTACCTCATACTTTCTAAATCTAAGCGGCCTCTATCGAATCCAAACTCAGCAGTGTCACTATTTGGTAGATTCTTTTTGGCTACTGCGCACACCCAACCTACAGACGTGGATGGACAAGATGCCGGGGAATAAACCCTTCAACATCGATGACATCGGGAACGTCAACTCCTTCCTTGCGTTGATCGGTGGGTCTCAGGTTTCGTCCCCGCCTGAGGCAGAGCGCACCACAGTGTCAGCATCTGAACGTTCTTCGGTTGCTCCACCTTCTGGATTAGCTGCAGCCGGAATCGACGTCCTAGTAAGTCTGCGACAGGGGCTGACATTATTCGTGGATGCTAATTCTACTGATACGAAGCAGAAGCAAGATCGGCCCGTACCAAATCGTCACTCTCAGTTGATACCAGCTTTGGCAGCATCCGGAAGAGCGGCTCCACCTTCTACACCCACTGCAGGTACCGTAGCGGCGTCCAATACAACGTTAACATCACTTGATCACATCGAAGACGGAAGCGATATTTTGAGGGCCATTGCTAACGCCTCAAATCTTACCCTCAATGACTCAGTCCACGCTCCCAAGAACTTCAGAAGAACAAGGGCGCAAAATCCTGATCTGAAATACGCTACTATGCCTGCACGTCATGCTCCTTATTCTTACAACAGTTTTGATGAGAATTACAACCGCGAGTCTCTGAGCAAGATGAAGAAGTCTGAGCAAGAAAAGCTCATCCCCAAATATCAAGATGAGGTGATTGCGAATTTTGTCCGAGAAAAATCCCCTGAGAGTGAGTGCAAAGTGAAGCTTTACTAATAAGTCCTGCTGACTATTTGTTCACAGTGGAAAACAAGGCCGAACCCACCAAAGAGCCTGAGTCAGGATTGCCGGACCGCAACACCAATGTTACTGTTTCAGACTCTTCTAGCAAGGTCACACAGTCGACCAAGGAGACTCCAGAGCCAACCAACAAAGCTACCAACTATCCAAAGATGTCCATCACTACAGCACCCGGAGAAGCAACAGACGATGATGATGGCCAGAAAGACGATGGTAATAGCGAGAAAGAGGATCGTGAGCACCTGAAACACTTCAAGTCTTGGGGCAAGCCTGAACCACGCAACGGTCCAACTGCTCGTATTCGCAAGGTTATCCTCAGCAACCTGCCTGCGGACTCGGATCTCACTCTTGTTCAATCACTTGTCTATGGTGGTGCACTCGAGTCGTTCAATTTAATGGCCAGCAAGACCTCCGCTTATGTGACATTTGTCGATGCTGATGCTTGCGATGCATTTTTCGATGCTCACCCTAATGGCCTCGTCTTCAAGAATCCAAAGACCCGTCGCAACCATGTAGTCTATGTTGCCAAAGGCCAGGATGTTGATGTCGTCTCAAGTGTCCTCCGAGCTTATTTGGATTGCCAAGCTTCGCGGGTTGTTCGTGCTACAGGGGCTGATGAAGACTGGGGGATGGGAGCGCTCTACAAGCTGGCAGAATCTAAGAATCGTAAGGTCGAGACAATCGTCGATACTTATCGTGATAAGGTAGGTCGAGAATTTGATGCTATTGTCTGCTCTAGCTTGATACTATCCCGGATGCTGATTTGGAATGATCATCAGGTCCGTACAATCATCTTCCGATTCACAAACATCGCCGACGCAGTCACCTTTCGAGGCCAACTCCTACGTGATGAAGATTGGGAAATGTGCAACATTCAGTTCATGGACGATCCTGTTCAAAAGGCGACTGGTGTGCATCTAGAGGAGTAGAAGGATTGCATTCCCGGGACAAGTCATGATCCAGAGCACGAAGACCGGAAGCTTTGCTCACACGAAGACGAAGATATTTGGAAGAGTGTTCTGAAGACAGCACCATAGCAGACAATGATTATGGTAGCACAGCTGTCAACACCCATCTTGGGGCATAGGCACGGGCTAAGTAGCTAGCAACCCAATTGTGTCTCCTGAAACGATGCCCTTCATTGATTTCTGAATGGCATGCTCACAGCAACTACTTGTTACCTGCTTAGGTCAGGTTAGCAAGTTCTTATCTAGCTGTAACCCCTTTTGCTTTGGTTCGGGTCCTCCCAACACTCTTATCCAGTTGGTTGAGTTTCTTCTCAACTCCAGCCCGCCAACGCATATAATCAGCTTGTCTGTCCTCACCAAGCCAGTCAATGCTTTCCTGCATCATGGTTCCTAGGCCTGGAAGCAATGTGCCTTCAGCATCTCGCTCGTCATTCCCTATATCTGTTCTTTTCCTTTTCTTCCTGCTTATAAGTCCCGCCTGATACCCGTCTTCTGGCTCTACTGATTCTCCAGTTGCCGGCTTTCCCAAGCGATCGAAAACGTCTTCAGGCACGCTACTCCACCACTCCTGGTCTGTTGTCCATCCCTCTGACGAGATCTTCTTAATCCAGTCATCGACAGCGTCCTTGGTCACGCCAGAGTTGGTGTCTTCATCATTGGCTACTGCACATGCTCTTTTACAATCTGTCAAATAGCTCTCGCTGCTGACTTTACCCTGTTGCATTCTTGATAGCACCAGAAAGAAAAGGGCCAAAGTCAGGCCTGTCACATCGTTTCGATATATAGACTCTTCATCTTCCTGCCTGGATCCCAGATTCGCCAATCCCAGGACGACACACAGCCCGGTGTACACATGCGGTACCAGTAAAGGGGTTGAGAATGTGTGGCAGAGACGACGTATCAAGGGCATTACCCATGTTGGCACTCCATCATCATTGTTTTGATGTCCTGAGTCGCGTGACTCAAGTACTTTGCCAGCAAAGGCTGTCCTCCTCTTCCTAGACGTGGTCCGTGATGTTGACTGTGAAGGCCGCGGCGCTACCTTTTTAGGCGTAGTCGTTCCTGTTGAAACATCTTTCCCTTTCTCTGAGCTGTCTTGGGTGGGCTTCGTTGGCAAATTTGCGGGAAGGGCCTGCTCAAGGAATGTGAGGAGTTTTTTGTAAGCCCGCGGTGGGCAAGGTGGTCGGCCATGGAGCGCAGGCAATTTCAGCTTGGATCCTAGTCGTTTGCATGCGATCTCACAACATGCGTAGGGTCTGGCAATTTCCTCTTCGGATTTGAGGTTGCTGGCTTTGTTGCGCGATTGGGCTAGGAGAGAGTTGGAGAGTGCGATGAGCTCGTTGGGGAGGTGGTCGGATAAACTGGGAAGGAGGAGCGAGAGGGATTGCTCGATATTGGACATATCCAGGTTTGAAAAGTGTGTAGGAAGACCGGCTACATGGTGCAGATGTATTGAGCAGCTTGTGAGATGTGTTCTACAACCCGCACTCAAGTCAACTGGCCTGATATACGCTCAGCCCGTGCCTTAACAAACACAATAGCATAGCGCCATTTCTTCCTCGCATCACCACCACCGGGTACTTGATGAACCAGATCGAGCTATCTGCGATAGAAAATGCCCAATCTGACTATCCACCACTTCGGCCGTCATTTCCACACTTAACGCAATATGATCATCAAGCGTTCTGTAACGGCAGCTCAAATTACTGCATCATGACCAAATCCAATGTGCATTGAGCATTCAAAGCCCGGAATACTAGTTGTCAACTAAATTGCTGTACGAAGCACATATATAGGACTCCGTATTACAAGACATTAACACTGACTTACCCAGAAGCCTGCAGCGGATTACTTCTACAAAGGCGGCTATTAGGTCAGTTCGCGGGGCAACACCCAAGGGGCATAAAGATCTAGCAAGACGGGATGTCAGATGGATGATGTGACTTCACTGAAATATATCATTTGGATTACGTAGTAGCTTGCATTTTGAACCCCGCGCTTGATGCAGTCAACTTTTTGAAAGACAGCTTGTACTCCCAAGCATGTTTGTGGGGAATATGATGGGCCCGAAGCTTGGCGCAGAAATTTATGGCAGTTCTCAGATCCCCTTCCTCCCCCCCCTTCTTCATTCCTCTATTTCTCTACTAATACTCACTCAAATTTAAGGAACAATGGATTCTGAACGAGGAAATAGACGCCGCGTCTGCCGAAAGTCTTATTCGATTGATCCTCCTTCTCCTGCGGCCTCACGAACGTCAAAAACGATGCTTGATACGCCGCGCCGAGCGCGCCTTCTTGCTGATGCACGCCACACAGCTGTTGAATTACTTCGTACAGATCTATTTAAGACACTTATAGCCGTGAATAGAGCTGGCTATCGAATCCTGCAGCGAAAAGGTCCATAATCGAGGGCGCAAAAGAATACTTGCTCCATATGAGTGCGAAGCAATTGATCCTAAAAAGAAGGAACTGCGCGCCGCAGCGAGAAAGTCCATAATCGAGGTCCCAAAAAGATACTTACTCTATATGAGTGCGAAGCAATTGAGGCAGTTGAAGATGCGAATTTTGGCTTTGCTTCGTCAAGTCACTTTAGAGTGGCAAAGACAATTGGTATAGCTAATGGCTCCGAACGTACAATTCAACAAAATATGAAGGATTTTGGAGTAGGGACCTATATGGCTGTGCAGAAAAAATGCTCTTACAAGCACATATTTGAGCAAATCGTCGCTTCTGATTGGGATAAGAATTGCGTTTTGATTGAAGATAATGATGGGCCTCATGGAACCAAAGGCAAGGGATTTAATAAGGTCCGAGTTCATCGTCGCAAAGGTTATGAGGCTCGAAATGCCCTCTCAAAGACCCAATTCAAACTGAAGCGCCAAAATCAATCAATACATGTGTACAGAGTAATTGGATGGAATTTCAAGGGTCAGCTCTACTTCTATACTGGCTCTGGTATAGGGGGACGCCTTGTTCAAGCTGATTATATGGTTATTCTTGAGCAAATCGTCGCTCCTGATTGGGATAAGAGTTGCGTTTTGATCGAAGATAATGATGGGCCTCATGGAACCAAAGGCAAGGGATTTAATAAGGTTAAAGCTCTCAAAGACCATCTTGGTATCCAATACCATCTTGGTATCCAATGGGAATCAAATCCTCCGAATTCGCCAGATCTCAACCCTATTGAGACCATTTGGAGGATAATCAAGCAGAGGTTGAAGTCCAGGGGGGTCATCTTCGAAGAAGCCATTCTGCGCCGCGCCATCCAAGAGGAGTGGGATAAAATAACCATTGAGGAGATTAATAGGGCTATCTCAACGATGCCAGATAGAGTAGCTGCCCTAAACGAGCGAAATGGGCGCCCTATCCCCTATTAAATGGCTGTGTAGATAGCACGAATCTGAGAACTGCCATAAATTTCTGCGCCAAGCTTCGGGCCTCTCCAAAAAATAGTGGTGAAATGAATTCCTGCACCCCCTGGTGGCAGCAGCTGGTCCATTTGCACAAATTAGTACCGTAATACTATAGTGTAACGTGAACTTGCTGATACTAGCACCAGCCGAACAATACTTATGGCTCCCTCGTAGTAGACAGCCTCAGCCTTTGAGAGGTCTATCTAGAGGAGTCAGCCCGAAGGCCGAACTTACATACCGTAGGAAGCTCCTACGGCCTGAAGGCCCTATCACACGCATCTCCAGTGAGCTAGTAAACTTGGCGAGTTTGCATTTCTGTTACTAGTATAAAACCCAGCTCAGAGATTACTTTCTAGCTTAGTTTCTACACGATACAACCTCCTGGCAGTCAGTAGGGTTACATCAACTAAGTGTGGTTCGAACCCACAAGAGCTGTCCTTTTGGTGGAGTGGTTGATGTGTCCCTTTTCTCTGGGTTCGTCTGTGGATCCTCTGCAGTTGTGTCACCCTCTTTCTGACGTCACTAACAGGATACTTTCATTTTCAGTGACTTAAGAGATGCTTTGTATATAAAAACTTAAGTCTGTTCGGGCATCTTTGAAATTCTTATAACTAAATTATTCAAATCAAGAGCATGCTAGCTACACTTCGATAGAGATAAAATATATATTGTCATATACTAACTTAACAATAGCTCTTTCAATATCGGTGAGCAAAAGACAGCGATTCAAGACAAATGCTGAGGATTTGTAGAACCTTTTTATCCAGCAGTACACCTTGAAATTTCGATACATCTGCCACTCGATAACTCACCTGCTCACCACATTTTAACCTAGATGCGTTTTGATTCTTGAGGATTTATGTAAGACACTACCCGTAATAACCCGCCTTCTTGGATCGAACACCCAATATACGTGTGGAGTCCGGTACTCTCGCATATGGCTTCCTGGGAACTGTAGAGACAATGCCCAGTGTTAGATTGATTCTCTTTGTAGAAGGTGCAGGTTCAGAACAACTGTCACTGTTGACACAAAGGGCCGAAGTCTTGCGAGAGAAAGGGGTGAGAGAAGGAAGAAAATAAATCGTAGGGAAACATACAAAATACTTCTCAGGGCATGAAGATAGGCAGGCATGAACCGCTCGTTTTGCGCGTTGGTACGATATAGGTAGTCACTTAGTCCGCCGATTGTCTGCTTATCACTACTCGCATAGTGACGAACGGGAATATAGATCTTGACCTTTGGCACTGCACTTCCAAGGCAGAATTCGACATTATACAAGATGCCGGCGGTTCGGTGTTCTACCCTAGGGAGCGGTTCATCATCCGACCGACCTCGTCGCTCCAACAAGGCGTCCCAAAGGAGCCTTAACTTCTGAAGTCCATGAACCAAATCGGAGGTTACGAGTCGACCACCCATTGTCATGGTTCGTTTCACGGAGCTGAAGCTGGTTTCGCGGCTGCGGAAGTAAATCTTCAGGCGAGAGGAGGTGGGTTCAACGAGGTCGATGGCGAGCATATCCATCTCCAACGCCGGAGTCGATGAGTCCATGACAAATTCCTGGAGAACTGCCAAAGCTTCGAGTTTTTCTGGCGAGCAGTACGGCGCCGTTACGATTGCTTGCGAGACTATGGTCAGGTTGGTCTGCCCAGTGGCCTTGGCTTTGAAGCCAGGGAAGAAATATGCCTTGCTCTTGATGCCATCCTCAGCCAGGTCAAAGGCGTAGAAGATGCGTGAGGAATGACCCTCGGAGGCTAAGCTCACGGCAGCAGCACTGCAGCAGAGCTGCTGCTTGAAGTGATCGAACCATTCGACGTTTGTCCGTGGCAATGACCGGAGCAGCGCCTGGTGAAAGTTGGAAGCGGCGTACCAGTTTTGAGGATCAGTTGCTGTTCCGGCAATGAGCCCGACCGGTTCGATGGAGAAGCGTATGGTGGGTGATTTGGATTCCGTGTGCCAATCCCAGCTAAGTTCGATGGGATTGCCGTCATCCGTCATGAAGCTATTCCAAGGCTTCACATCCAGTGCTGGCTCAGTTGCGGCACCCAGACTCGAGCAAACCACCAAGGCAAAGAATACCAGGCACTGGTACTGTGCATGCCTCGAGTATTCCGCATTTTCAAGCAATACGGCCAGGGCATATCCTGATCTTGCCCACCAACACCGCTGGTGGAAGGAGAGGCAATGACGAATTTCCGAGTCAACCTGGATCCAGACCGGGATGACTGTGGGAAGGGAAATGGTAGCGCCAGTCTCATTGGAGCCATACTGCGGTGAAGGCAAGTTGCAGAAAGGATGCGGGATGAAGCGGCCGACAACAGCTTCAGAACGAATGGCCATGGTGAGGGCAAAGCTCCCACCCAAAACTATACAAAGGATGTTACACTGCGGGCTTATTAGGATAAGGGTAAGAACAGTCGTTGACTGAGTGATACCCTACACAGCAGACCTCCGGGTAGCCCTAAGTGTTAGCCTCCGGATCAACAGTACTAGGGTTACTTATTCTTTTTACGCTTTTGGTGCTGTGCAGGCATGACAGGCTGAATTTCTCCATCAGAGGAATAGTGCAGCTGTACTCGGTACGCCCAGCAGATCTAGTGTAAAGGTGAGGGCGGGTTGGGTTATATGCCAACAAAGTCCTTGAAGCGATACATCTTTTCCAACAATGCATCCTGACTGTAGTAAATACTTGTGAGACGAATGAGGTGTGATAAGACGATGAGGATAAAATGTTGTACGTGGTACTTAGTGCAAGCAAACAGGGCGATCCTTTGCGCAGAACCACATGCAGTGATTCTCCTTACGTAGTGTTCTTGACATAGTAATGAACATCCCCTTGACATTGTACTTGGGAGACCGTTACCCACTGTCCCCAGTACTCGCCCCCAAACCACTCCGGGATGGAAGGGGCTTGGACAGGTGGATACGGAGGAGGCTCACTGCCCGGTGATCTGCTTTGTAAATTTGCAGGTTGCATGCAGAACGGATGTAATACACGTGCTTGAAGGCCGTATGCCAAGCATACATCACTCTCAAGATTCTAGATCTAATGATTAGAGTCCTGCAAAGTAGAGAGTATTTCTGCAAATCGTATTTGATGTTCTTTGTGCCAAGGCTGCGGCAAGACTCCTTCACTAAGTATACGAGGACGCTAACCTAATCAGGGGACGAAACCCATTCAGTGACATAAGCGATACAACTGCCGCCTCCCATCTCATGTTCCCTAAAGCCGCTATGGCTCCGCAACCATGTCTCTCCCTTCTCCAGGTTGAAGCGGTGAGTCTAACCACCCTGCTTCAACCATTATTTGCTGACAAGTCAACGTGAAGCTGCTTGGTAATCGCGTTAATTTCACATGCTTTGATTATTCATGACGCGGAACTGGTACGTAACAGGGCTAAAACCGATGCTTGTTTCTGGTTCTGATATGATAAGCTTAGAAGCGTTGATGCAGAGTTGCTGCAGGCCCAGACATTTTTTAGGGCTACCATTCATCCTGTCCTTGCTGCATGCAGGGTAGTTATATAGCTGAGGGCTAACTTTTTGGTCAAAATGTAGTTGCTGTAACGTAGGTGGACCAGCAAGGCAGTAGTACCCTAGTTAGTAAGTACTAGTGCTACAAAAGTATCTTGGCACTCAAACTCTTAATAATTGTCATTGCTGGGCAATCTGAGTCTTAAGAAATAGTTTTGACATCTGATGTAACGACGTTGATGATGTTCTTTTAAGTAGAATGTGTTTGGATAATCTACATAGATTTACGTAAGAGTTAGCGAAACTTAAGAAGAAGAGTGCAACAGGAAATTGAGAATGTCAAGAAGTTTCTGTTGCATTGTGGGTACTATTGCATTGTTCGTCTACTTATGTTAACTAAATTTATAATACAGAAATGGGATGTAATGACAAACTTTCAGAGCCAAGACCTTATAGCGAATTGGCAAGTTTGAAACTGGAAACTTGTCTTGCCAAACAAAGCTTAACCATGAACTTGAGATCAGAGCCACCCCTTGAGGATTAACAAGACCCTAACAAAGCATGCTGATCTAGTTGGAGCTATTGGAAGTCAAAGAAGGCTGTGATGTAAGACCTGTCGGGCGTGAGAGCCGTCTCATGATCGATTCAGCTTATCCTTGGACGGTAAGATCGAGACACATCCTCAACTATAAATATGAGCTCTGGTATCAATACCTGAGAACTATCAACCAAATAGTGTGAGGACAGTCAAACAATTATCTCTCCACCAAGTATCTATTTTCTTTCTTTAGCTACCCTCTTTGCAGTCCCTTCCATCATTTCATAACTGCTGCTCTCTCAGGCCCGTTCCTTGCTCTAGATTTCGCCCTCAGCTTCTCCATGTGCTGTCCGGAACCAATACCGCGTTTTCGTACTGATATACCATGGATCCTGTGCGGGAAGAAGCCATCCATAATGAGCGACACGTCAAAATCATCTGTATTGGGGCTGGCGCATCTGGCTTGTGTCTGGCCTATAAGCTTCAGAGATCATTTCGCAACTATTCTTTAACAGTACGAGAAGAATGTCGTTCAGTCTGATAGCCGTGCCCTGATTAGCTTCCCAGATCTACGAAAAGAATCCCGAGATAGGCGGAACCTGGTTCGAAAATCGGTACCCAGGGTATCTATCACCTTTCTCTTCATATCCCCGCCCTTCTTCGATTTCATGCTGGCAGAGGACAAGTACGCCACGCATTCTGAATCTTCGGCTAGATGCACATGTGATGTTCCATCTCATAATTACACCTACTCCTTCGAGCCTAAGCATGACTGGACCAATGTGTACGCCAGCTCCGCAGAAATCAAGACCTATTTTGCCGACTTTGCCCAAGAATATGGTCTGCACAAGTTTATCAAGCTCTCCCATAGGATGCAGATGGCCCGATGGTCAGAAAAGGATGGTCAATGGCACGTCCAAGTGGATAACTTAGCGACAGGCGAAACTATCCAGAATTCCTGCCATATTTTGATCCACGCTTGTGGTTATCTCAATAAGCCATCGTGGCCTGAAATACCAGGAATTGATGATTACAGAGGAAAAAAGCTTCATAGTGCTGATTATGATGAAACAATATCACTACAGGGCAAGGAGGTTATCTTGATAGGGAATGGGTCAGCATCCTGCCCAATTTTCCCTTGTCGCCTCATCATCAGCGACAATGTTAGCTAATTCAATCCAGCTCGTCAGCGGCTCAAATATTACCAACGATTCAACCTGTCGTAAAGCATGTCAAGATATTCATCAGATCTCCATTGTGGCTGCTGCCAGACATAAGTTCCGACCAGCGCCCTTTCACGCCCGAAGAGATTGAAAAGTTTGTCCAAAATCCCAATGCCACTATAAAACTGCGCAAGCTAAACGAAACAACTATGAACAGCATATTCAGTATGGAAACCGTGGCAGATAGGCCAAAGCGCGAAGCTAACAAGACCCAGGCGTTTATCTTCGAGACTCTGTTCTGCAAGCGCAAAGTAGGGAACTCTTGCAGTCGCAGATGAAGAAAATTCTAAACAACGAATACTTGGAGGAAAAGTTGATTCCTTCTTTTGCAGTTGGTTGTAAGAGAGTCGTCCCGTCTGGTTTCCGGTATCTCAAAGTAAGCTGGCTGTGATTTCTTCTGGGATTTGAACTTACAAAGTCGAAGGCGCTTCTGAAGGAGAATGTTACTATTGTCCATGGAGCTGTCGGATCATTTGTCGAGACAGGATGCACCAGCGAAGATGATACTGTTCACCCATCAGAGATCATCATCTGCGCGACTGGTTTCGATACCTCCTATATTCCCCGTTATCCTATCATCGGACCCAACAACCGCAACATGCAGGAAGAGTGGGCGAGCTCTCTTGATTCGTATATGGGAGTCGCTGCCTCCGAGTTCCCAAACATGTTCATGTTTTTGGGCCCATATAGTCCCGTATCCAATGGACCGACGCTTGTAGCAATAGGTATTAGCACAGGAAGCATGCACTCAGCTAGCCTTACCATTTATCCTGCACCCCTCTCCCGCTGGGTCCGTGGTTGAAGAGAACGCAGCTAACGTCACGAATCTCCCTATTCCAGAGACACAAGCTGATTACATCCTCTCCTTCATCGACCGCTACCAAACCGAGCCGATCCACAGCCTCGCCCCCAAAGCCGCTGCCGTCGACGAGTTCAAAGCCCACGTCGCCACCTTCATGGGCCGTGCGGTCTGGAGCGACGCCTGCCGATCCTCGCATAATAACCATACTGTCAACGGCCGCGTACCGACTACGTGGCCCGGCAGCACGCTCCACTACCTCGAGGCGATGAGGGAACAACGGGCAGACGATTGGAAGATCGTGTACAAGGGGAACCGGTTCTCCTGGCTGGGAAATGGGATCAGTCAAACCGAATGGGATCCGACCAGCGATCTGGCGTACTATATTCGGGACCGGGATGATGGACCGTGGGGGAGCAGATGGAGGAAGACGGCGGAGAGAAGTCGAAGTGGGACCCAGCCGAGGAGAGAGTTGCACCGTCAGTTGAAGCTAGCGGCTAAGAATGGTGCGGAGAAGAATATGGAGGATGGAAGGAAGAAAACGGACGAGTCGGAGCAGAATGGGACGATACATCATAGGGAGACGGGCAGGGATGGCCATTCCTGGCCCCATCGGGTACTGGCAGAGGACGCATGATGCTACCTTTTTGACACTCACTTAAAGAGAATAAAAAGAACAGGAGATCGAGCCGTAGACCTTACACCTTGATATCATACTTGTACTGATCGAAATATCCATGCTCGATCCCCACCAACCAAGAACGCAAACCAAAAATTCCCGCCAACCTTTACTCCCTATTCCTCCTACAAGTGTCTACTTTGGATCCAAGCTCTTTCTCTCCCTCCCCATCACTCGGCAAGAGAACCGAGTGAACGGTCAAATACAAACATGCCAACCCGCTCTACAAACTCGTGATAGGAGGGGAAGGAAATTGTGACTGGGGTGAGCAAGCTGCGCCGAGGGTGAGCTGATGATGGATAGCAGAGTATCCATCAAATCGAACGAAGCAAACTGAATCGAGGCGCTGATTTGACTGATTTGTCAAATCGAGTCAACGCATTCTCATCAGTCAGGATCAAGTGTCCGCCAAGACTACTATTATTCTTTCGGAAAAAATCCATGAATGTTTCAAAATAACTTTAAGAGACTTTTCTGCCAAGACTTCAATTTGACTAATTTGTCAAATTCACGGAGGCTGATTTGCTTTGATTTGATTGATGGACACACTGATGGATAGTACGCAACTATGTTACCAGACACCTCTGAGTAGAGCACGTTTATCATTCCGAACGTTGAAAAAGCCCCGAGCTATCAGCCACTACTACTAGTAATGCAAGGCCTCCGTTTCACGTGATATGGCGTACGCCACGCGTTGACGCGATTTGTCGACCGCGTGAGTTACTCCGCCTTGGAGGTGAAGAATTGTGCCCCCTTCCGCGTTATAACCAAGGTTTCGCCAAGGAACCCTTACGTGCGGAGCAGGACCGTGAGAAAGTTCCCCCGCGTGGATACGTTAGGTGTGAGTCATAATCCTCCCACTGTTGAGGAGCTAATCAATCCATGGGCTTTCGTGTCGGAAGGGAGGGAAGAGAGCGGGGAAGAGAACCAGGTTGATAAATACTCAGCCTTGGGGAGTCGGTGGCAAGATGTTCTTTTCCTTTATTCTTAAATTCCTCCACATAGCAATCGATCATCTGTCGACTGCGGCTACGTATATGGCCTTGAGATAACCCCAGGCAATCAAGCGACGCTTCTTTCACTCCCAGGCCCTCTCCTCATTCTAGATCCCTCTTCTCTTCTCCTCCCTTCCTGTGTTTTTCCAGCCAACATGTCCTCGGAGCAATCAGCCGCAGAGGCATGGAACCCTCCCGTCACTGGTACACCGTGCTGGATCGAGATCCCTGCCAGTGACCTCTCTCGGGGTAAGCGCCTAAATGGTCATCTCCCTGCCCTTCCTCTCTCCCCCCTCTCCCCGTTTCTTCTCCAGAGAGGCAACAGAGATCGCATTATCTGATGAGGACATGGTCTGACCGATTAATGCCTCCCTCCTAGCCAAGAATTTCTACGCCGAGGTTTTCAACTGGAAGTTCCGCTCCGATCCGGGGGCGGCCGAGCATAAGGACGTGGCCATGTTTTCCTTTCCGGACCCCAAGTTCGAGAGTTTGGGTGGTGGAATCAAGAAGATAACTGATCCGGAGGGAAAGAAAGGAGGCGGGCCGATTGTGTACTTGTACGTGGACAGTTTGGAAGACATTGCCAAGGTAAGACGTTTTTTCGCTTGTCTCTCCCCATCTCTGCATCTCGTTCAAACAATCATGCCAGCCAGCCAGCCGTACTCTCCCATAATCGTTCTGTCTCCTTCCTACCTCTCTCTTCTTAACCCTTCCGCTCCTCCCATCCTCATCTCCCTTCTTCTACTCCGTACTAACCCGAACGAATCCATGATCAGGCCATCCCAGCCGCAGGCGGGAAGATCATCGGAGAGGTTATCCCCGAGGGCTCTTTCGGATTCTACCAGCTGTTCGAGGATACCGAAGGCAATGTCGGCGGGAGTTACACTATGGCGAAGAAGTGATCTACATGGGAGGAGCGCAGATTGGGGCTGACCAGTGGATGGATGGAGGACCGGAGGAGGAAAAGAATGATTAAAAGACACTGAAATATAACAGGAGACTTGGTTTGAGGAATCTAATAGTAGTAGTACAGTGGAGACGAAAACTGCAATATGAAATCTAGATCTAGAGGATGTGTGTGTGTGTGCGTGTGTGTAGGGGAAATGAAAGGGGGGAGAAGGTTTGAAGATGAATGCGAAGAATTATTGCGCATCCCCTCTGAATCTGACATCTCTCCCCAGTCTAGGTAGGAATTTCGTTTGAAGTGCCTCGGTGTGTTCAAATTAAAGAAGATCGGCCTCCGTGGGTTTGACAAATCAGTCAAACTGAGGTCTGGACAGAAAAGTCTCTGGTTTGGGAATATTCAAGGATACAAAGTATTTTCGATGGAATAAAAATGGTCTTGGCGGACACTCGATCTGGACAAGAATTCAAGTTTAGTATTTATATGAATTACTATACCCTTACGTTTTGCCTGCTTCTGATTGATCATTTTTGCTGTGATTTCGTAGCTACTAGTAATTTCCCTACAATTTGTACTTATTTCTGCACGCCCTACGCCTTTTTAAGAGAGAACAGAGCCATTTCTTCTACCTATCTGACATAAGTAAATCCCTAGAAGAATATATCGGTTACTGAGATTTGACTCGCTTTGACAAATCAGTCAAACAAAGCAGATCACGGGTTTTGATTAAATAATTAAAGCAAATCAGGGCCTTGATTTGCTTTGTTTTATTTGATGGATGCCCTGAAGTGCCTGATCCTTAATATGATGAGCTGAGGTTCTTATAGCCGACAGGTTCATTATGCCAACTCTCTTGGGAACATTCATGCTGCCCGACTAGATGGTGATGAATTAGGGCGGGACGGGTTGGTAGTAACCCCTTGCTAGGTAAACTGCTTGCTCCTTTGGAAGAGGTCGAGGTCCAATTTCTCATGCTGTAGCATAATGGAGCCAACACCCTGTACATTACGAAAATCTTGCAAATCCTTGGCGTGGTATCGAGAATTGTCGGGGCCGCTTCGTCAAACAGAAATAGAGTGGTGGGATAGCCAACACAGTCGCATAGACTTGCTTGCTAATCAGATAATTCAGATAGATAGACTGTGGGATAGGAGATCCTACACAGGAGGGCACTGTGGCACTCAATATCACTGCTTGGCCCTCTTCCGAAATTACTCCTGCTCCAATGTGACTGTACGCACAGCCAAGCATTCTGCTGTACCATAGGCAGATCCACGCATCCTCGAAGTCCTAAATAAGCCGCACCAAGGCGAAACGCATTGACCCTTCGCAGTAAAGGTTGTGCTCGAGTCTCGTTTGCTCTGAATATTAGTATATAGCCAAAGCAATAATATGTTAGGTTTGAAAGAGTACAGTAAAAGAAGAGGTCAGTTGCCCTAAGAACGTTCAGGAAATTAGACGAAGAGAGACATTAGTATTTATTTATTTATTTGATTCTTACACCGATTCGTTGAGGAGACGGCGGTAATCTGTTGTGCTGGCGGCAGCGAGCATCTTGTGTCTGTCCGAGAGCAGCGGGCAGTCCATAACCACGTGTTGGGCAGTCTGTCTTCTCCAACCGCACCCGCAGGATGGTGAGGGGATGTCTGGAACGTTCTGTTTGAAGAGGAAGTCTGTAAAGCCTATTTTGTTAGTCCTTAGCTATATAGTAAGAGAGCTTTGTGCCTTAGCTAGGCCTTGATGTATCCTTAATCTCTGCTTGCTGATTTCCCTACTCTGAGCAGGGCTTGGGGCTCGCTGGAGTGCTGCTAGGTAGGCGCTCTATGATGATCGCTAGTTCTTTAACTGAGACGCTCTGACTATTTGGCGATGGGACTAGCGTTGTTGTCGCGCTTCTGCAAGCAGCGTGGCCGCTTCTTGTGGGGGTTTTTCTCATGGCGGGGAGCGTTCTAGGGCTCGGTTTAGCTTTGTCTTTGTTATTTATGCCAGCTATGTTTTCTAGCACCTAGTGTTGCGGTAGTGTAGCAGGGGCGTCCCTGCTATAAGTCAAGCTTCTTAATGATCCGGAGACAGCTTTTGTGAATAAGTTGCCTTATGTCTGTGACTATAAGTCTGCAACGAGAGTCTATCTAGATACTATCAAGTAGCAGCGGAAGGGGCGGGGAGTAAGTCTCCGCTTTGAGGACCGGGATAGGCGTGGCCTTGTAGGCCCTAGCTATCGCGCGTAAGCACCTGTTCTGGATAGGCGAGAGTTTGGCAGTATTTGATTTTGTGTCTTGTAACTCGTTAGGAAGATGCCAAATAGCTGATGCGTAAGTCATTGCTGGTTTGACGACGGCGTTGTAAATGCGTCTCGCGTGTAAGAGGGAAGCGCCCTATGTGGAAGTTGATAGAGCCGTGAGCGTGAGCGTCTGTTGGGTCATCTTTTAGAGCACCTTTTTAATGTGAGGGCCCCATTTTAGTTGAGTGTCAATCTGAAGTCCCAGTACTCTAATGTCCGTTTTCATTGCTATTGGGGTGCCGGCCACGTTAATCGTTTCTTCTATATTAAACTTCCTTGGGTTTCTTATAAGGTGAATCAGCTCGTACTTTTGCGGTGCGAAGACAGCGCTATGACGGCGGGCCCAGTGTAAGCACTCATTATGTAACTGCTTTAGGCATCTGCAGTTCTCCTCTGTGCTTCGGCTAAACGCAAGTATGTTAATGTCGTTGACGAAGCCAAAAGCGCTCGCCTTAGTCCCTTGATGATTAGCGATATCTAATAGATCTGCGTTATAGAAGAGGTACAGAATAGGCGAGACCGGGGAGCCCTAAGGGATCCCTGTACAGACCTCGAATCTCTCAGACGTCTTGTCGCCTATGGAGAGCGTAGAAGCCCTGTTTGACAGGAAGCTCGCTACCCATTTAGTGATCACAGGAGGGATCTCTTACGCTTTCTCAGATTGTGGATTAACCGTCAATGCGACACTGTATTGAAGGCGCCCGCTATATCCATGCTCAGCAAAGAAGCCACCTTGTCTCTCCCTTGGTTCCAGACCGTATGTATCTGTTCAGTGAGGAGCTCTAGCGCTGCCTCGGTTGAGCGGTTGCCCCTTGCTCCCATCTGCGTCTCCGGGAGAGCATTGTATCGCTCAGCTAAGAAGGTGATTCGTCGCGCTATGATAGACTCTAGCGTCTTGCCCATTGTGTTGAGCAAGGCTATCGGTCTATAGGCCTTAGGAGATGAGTAGTCCGGTTTGTTGGGTTTTCTTAGAGCTAGCGTGTGGGCCTCCCGAAAAGCATGGGGGTGGTATCCTAGCGACGTGCAGGCGGAGAATAAGTGGGTGAGCGCGGGTGTGAGCTGGTCAACGCCACCTCCGTGTCTAGAAGCTTGTTAGACTATTGTTGCTATCAATTGGCCACAATAATACCGCTTAACGGTTCAAAGCTTAGATGTGTCGTTTGGAGTGTGCTTTAGTGCAAATATACTAGCGCTGGGCTACGAATACTTATGCCAGGTACCGTAGTAGTAGCTACGGCGGAGTACTAGGACGTGAATGATGATGATCGCGCCTAAGACCCGGTGAAAACAATTGGTGTCGCTCTTGGCACAGCACAGTCTGAGGAAATACATGAGAGTCATAGCATATCGATGGCTCTATACACCGTACCAGCTAATATGTCATTGAAAATGATGCCAAGAGCGTCACCCATTGTTACACCGGGCCTCGCCCCTTGAGGCCCCCTGACAGCCCTGCTGAACTCACGATTGCTTAGGACCAAGTGGCTTAGCGGCGCCTGGCAGAAGACGGCCTGCAGGGGCCGGAGGGTCATAAAATAACCCCTTCATATGTCACACTTGAGAGATCCAATGAGCCACTGACCGTGGGCGCAAACATAACTATGGAAGCTGCCCACTACACTTCCCCTGCATGTGGCACGACAGCATTCATAAATACTGGATAGAATTCGCCACGCGACTTCGTTGCAGTTGGGATTTTCAAGGCCATTGCAAGCTCATCACACTGAGATCTGTTTCCATTTCCCGAGTAAACTAGTATCCTTAACTGCCTGTGATTCCGTATAGTCGTTCGTGTAGGACGATTCGCCTGTGATTCCTAAGGGTAGCCCGTGGCTCCAGCCTTAACGAGGCCCATAGGTCTTAACAAGTTCGTTTGTACTGAAGACCATAGGCCTTAACAAGGGTTGATAAACGCTTGTTTATTCGTCTGTATCGAAGGATTTCCCTCTCCTCGCCAGCGAGTCGCCGTATCTACACGCGCGACGCGTGATCTCAGGAGGGGACAAGCACAGGGGTGTCCTGTCTCTCAAATAGAACGATATCACATCCACTGATGGTAGAGTCAGTTTCGGGTCTGAGTACGAGTCAGATACTTAAGAGTCGGATGGTTTTCGTAAGCCAATTCCCCTGGTTCGATGCGCGCGGGCGACTCGCGTACGCAGCGCACGCAGCGCACGCGTTCACCCACACCGCCATCTGGATTTCGTTTGGTTTCATCGCCGCAGCGACTACTCACACCGGATACCGCGAGAAGGTAGAAATCCATATCCCAGCTGTCTGAATGACTGACAGCTGCTCAGTGCAAGCTCACTGAGGGCGAGACATTAGTATTGAATATAAGATAAAATCATACCAACACGCATGCCCAGAGGCGCCTTTCTCCTAGTATTCGTATAGTAGAAGCTGATGCAATGTGGAAGATGATATGGTGGAATTTTCTAGCCCTCCGGCTCGTCTTGCAAGTAGTCAATCAGGCTAGATTTGGGCCTGTGGTAGAGCCTACGGCATTGCTCCCTCCGCGAAATAGCCTCGCGGAACGCATAGCAGCCTTCATGCAAGCGAGAGAAGAAGGTAAGCAGAATGTGGCGAGATAAAATGGGGCCAAGTTTGCAAGACTTGCATGACAACTAGTCGGGTTTTCTTTTGTTGTTCGAGCAGAGAATTGACAAAGCCGCAGGTGGACCCGGCTCATGCAACGTTAAAGCGGCGCTCATCCTATCCCGAATAGGGGTAAAGGCGATGGGCATTTTTGTTGGCTTGGCGTTCAAGAAGGTTTCATCTGTGGTCGATGGCGCTTCCAGAAATTACACCACCACCATTCATTCTTTGACGAGCTTCCCGGCTCTAACATGTCTTCCACAAAGGTTGCTGAGAGGTCTCAGATAGACCAGGCTGTGAGCATTGTCTCCTGTCTATTAGTAGAAACCCGAATCTTCAATGATCTCTTTGTTCTTTCACGAGTACTGACTAATTGGAGATTCGAGTCCAAATTGGTTTGTAAAGCTTTCTACTCTTCACTGTCACTTCCGTTATTCTGCTCTTTCCTTGTTTGCCAGCTTTCGTTTCATTTTGTGTCTTTAATCGAGCAGGTCTTGCTTATTCCGAATGTCCCTCTCCCTTCATTCCGTCTATCTTTACCACGAAAAATAGCATTACTTGATTGTATCGCACTCTCTTTAAAGAGAACAGCCTTCCATTCTGGAGCCATGAGATTGACGTCTTCTACTTTGGGCTGGTTCCTTCTCGGCTCAAACCTCGTCTCTGCACATGATGCGATCTTGAACCGTGCCGCGAAGATCGTCACGGTCTACGTTCCCGCACCCACCTTCACCCCACCACCGTCCTACACCGCGGAACCGTCACTGATCGACTCGGCACTAAACAGCACAAACGCTTTCCGTTCCCAGCACAATGCCAACCCTCTCACCTGGAACACCTCTCTCGCCAACGCAGCCTCCTCCTGGGCCTCTAAATGCCAGTGGAAACACTCCGGCGGCCCTACCGGCGAAAACCTCGCAATCGGCTACCCAGACATGACCACCGCAATCGACGCATGGGGCAACGAAAGAAGCATGTACGACTTCAGCGGTCCGACCGGGTTTAGCAAAGAGACGGGCCATTTCACCCAGCTGGTCTGGAAGGGCACAACGTCCATGGGATGCGCAGCGATAGACTGCACCGACAGGAATTCGCTCAAAGGCTTCATGGTCGTCTGCGAGTATTGGCCACCCGGGAACGTGGTCGGGCAGGGCAATTCATATTTCCGCACCAATGTGCAGGCGCAGGTTCATTCCGAGGTGCGGCGGTCGTCGGGGTCGACAAACCAGGAAACCACGACGTTGACCAGCACCATGGAGACCAGCACGGCGACAGTTGTTCAGGTCGTCACGAGCGCCGAATATATGGCCACTCGTTCTCAGAGCACCGCGTTAGCATTGGGCGATGAAGCGGCGGCAGATCAGCTTGAAGCAAAGGCGATGGGTCAATGGGCCATAGGAGTTGCGGTTGCTGCGATGATTGTTGCGGGAGCGATTGGATGATCTTGGGGCACTTTGGCGGGCTGGCCTTTGACTTGGATCGAAGTTTCTATGTATATAGTCGACTGCAGCGATGCAGTTGCGTTTGGTACGCCACCGAAGCACAGGGCACCGTGTTCTTGTGCCGGTACGAGCCGGCTCTTGTTCGCTTCCTGTAATTAGATAATCTAGTGGATATACTACCAGATATATCTTCTCATAACCTTCCAATCCATGAACAGGAGAGGGTTCCTTCCCTATCCCTAGATCTTCCCCCTCCTTAATCCATTGGATTAACATACAAAATGAACATTCAACACGCAAAGCGACCCTGTTATTCCCAGGGTCTAGAATCACAGAGCAGGTTAGTGCTATTTGCTTTGCCTTCCGTGTAGTTGAAGGTGAAGGGGGATACTGCACTATAGAAGGAGCAGGTAGACTATTTAGGAGGGAAAAACGAAGGACATCCAAAAAGAGATATTAGAGTATTATTACTAGCAGCTAAACATACATGGGTTACCAGAGATGCCTATAGAAAACCCGTATAAGATGTTACATGTGGATCCACCTCCACTTCCCACCTCGTACATACCACCGATTCAGGTTTGTTCGAGCGCAAAAAATGTGGCAGCTGACTAGTTTAGTGTACATTAGATTTGGAAAGAAAGACCAGGTTGAACGAAATAAAGAGCAGACGAGATCTGTGATGTGTGGTGTGAGAAAGAGGTGCTTTCATCGGATGATTGCCGAGGAAAGCAGGAAGTTTCGTGGGTTCTTGTATAATGGCTTGTAACAGGTGCAAGCTGCAAGCTGTGAAAGCTTGCCCGGTGGTCGATACGCTCCAGACCAGTCTTTGCGAGGCAAGCCGGGCCGTATGCTATGGGCAGGTGGTATGGGAAAGAATAGGTTTGCAGTGTAATGGCTCGCCAGAGCGATGTCAATGTCGGTATTTTGGACATGTTACGTTGGCGAACACGTTACGTTGGCGAACACGTAACAGTAGAGGAGACATGTATTGTTATATTTCAGGAGGAATATGGGAAATTTGATGGCTGATGATAGTGAACAGGTGGAGGATAGGACGGCAGGATAGGCTGGACAGGGTGAAGTTGAACTCTTCGGTGAGTATTTGAGTACGTGCAGCAGCGACTCCCCATCTGGTTGCTCTCCACAGCGCTTGTGCTCCGAGCCTGCTGGGGGTTTAAGTTGAACAAGTGACTCGTCGGTAGCTCCGATGTCCTCTCTCCTATACCACCCCATGCGGTTGGGTAGCTTGAACTAGGAGAGAGGCAGAAGACAGCACTTCTGGCGGAAGCACCTCTGCCTATCTGAGATTGACGTTGAATAATTTGACGGCGGAACCAAACATCTTCGCAATCCTGGGGGCAGCGTAAGAGCCGTCCTGAGCAAGATCCATAGAATCCGAGACCCAAAGCTTCATAGCTATGTCGTCGATCACTGTGTCAGCCGTTTGTCGCATTGGCTCGTCCACCTTTGGCGTTAGGTCGACCTGCCTTCCCGTTCGCAGCATGAGGATCCTTCTCGCAACCTGAACAACCATCTGTGCATCCACCAGCCCTTCACGTCTTCTGGACGCAGCGAGGAGCATCATGGCTTTCCCGCAGACTTGGGGATCCTTGCAACTCGACCCTAACATACTTAGAGGCGCAAGAACCCCCACCTCACATGAGTATGTCCTACGGGAAGGGTCGGTCAAGCGGAGAGACTCTATCAACGAAATGATCTCCCTGCCCCGTTCATTCGGAGTGCTTCCAAATATCGAATAGTCATGTGGAAAGTTGGCGAGAATGAGCATTTGTGCGGTCCGGTGTAGAACTTTGAGCATTGTGGCCGATTCTTGAAAGGTCTGGATCTCAGAGCGCTGACAGCTGTCACTATCTTGCTGAAGCCATAGTGCTTCGAGTGCCGATGACCAGTGCTTGAACTGTGAGACAAGCTGTTTCTTCTCTTGTACCACATGTGCTGGTAATTTCTCTGGCTGTACATGCTTAAACGGGGCATTGATGGTGCAGAATCGCCAGGCCTGATTTCGCAGTTTATCGAGAGCCAACTGTGCTTCGTACAAATTCTGGAATATGTCAGTGGCCACTATGGGCTTGAGCCCGGTCCTTTCGTCGAGGGATGTGAACTCAAGCAATGGAACGCGTCCTTCATCAAACGCAGTGGCTTGCAGATCCAAGCGTGTGAAAAAATGCTCCAGCGGTTGGAGGTCCTCGGGTTCATCTTTGCTCTCCGTTGTATGGGCTTCTGACTTCCTCCTTGCCATTGCATCACGAAGTATTGTAAGTCCATTCCGAAGATGTCCAAGCGCAGAATCGTATTCCCCACGAGTACTCTCGAAGCAGTAGAACAACGCAGAGCAGATCAACGCAACTTTAACGGACGGTCGCTCTCGAGAGGACAAGTAGGTCCGTAGCTGATGTATCGCCTTATTATACTGAAGAAGGCTTTCAACACTGGTAAGCTCATTGCCAAAACCTTGGCCTTCCGGACAGTCGCTTGTCACCAAGTCGAGGTGGATCGAACTTAGTGCAATCAGGGCGTGACGTACAACTGGCTCTTCGTGACTGCATCGCAGCACTGTATTGGACCAGAAATCTGCGCCGCTGCATAGATTTCCTGAGAGGTCCGAGGCCGCTTGTACGCAAAAATAGTGAAGCTTTTGGCGGTCTTTCTGACTGCCCGGAATCTTGAATGGGATAGAGTATGATGTAATTGCTGCTAGAGGCATGGGGCAAGCGACGCGTCTCGTGGAGGGAATTACCATACTTCTGCCACACTGTGGCTGAACATGGCCATAACGTCTCTCTTCAGAGTAGCCATCACAGCTTCGGCCAGAATCAACACATCTGCGACACTCGGGCCGTTCCTCTCCACATTTCACATGTCGAACCCTAAATACAACGTCAATATTATTTATTCGTCTGTACAATAAAAAGAGCTACGACAGCATACTTGCATGTGGAACAACCGGTTCTCGCTCTGGGTACGCTGGCTCTAGTCCTCTTGACCAGAGTCTGGGCGGACATGGCTCGTCACGTCACGTCAAGATTTCTGGAGGTTACATCTGACTTCGTAAGGGAGAGCCTCGGAAAGTGCTTTATGTCAGAGAAATGTGACTGACAGCATCAGCAGTTGAGTTATCTGTGCTGAAGACGTGCTACAGGAATACGCTTAGGCAGGATGCCGAGATCAGAGTTTCCGTAGTACACTGCAGGCTTCAGAGACATTTGCCGTGTATCACTATTCAGCAACGGCGATGTAGAAAGTTAGAGTAGGATCCCTCAAGACTAGGGACCCCAAAGTTGTCACCACATTTCATGCCAAGATCATGGGGGTACTTAAGGATGGTGGTAAGTTTTGGGGGCCTCCGGGCCCGCCCTGCCCACGCTTGAGGCTACCCAGCCGCGCTACTGCGACTCGAGCAAGGAGCGAGAGCCCTGGTGGTGTCTGCCTGGATCGTATCCACCGCCGAGGCCGAGGTCAATATCTCGTGGCTGTGTTTTTGGCTCGTTTGGCTCGTAGGGGTTGGTGGCAAGGCGAAGATGGCGGCTACGACCTGTGTACCCCAGGCTTTAGGCTGACAGCCGAGTACGGAGAATTGCGTTATGGGGCTGAGTTGGATCCGGCAGCTATGCCTAGATAGGATGTCTTGCGATCAGAGGCTGCCTTCTGACAATCACACAGGGGTACCCGAGTAAGACCCGCAGACAACCCAGAAGAATGCTGGCCATAGATCACAACAATCTAAGCGTCGCTGAGTAGCTTGATGCGGTCTGGACGCCTTGCTGCGGTGGGAGTCGGCTCAGTTTGAATGCGTGCATCAAAAATTATATTGCTGCCTTGACATGACTTTGTCACCCAACTGTCATTCTAACCAGTACTTGGGAGTAAGTTAGAGGATGCAAGCCTACTACTAGTAGTAAAGCCCACAGGGACCGCAGATCGCAAGCATAGCGGCCCCTAAAGGCTCTCGCCTCAAAGCTATGGCGGCTTCAAGCGGTCGCTGATCACAGTCTGCATTATGCTTTTTCTACGGATTGGCAGGGTCTCACAATGACACTTCGAGTCGTGCTAAGTTATGCCAAGGTGACACGATTGCAGTGTTTGGTCTCACACGCCCTGCTACTTAATCAGATAGTGTCAAGCCCGTTCTCCTAACAGCAGTTTAGCACATGTCGGATGACGATATCAAAACCGGGTCGAAGTGCTTTTTAAACTAGCAACCATCACTTGCGATCCCAAGCTCGATGAATACATCATACCGACGCTCCGTTTTCGCTGAGCGGACGAAATAGTGGTTTGTGATTCTCGCTCTTCGAAATTGGCCTTCAGTTACAACCACTTCTACAGTCGCCATCCCCATGCCCCCTTAGTTTTCCGGTCGTAGAACGAGGTGAAATATGAAGTGGAGGATCTGTTCTTATCCCTATGCGAACTTGACTCAGTAATAACGTTGCTGTTGAGTTCCATATGGAGATTGCACTCACATGTTCTTCTGCCAGCGCTTAAACTCCTGCTCCTGCTGCTCTTTCCATTCCGGTTTATTCCTTTCTTGCTCGGGCCTTGATATGGACTGACTCTTGAAGCCGAGCTTCTGGAATAGGCTTTTTCTTCCGAGCGTCATCCCTTTTCTCGACGAGGTTACTTGAGTTCAAGGAGCGTTTGATATTGGAGCTGAAGTCGGGTATGGTGGCCAGAGTGCTCGGCTTTAAATCATTTTTTTAAATCAACGTGAGGCTGTGCTCGAAAGAACCGCGGATGCATCTGAAACATCGCTCCTGCGCCCCCTCAACGAGGGTGTGAAGGAAGTACTAGAACTGGCGATAAGCTTTAACTAGCTTAACTTGGCTCTAACGTCTTTTCAGTGGATGTACTTGAGATCCTGGACCCTTTGGAGAGCCATAAAGGATTCCTTGTACATTGCCTAGAAGAGTGCGCGCAGTAAACTAAATGCCAGAGGGAGAGTCCGCCAAGAAATTTTACAGAGAAATGCTTCAAGTTAGATATCATTCCGACAAGCTTGTGAAATACTAATGTTGTCCCACAGCGCACTATCATTGTAGTTGCAGGATGGAGAACTCGCACGATGGCCCTAAAAACAGTCATTGATTCCCATATACTACACTTTCTATGCTCGCTTCATTATGCTTGTTAACCATGACTTCGTATCTTCGTGCGTTGTGAACATGGGTCGGTATGGGCTCTGGAAAGCGGCAACAACATGCCCGAGACGCAAAATGCGTACTCCCTTGCTCAGATTCCGAATGTGGCAACTTCCGTTAACGCCTTGTCCATGTTGAATTCTTTCTGGTTGCTATTAGTATCAACTCGACCTCTTCGCCTTTCCAAATGGACGGGCTTGAACTGATGCCAGCAGCTAAAATGTGAAAGTCAGTAATCAACCACGAGTCTGCTCCTGACAAGGTTTGCTTACTTGGGCGCCTCCAGAACATACCGGTCCATCGCCTCCCGAAAGCGCTTCTTGTATTCCTTAGGGCTCGTCACCGTCGGCCGATTCTTGTTCCCACCAGCAAATCCCCTATCTTTGATCCATGACTCCAGTTTCTTATCCCATGTATAGGTTCGGATACAGTCAATAATGCCAACAACAATCTCCTTGCGATTCTCATCTATTGCGACCATTAGACTGTAGTCCATGACGTTCTGCTTGGCCAAGAATAAGGTATCGTTATAAACCGACGTCTTGAGTAGCCTTTTCGAATGCTCTCTGGCAAACAATGGCGACTCGTAAATGAATTCGACCATGTTTTCATCAAGGAGGACCTCGTTACGCTCTCCAGTGCTCTGGATGCGACGATTCCGCATAGAGCCCTTCAAATCGAAGATGCGCGTCGGGACTCTATCATAAAAGAGATTTTCCATGATAAGCAAGAACCAATTGCATTCTACCCCAGTCACAGGGTTCTTGATGATGACCTGGTAGAAGCCAAGCATCTTCGCGATGACAGATGGTAGCTCATGAAAGAACGCCTCGGACATGATTTGGAAATAGTTTGGCGCAAATTTGAGGAACGCTTGGGTCTCGATTGGTGACAAAGACTTGAGCACAAATCGATCGTCGAGTGTCTTGAGGAACAATGACTTCGTCTTGCCCCCTTTCGAGTCCCACTTCATGCAGCGAGACAGTGATTCGACGATACGATCAGAGACGCCGCACTTTCTTCGAACAGCATCAAATTGCTCTGCATAGAAGATCTTGCATAACATCTTGGCCGGCCCTTCCTGAAATTGATATCTTAGGTGCGTTCCGGTCTTTCGCAGCAGGGAATGCATGACATCAGCTTGCCCTTCTTCGGTCCTCACACCACCAGGTCCATCTAGCTCCGTCAATCCATCACGGTGCTCCTGAATGTCGCCCAGCTTCGATCTATAGTCGTCGGAATCAAGTGCAAAGGCGATGACCGAGCTTGGTTCATCTTCTCGTATAATAATGTCGCAATCGGCAAAAACATGATCTGCTGGGGTCAGGGGATAATCTAGTGGCGTCCATCCACTCGAAGACCGTTCCGCCCAGAAATTCGTCAACATCTTCATCAGAGATGTCCGTTCGTGCTTTGGAAGTTCCTTTAAATCAAGATCTTCCGGCGAAAGCTTGGCGAGGTCTTCTGGAGACTCAGGAATTTGAACATGATTAAGTGCGGGATCTGTATCACTATTCTCCTCCTCACCATCCGACGGGGCATGGCTGGCATCATGCATCTCTGTCTCGGTTTCAATGGTCTCGGTGGCAGTGTCCTCGCCGTGAGTCGTGGAGTCTTCAGACTTGGCGGATGGCACAGTCTCTGCGAGCCCGGACGTGCTGCCAGACATCTCACCCTGTTCACTCGTCTGCCGATCATTGGACATCAGGCTCTCCTCGCTTGCGTCTTTGCTTTCCACAGCGTCGTCCACGGATTTATAGACCTCCACAATCGGCCTGGAGGATGCCAGCGGATAGATGCGAGAATTCCTATTACGTGCGGCACGTTGCCTTCGCTCACGAATTCGTTCTTTCTCGAACTCTCGGCTCAATTGTTCGAAGTGCTTAGCAAGATTTGACACCCGCGAATCTTTCCGCAGAGCAACTGATCGTGGGATCAACGATTGACCCTTTCCAAGCTTGCTGCCTTTGAGTTGGCTGAGTCCAAATCGTTCAGGTACTTTCTTGTCCGCAGCCTTGACCATTGGCTCGTTTCCAACAAGCGACATGTCTTCCTTGTTGATGAGTTTAGAGCCAAAGCCTTGTGTGGCTTGTATTGCCAAGAGAGTGCCACTTTCTACACGACTGTTCTCAGCAGCAGCATTGAGGATCGCGGCAGGCTGTGTCTGTGCACGCAAAAGAGGAGGAACACTTGGTCTGCTAGCCCCTTCTTTCTTAGCTAAAGTATCAGTAGCCCTAGGTATGCTGGAGGGAGCATTGAGAATTGGATTGGCTGGGGCACCTAAAGGCTTGTCATTGTATTCACTGCTGCTACCTCCGCAAGAATGCGTACCACCAAAAGGTGTAGACACTTGGTTACTAGCTTTTGCACCTTCTTGCAAATGCTTGCTGCCTGTGTCACCCTGAGATGGGTCAAGCTCCGTAGGAACATGGTGATCAGGCATGACGGATGAGATTGCCAAATCCAGATGACGAACGTTCTCGTGATTTGTCTGATCCACGGCGCTTTGTGCTTCTTGAGGGCCCCGCTTCTCATTCATAGATAGAGAGCCCTGGCTTGACTCTAGACTTTCTGGCACTGCACCTGAATGCTCCTCCACGACTGATTGAAGCACACTCTGCGTCTTTTCCGGCGATAGGTGGGTCATCTTTCGTGGCCTCAAAGGTGGATGTACGTCCTCTGCATCATCTCCCTTCTCCTCCAATGATGTCTCCGATCGGGGTGTGGCAATTCCCTCGTCCGTTGATGTTAATGAGGTCACCGACACGTCTCTATCTAAGAAAATCTTCTTTAGCTGCAAAGTGGCAAGCCTGCGAATATCTTTTTCGGACGGAAAGAAGTCCCTTTCAAATTCGGCGAATGTATTGTCCCATTCAGCTACCTTCTCTTGCATGGATCGAATTGACTGATTGAGTGGTATCGTTTCCCAGTGTCGAGAATTTGAATAGTTGTCTTGCAACTGCTTGACCAATGCCAAATGCTCCTCGTTAGCGCGCTTAGTCAACCTCTCAATTTCTTGCTTGCATGCTTCTGCCTTCTCTGGCAACACTGCCTGTAAGTTGATGCCCTTAAGTCGTGATTTGACTGACACCATGAACCTATTCAGTCGACGCTCTGATTTGACATAAACCTCGTTTCGAAATGTTAGATCATTGTCAACTTTCCAAGTGATACGCATTCTGGGTACAACGACCTCCAGAAGGCTAATCGCATCGTAGTGAATACGGAGGGCAAAGTCCTTGTAGCCAAAGTAACGAAGGTGATCACGGTGGAGGTCATGAGGACAAAGACCAGCTCTTGCGTGAAGATCCGCACTCAAGAATGAGAGTTCCAAGTATTTGCCGAAAGAGTACTTCCAAGAATTAGCTGACATTGGGATTGTAGGCGTTTCATTTCCACAAATCTTGCACTGACTCCACATCAAGATGATGTCTTGCATGCCACGCATCTTCGCCGGAAAAGGCTGCACAAACACACTCACTTGAGCCTCGCCATGGACATACTGCCTGTGGTGGTCGTACATCTTCCTATCGCATGCACTGGACTGACAAACGTCGTTTGCACGGTAGCAGAGGTCCTCAACGTATTGGCCAAGGGTACAATCCGGCTCAAACTGCTCGTCGCTTTCATGTTCGTTGTAAAAGCCAAAAGCCAAAAGGTCAGGACCAGAGCAAGGTACCGATGTAGCCGTAGACACCTGACTGAACAGAACGACGATGTTTTGGTGAGCATATGGATCGAAAAGATTTCTGTTGCCTGAAAGATATGTTTCCCACTGACGCTTCTGCGTCTCATAGTTATGCAAAGCCTTGTCGTACTCCGTATCATGTACCACATGTAAAATCTCTCTGACTTTGGCCCCGGCCCCGATCAATGAAGTATGGACCATTTCCGGACGGATCAGAGTAAACCTTTGGGCTTTAGCCTTTTCTTCAGCTGATTGCTCGATCGAAAGATCTTGATCACGCAGGCGCTTCAAGTAGGCGACCCTTCGCTCGAGTTCACGAGCTCGCATCAACAAATACGGCTGCATAAATTTGACAAATGGCGATGCGGAAAGTATTTTCGTTTGATGTTTCTCAACCAAATCCTCGTAAAAGGTTGGAACAGGAATGTCATCTGGGATCTCAGCAGTTTCAGCGCTACCCGTTGGATTGGAATTAGAGATAGAAGTCACAGATTGCTGGTCTTTCCCCGGTGGCTTCTCATCATGAGGCGCGGTGTGCGCGTGCAGACGCTCGTTAACAGCATTGAGAGTGCTCATGGGCTTGTGTGCATTGTCATTGCTTCCCAGATATTTGCGTGGGGAAATCGTTCCATTCGCAGACACTGAAGGTATAAGAGCAAATTCATCACGCATAAGAGAGGTCTCAAGCTTCAAGTTGTAAACCACATATACCATAAACTCGGTAATACGTTTGATCTTGGACAGAATATTGCTTTCAGTACCCCGAAGGATGATGGTGCACCCGAGTTGCGGTGGGCACCCAGAGAGATGCATGTATGTCTTTCGTTTTCCGTTAAAGACGTAGGTTTTGACGTCAAAACTTTCGCAAACTCCAGTCTGACCAGGCTTCATAGCCAATTTGTCCATTGAATGAATGATTCGCGTCTGCGTGCATCGGGAGACTGCTTCCAGAACTGTGGGCTTGACGTTAAAGGCCGTCGCTATATTAGCCTTTTCAAGCAGCTCTAGAGCCATTCCTGAAACGTGGCGTTCCACGAGCAGCAATTGGGGTTTCTGAGCAGCAATGCGACCAACAAGGTTTTCCAGATATTCGCGCTCTTGACGTATGACAGGTTCCAGGCTCATAAAATGTTGCTCGTGACGGGCGTATTCCAAAGCGAAAGTGATAATCAGAATTCTCGGTTGCTGAATGCTTCTTGGCATGCTCTTGAGCGCTAAGTTCTTCGTAAAGACGAGTCCAGATATATAGGACGTGTCCCCTGGCCTACCACCGGGTATTTTCTTGATTTTGACGTAATGTCTGATATCAATGTCGTCTCCACGTTGCACGTCCGGGTCGACGGTGTCTGTGGCTTTAAGAAGTATAGGTACTAGGGCAGTCTCCCAACTGGAAGGACGGGGCACATTTGCATCATTCAAGAGTTGTTGGAGGAGTCTGCGGACGTGCTGTAAACTGGCCTGATTCAGCTCGACCGGTGGAGCCCCTGCGCCTCGCATAGAGGCACTTCGAGTCATCCGCGAGCCGCTCGGCAAACGCGAACCGGCCAGGTCATAAGTCGTGTCTTCCTTGTGCAAATTGGGTGAAAGTCGCACATGAACACTGCTTGCTGTGCTCAGATTGCGTTTTCGAATAGGCCGAGAGAGGTTTCCGCGTGAACTTATGATACTAGCATCATCTCCCCCAGCAGAGTTCAAAAGGCTAGCCACACTTCTTTCCGCCAAACGTGATCGGCCTTTTCTGACCGCGGCAAGGAGTCCTCCAAATGAAGCCCTCTCACCTTCAGGCACACTTCTTGACAGCTTGCCCTCGCTAACTTCCAAGATGTTTGGTTGGTCATCTTCGCTGGAAGCGTCATCGGACAAATATTGCGCCAGGTCTGGGTCTATAATGTTATCATGGTGGAAAGCTGATTGCTGCGCATCCTTGGGAAGATCATCCGCCAACCTCCGTTGGAATGGAGCACGATCTTCGTGATATGCCTTAAAATTGCGAATATGTTGATGTCTTGAATAGTGTCTTTTGTGACCATGGCCAATCGTGTGAGAGGTCTTTAGTGATCTTGATGAGCTAGGCCGAGCCAGCGGCCTGTCGTCCGCGTCGAACTCAAGAATAGCTGATCTTCGGTTGCGGCTGTCAACTGCTCTACGAACAGGAAAGTTCATGGTCGGTGTCTTCCTGACTTGTTCTAGGGATTGAGAGATAATTGATGCAGCATCATCATCGACAAGCGGTGTCCCATTCAGCTCTTTTTGAGCTATTGGCGTTTGTGGACGTATTGCTGTGGGACTCGATCGAGAGAAATCCTCCATAGAATAGTCGGAAGAATCATGTTCATGAGCATTGATAATTGCTTCACAGGGCTTGCACACGCGGACAGAGCTATTTGAGCCAAACTGAGACCCTCCGATAAGGATAGTGCATTTGTTATCAAATATTTGCCCACAAGTACGGCAGTGATGTTTTCTGCGAAATGTGGAAAATGGTTCTCCGCAGTGGAAGCAATCTTTGGCGTTTTCGTCCCGCATCCAAAACTCTCTGCTAAGAAGCTTACTTCTAAGCTTGTTGACGACAATCTTGGGAGCCTGTCGCACACCTTGGTCGGCGTCTACAGCACCATCGAGGGCCTCTACCTGGGTTCTATTCTTGGAGTCCGCTCGACTTGTTTCGGTTGAGGTCGAGTTGGAAGATGATATTCGTGCAAGGTTAAATCCAGGCAGCTTCGAAGTGCTGACCCTAGGAAGCAATTTCTCTGCAGGTCTTACCGAAGGACTGGCGGGAGACTGAGGTGATTTCACATCATGCTTTGAGTCGGGAGATTTTGTCAAATCTTGGAGTGCATCACCCTCAAGTAGCCTAAGAGCATCTGCTCTTGTTTGCGAGGACGTTTGACCACGAGAAGCAATACCGGAGACTTTCTTAGTACCGTTCCTGGACTGTTCGACAGCATCATCAGCAGAGGATATAGACAGACTGCCTGCTGCTCCTATCGCTGTCTGAGATCTCAATGACTTTTGGGCTGTCATAGAACTCACCAAACTCGTCGCTTTCTCCTGATCATGAGATATAAGCGAGAGATCGTGCTGGTATTGCATTGGAGAGCTAGGAGCAAGCTTGGACGAGGTGAGCTGATGTTGCGAAAAGCTTTGTGTTCTAGCGCTTTTCGTGTGATTTGAAGAAGCATCATTGTGCTGGCTATGCTGCATTGTAATCTGCAGATCCCCATCAAAATCATAAGAATTGCTTGAGGCGCTGCCTTGGTGCTCAACTGGTTGGATCTGCGAGACAGGTTCTCGAACCGCGTTCAGTTTGATTTCGGCCACGGTGGGATCGACCGCCAACGAAACGACATCCCTTGACATCTGCGCCGCTGGAGACCTCAAGATGGGGGTCTCAGGCCCTGAAGCCTTTGACATCACACTTCCGGCCTTGGAAGACCCTTTTGATAGTGTGGGCACGCCATCTTTCTGGGCGGCTTCAAAAGAGGGAACAACAGGTGAGTGCAGCCTAGACTGCTGACGAGAGATGGATGGGAGATTCTCATGGCCAGGTTCGACTACATGCAACGCTTGAGGTATTCGAGGACTTTGAGAGACAGGCTTGGTTGATGGTGAGGAGGTACCCGAAATAACGTTTCTACTGGGAAGACCTTCCCCATACGGTATCGATTCATCAGAGATCCTATTGGAAGAGGATATAAAGTCTTTCGCGCCCTCTACCGATGCCTTGAACTTGCTGTACAGACCACTCAAGCTTCCTTGCAACTCTTCCGCAATCCCTGGCTTCTCGGTTGCAAGCGAGGCATCTGGTGGAGAAGTATACTCGTTGAATACGGTCAAGGAGGTAGACTGATATGCAGCGTTATGTATGTTATCTAGGGCTTCGTTCAATGTTTCGCGATCTATCGGTTCTGAGTCTGAGGCGCGTGAGCCCCTGCGCGGAGGGCGGCCGAGGGGCAGGAAAATGGTGGAAGCTGTTGGGCTCGGCGAGCCGTGGGATATTTCTGGATTCATGGCGTCGTGGGAAAGGCTCTCTTGAAACAACTGCGGAGTGAGAAAAGATGTGGTCCTTCTCCATGACGGATTGTGTAAAAGTTTGCCATGGAACCTCTCCTCAATAGAGCACTCTCTGAGGAAGTAGTTATGTTGATGGAGTTTCGCCCAGTTGCACAGGCTCCATTCCGCAGACTCACTATCTTGATAGGCTTCCTCTTTCCAGACACCGGGACGAAACAAGCTGTGTGGTGGAATGGGTCCTATTGGTGTCTCTAGCAATAATGATCACCACCAGTTGGGAAGCGGCTACGACATCCAGTGATACATAGTGAACTACTAAAACTTTCAACTTAATCATTAGCCTCGGGAGACGCTCCGGGAGGCCAAGCCTTGTAGGTCGTGGCGGTACAGTCACGCCCAAAAGTATCCGACCATGACAAAATTTTCACACCAAAATCCACCAAACCCCACCAAAAAGACAACTTTTTAAAAAACATGTAGCAAATTTTGCTAGGCGGCAACTATATATGAAAATTTTTAAAGTAATAGAAAATTGATAAGATATTTTTTTACTAATAGAAAATTTCTGCTTAAAATAATTAGATATCCGTGAGGTAAAGTTCAAAGAGAAATCATTTAAAAAGATTTAAAATTTTGTATGAGGTCCCATACAAAATTTCATAAAATTTTTGATTTTTTCAAGAATTTTGCGTTTGAACTTCAGCTCACGGTTATCTAATTATTTTAAGCAGAAATCTTCTGTTAGAACAATAAAATTTTATCAATTTTCTAGTATTCTACAAATTTTCAAATATAGTTGCCGCCTAGCAAAAGCTTTTAAAGATATTTTAAAAGTTCCACTTTTTGGTGTGGTCCCACACAAATTTTGATGTCGGTCGGATACTTTTGATCTAGTACTGTACAAAGGCGTCATACCCGACGACGCGTCGGGAGAACTACGAATTGACGACCCAAAAGTCGCGTTCAGCACCGCCGCGGATCAGCCCTTCAAACATGGGATTGGACATGATGTCTCACAACTCTAGGTAATGAAGATGCAGAAATGCATCGCTTGACTGAATGGGTCGAACCTTTGCTAGCCGAAGGACTCGGTCAATACATCTCTTCAAAGAATGCTACTTCCTTGACACAAGATTCGAAGCAACATTGCAGTATTGTTGAGGAGCTCAGCAACCTTTGCGTTCGCCCTTTAACAGATCAATACCTCTTCTTGGTGGACGTATGTCATCTACATGTCCCATGGTTTCAGTCCGCGTGTTGCTGATCTGTCTAGTTTCGCTCATCTGAAGGGGATGTTGAAGCAATTCTTACAGATTCTGCCTCGACGATTGAAGCTGTATTTCCTAGATACACTGTGAAGCCGTGGCAGACGAGATCTCGAAGTCTGCTTACGAGCTTCCCCGCAGGCACTTTGTTTCAAATATCGAAGGCGGAATTGCGCGTCTCCGATTGTTTCGTTCCTCCGAGAATTGAATTGTGGGTGCACTCTTTCGAGATCGTGGGAGACTTGGGGAATGAAATACCGTCCATTACAAAAGAAATAGGGGCATCCTCGGATCTAGGGCGTCTATTGGAATCATATGCTGAACTACACAACCACAAGAACACTCAGGAAGACACCATAGTCATGAGCTCTCCATTACGCTCTCAAGAGAGCAGCTGTTCCTCGAAAGTGAATTGTGAAGGTATTGATGACACGGACGTCAGCGAGATGAAAGACATGTCGCAACCGTTGTATACGCAAATCTCTCTGCCGCTAGCAACCAAGCACAAGCACCATCCGTTGACCCCAACGCACCCACGCGGTTGTTCAGAGATCATGCCAAATGAGATGATGAGCATCCGGGACACGTCGCCATTGCTGGTGGCAAGTAAGAGCGTGCAGGCGTCTATTGCTCATGTGGAGGACCCAGTGAACCGTGTCAAACCGATGCTGAATCAACTGAGTGCCAAGGTGCCGAGTTACAACAGCATTCAAGGGCAGCAAGCCTCAAGCCGGAGCTGTGCAAATCCTGTCAAGGAAGCCCTTGGTGACGCACCTTCGGTGTCTAAGAATCGTGACCATTGGCCAGGCGGAAGAACCCCATTGACAAATGGGAGATATCTTCCCCGTTATATCACAAAGCTCTCTAAGGAGCAACAACAGGTATTAGAAACGGCCAATGCGTGGCAGCCCTCGAAAGGACACCGACAAATCCGTGGATCACTCCCGAACCCCATACTCAAGATTTTCACAGAGCTTGCGGACGAGGCATCTGATGAATCTTCTACTCAACGCAGCATGAAGGATCAAGTCGCTATGATTGCAGAAGAGCGAGCTGAAGGCATCCAGCTTGACAATGCAAGAGACAGCGACCGGGACTCTTTAGATCGCGAATCGAACGGCTCGAGCTCTCCTATATCAATTTGTCCGTCATGGCCTCCTACACCACAAAGTCCAGCTATACTAGAGCCTGCTTTTCCAGAAAACAGCAGTCCACTCCAAGCACCATACAGACGGTTTACCCCGTCTGTGCCGCGATGTGGGAGCCCGAATGGGAGCTTGGGCAGTGTCACTCAGGGGTGTCAGATTGTCGAAAATAAATCATTGGTAAACTCCCAAGAAGGAAAGAGCATTGTAGACGCGACGGAATTTTCAAGAGATGACGAAAGTGCTGGGGTTGCACAAAAGCTATCACAGTCTTCCCAGGGGACGATCGATTCCGCAAAGTCTAAAAGGAAGAGAGAGTGTGACAGCCCAAGGGTATCACCGGAGCATGGTTTGCCTCAAGATGGAGATCAAGAACAATTCCAAACCATTGAGCCTCTCAGGCCCCTGCTGGTGCACTCGAATGCAGATGAGTTTTCTCAGCGAGACCCTATACTGACGGCTCCGCACACCCAACATAAACTAAATCATCAAACAGCCGGCGGCAAGGCCCTCATCCATGTGCAAAGGACACCTTTCGTTCCTCAAACTTCCAGTTTGATTGGGGGTCCAGATGTTTGCGAGCATCAAGCCATCTTCCCATACAAGAATGCAGATGAACCAGTGGCCAATGACCAAGAACCCCGATCGTCCACGTCTGTTGTGGCAGGCACTTGCATGTATCCGCAAGCAGAATCGCTCAAGCAGTCTGAAGTAGGAAGTAGGATGTCTCTTCATGGCGGTTATGAGTACTCTAAGGATGAGCAAATGGAGGTGGAAGTCGTACACGACATCATCCCCGCCTTAGAAACTGCTGATTCCTTAAATGCTACGTTTGACGCTCCTTCATCAAGCCCAAACCCATCAATATCCCCGCCAGAAGAACGTCATTCTGACTCTCGACTTGGTAAGAGAAAGTACTGTAACGATGATTATGGTACACCAGTGGCCGAACTAGCCGGGTCTGCAGATGGTCGCAGGGCTCACTTGAGTCCGGTACTCTCGAAAAGACTACGGAGAACGAGCGAATTTCCATCACTTGAGGCATTAGAAGACTTGAGTACTGTACGAGCGCCATCGGAAATAGCTCGAGAATCGCGCCGCGAATTTTTCCGGAATCAGCAAAAAGTGGTAACCGGACGAATGCCCATACTGGATGAGACCGACAAGCAGACGCCGTCCCATGATGCATATGCAAAGAGCCGTGAAGTATCTCGCTCCATGCAGCAACGTCACCCTACCCCAAGCACTGGTCTAACGTCCCGTAAAGATATGAGACCAGAGAGTGGCGTAGATACAATATTTCATCTATCTTTGGAAGAGGAAAGAATGTACAAGACTTACAAAGCAACATATCCTAAGTATCAAGGCACCGCTTTACACTTTCACAAAGCCTGCAAGCAGATCAAAGCACTTCAGAAAGAGGGGAGAGCTCCGCATCCATCATTGTGGGATGATTTCATCTTTCGCCGGCATCATGACTATCGAGACTATCTCATGTCGGTCACCGAAGCTTGTGAGGATGCACTACCATACCTACAGTATTACACTGAGCACGTTGAGAAACCGTCGTATATGCAACTTGTCGTCAAGGCATCCTACATACTGTCACTTGGAACTGACTCCGCTCTCGGGTCAAGCGTAAAGAGCCCTTCCCTGGTAGCGCAGAACCATGGCAACGCCGCGAACAATCTTGAAGATTCCATAGCTGTGGGTAGCTCCGCAAGCAACGTTGAGCCTGCGCAGCACATAAACTCACCAACTGTGGCTTGTGATGATGGTAAGAAACAGGACGTGGGCTACGAGCTCAATTCATACAATCGGGACGAGACAGAGCCGACCCAAGAATCTTGTGTAAAGCAATGGGTTGAGGAGCTTTCGATGGACAAGATGAGTAGGATGGAGTCGCCCGAGCTCGGTTCTCCTGTCGTAGCGACCAGGAAGGAAAGCAACCCACAGCGGGTCTTAGATGACGCAGCCGAGGTGCCGGTATCTTCATCGCTTGAGCATCAACCAGCAGTCCTTGAACATAAAGAAGAGGAGTTGGCCTGGTGCGATGACCCTAACACGCCATTCAGGACCTTTGCTAGGACCTATGCTACTCTGGCGAGCGAGAGAAAACAGCTCAAAGGGTCTGTTGAAATAGGTGCGAAAGGTTGCTTGGAGCCTAAGCTGCAAAACTTGATTGACATCTTCACCCTTTATAAGAAGTGAGATCCGGAGCAAGACATTATTTTAAGACACAACCTCATGCACGACTTCCTCCTTGTATATGTATTCACCCGAGAAAGCGTGTCACCTCGTTCAAACGAGCCGATATATGACCTCAATCGTTTCTGCGTGGATGCCGTAGACTGAAAACGTGGCACATCATTCTTAACAACAGGCGAGCGCTCTGTTCCCTCGCTTAAGAGCAAGCAATACCTCTGCTTAGCATACAACGATGAGACGGCCACAAAGGGGGCTTCGATGAAGTTGAGATCTGCATTTCCAACGCTCATGCAAATAAGCGAAGCAACCCATCTGGCAGTTTAGAAGCAGCTACCAAGACCCGGTGTGTTTGGGCAAAGAGGAAGGGGCTATATTTGCTTCTTGCAGAGCCGCACGCCTACATCACACCTCTCACCATCAGTAGGGAACGTTTGTCAAGGCACCAGGACGGTCGAAGTACGGTACGGTGTTGATCGCACGATGGACAACAATGCCCAAGCACGGGCGGGTGGTCTATGCGAGGCGCCAGTGGCGGCGGCGTTGCCAGCTTTCTCACCAATTGTAATACTATGGGGGGACCATGAATTATTGTTAGTTCAGCGCTAGTATCTTTACTCCAAAACGTTCTTTGTACGAAACAGCTAAGCCCATATCAGACTAAAAGTAAAATTTTAGCTCATTTGAATGGTCATACTTCAATCAAGCTTTGCAATAACAAATCACAGCACCGCAACGGAGTAAGAAGAACTAGCCGCTACTAGCACCAGACTAACAATAATTATGCCCCCCCCGTAGTATGTTTAACTGGCCCAAGACTTTCAGTGTATTCAAGCCAATCACGTCGCTCAAGGTGAATGTTCGACACACAGATATCAACATTGGATAAATTATTATCATATAGCATCCCAGCAGGCGCCTTTTGTTCGGGCCACCTCGGCTACACGCAAAGATATGACCCAGCGCAGGATATCACAAGTAATGAGATTCGCGCCGCAGGATTGGGCATGGTGGTCCTCTCTCCTCTCGTCCATATCGCCTTGGGAGAAAGCTGCCCTCGCAAGAGAGGCATTTAAAGATGGCGTCCGCTGTCTTATTTAGAGGACGCCCACGGTTTCCGTCATTGCCGTAGTTGGTAACCAGATTTCTCCTGCATCAAAATCCATCGAGGATCTGAAGGCAGAGTGTTGCTATTCGTGGGCGCTTGAGGTCATACCCTCTGTATGGACTCGTTGAATTGATGGTGAAACAAGTAGCCGCCAGCAATGTCCGCAACGGTCGTTAGGCTTCCGTCTATGGGTCGATCATCGCTGTTTTCCGTAGCAAGGATCTAATCAGCCTGAGCCTGCCTGGTCTATCCTGGGAAGCATTGAGCAAATGAGATTGCTTCTCGAGCCGCCTGCGGCACTTCAGCCAATCGGAGCTTGATTCTCGCAGCGTGAATCTAAATACCATCTTTTCTGCATGACATGAACGCGGCCACACTCGTTCTATATTTGCCTCAAGGACATGATTATTGCAGATTGAACTAAGTAGTGAGCGTTGAAAAGCGAAGAGTATGTGGGGTCTCCACCATAGGTCTGCGTCATTGTTTATGCTGGTCAATATGAGGTCTGCTGTCTATGCGCTGTGCCCAACGATCACTGGCTGGGGGCCAACCAACGTGCAGGAGAAAAGGCTGTTTGTTCCCCACTTGTGCGTTTGCACATCCGCGGTCAGGTCAGTGCTGAACCTTCTTCCAGCGGCTGACAGCCTTGCTTATCTGTGCAGCTCCCGTGCTTCTCTTTCTGCCTGCATGGTCACTGAAAGCCTTGCTTCGCCTTCTGTCCCTCTCCCTCGCCTTCGAAGAGACACATTACTGACCAGTTCAACGCGTTCACTTTGTGTTTCACATGGTCTCTGTCTTTGAAAGCTTGAAAGGCTGGCTCGACCTGGGGTTTAAGGTGGTCTAATCTGTTTGACCGTCAAAGCGTTGTGCTCTTTCACCTTAGCACCCACCATCTACGCTTCTCCTCAAGTTATAGCCCCCTAACTATAGGAAACAGTCGCCATGGCCGGAATCTTAGATCGCTGTGTGCCTTCACGACGGCTGGAAAGGAGACGTCAACGGGCTCTACACGAGAACCTGGACGCTCGTTTCGGAGATACGCACATCACAGCTCCTACAGAAGGCGCATGGAACCAGATTGGCAGCGATGCAGGCAAAGAATATCAACCACGCCCTGTCATCAGTGGTGGATGGAGTCCTGGGATGCCGTCATGTGAACCACCAACTGTATCGAGGTTGTCAGTGGAGAATGCTATTGAAGATGGTTCTCACGATAAGGAATCTCAAAGGCATAACTTTACTATCACTATTCCATTTCCCTGGCCTTCCCGAAAATCACATACTCGGGCATTATCACTCGCAAATAAGGCGGAAATCAACTCGAGCAAAAATGAGGAGCAAGGAGAGCTTAGTCCACGATCATTGACGTCCTCGCCCGAACCTACCCCAAGATCCTTCATCTCATCACCAGACCCAAACACCAAATCATTTGTCTCATCACCAAATACTACTTTACCGTCACAAGCCACCTCTCCTGTGGTTATCTACAAGCCAGTGTCTGAAGAGTACAAGCAGCAGCTCGCCGAAATGGCTGGTGGTATTACTCGATTTGCATCGTTTTCTTCCCCACCACCAGATCGACTCCAGAATACCTCACCAATCAACGTCACCTATAAGCCGGCCTCAGAAGACTTTGTCAAGGAGATGGCAGAGGCGGGTATGGGGCTCAGTCCTATGATACCACAGAGAGAGACCTTTTCACATCCTCATGCCTCGTCGAAGTCTACTCAGATAGGCCTACCTCTAGATCCGAGACCGACACTAGTATACTCGCCAGAGCCACGGGATGCGACAACGGGGATGCCAGAAAACCCAGAAACAACATCTAGGATTCGCTCACCGGATCTATCACTGGGCCTGCCTGCCGAGCCACGAGTCGGCACTTCACGTTCCGCATCTCGAGGTCCTACAGCCGACCGAATCGGCACGACTCGCTCAGTCTCGCGAGGGCCGGCACCTGATCGAGCAGGAACCACACGATCTTCTTCCCGCGGTCCCGCATTCGAGAGGAAAGGCAGCGTGCACTATTCGTCAAGACCGAGTCTAGATCACCATGCAAACAGGCGTTCAGCTTCTCGAGGCCCCCTTCATGAACGCACGGGAAATGCATTACAGAACCGCTCTGCTTCATGCGTTCCAACCTCTACACGAACGCCATACCGTGAGTCTGTCTCCTCGGATTCTAGCACGGGAAGCGGTATCACTCCCTCTTCAAGCCCAACGCTCAACGATCCCTCCGTAATCAACACCACCACCAACACCAAGCGTCTCAGCAAAGCTGAGAGGAGTCACCAAGGTAGTGTTGGCAGTGCAACCGGCTACTACTCAGCAGTCGCCAAGGAATACAGGAGGATAGCCAGCGATGTGGAGGACATGGAGTACGAGAAACGCAGGCAGCAGGAGATTGAGGACGACAGGAGGAGGAAGAGGAAAGAGAAGGCTTTTCAGGGTCCACAGGAGATGGTCCCGGATGCGGATGAGCTTTGGTGATCCATGTTGAAGGGGCTACCTTGGCCCCTCTGGGAAAGAAGTTGGAAAGATGGACACCAGTAACCTGTCTCCTGCTGCATGTTTGGCGTGGCGTTAGTGGTGCATTGAACAGTTGTATCAGTTCTCGGTCTCAATAACGCTATTTCACGACTGGGTAGGCCTCGATAGATAAGACACCTCCAGCCGTACAGTGGCCAACAGGCTCGCGGAATTACCCCAGCCCGGTCTAAATACGTAGTAAAATACGTAGTAAAATACGTAGTAAAATACGTAGTAAAATACTGCAGCACTGCTGACCAGATCAATTTCTCACCTGGTAAACCCAACTATGTTAGAGTTCGAGATGTGCGGAAGTGTATTTCCGAAAATGGTGGAACTCTCATGAAACGTGTTTCTCAATCATGATGTGCTGATCACGCTTGGGCTCGTTCGAGGGGGTATAGATGCGGAACCGAGATAAAGCTTCGGGCCGCGATCTGTATCGTTTCAGGCCGCCCAGACGATGAACTGTAGTTAGTTGGTTGGTTGACTGCCACGGTTTGTGTCTGAGATAGAGTTCACCTTACTAGGATGGGCCTTACGAGCTCTTGGTGATCTCAGTTGGCTGCCAGGGTGTCCCATTTTGTCTCCACCAGCCGGACTGGAAGCTCTTCGAACCACGGGCAATTGAGTTCAAGCCCAACTCCTTCAAACTCTCGTGCAGCAGGAGATGTTATCGCAGTCAATGCCACCGTGCTCGGATCTGCAGTTGTCCTTCATAGCTGGCAGTATATCTATTGCTGCACAACCACCTGTTTCTGTCTGTTGAACTCAACTATCTCCAGGTCTTTACCACCCTTCCATTTGACGTTGCGCTGCCCCTTCGATCCAATGGATATGCCACCATTTAACCAGACTAGTAATAACAACGACATCAACGACGGACAGGCTGCTCGAGGACGTCAAGGACCAGGACCAGGACCAGGACGCACGCGCCCATCACCAGCCTCTTCCTCTCCGGCCTCGAGGTCTTCACCCTCAGGGTCGCCATCACCGCGAGCCCAATATTCTTCTGCATCATCAAGGAGCTCTCCGCCATTACGAAGGTCTCCTCCCCGGCAAGCAGCAGGACCAGCAGCGCAGCCACGAGCACCTTCCTCTCTACCTGCGCAGCCAACAGCAGGCGCAGTAGCGGCCCGCCAGCTGCAGGTCTGTAGAAATTCAGGCCACTTGTTACTCACACGGGAACAATGCAGAGACCCCCATTGCGTCTGTAAGAGGGGATGTCGAGATCCCGAATGCACGAGATGCACAGAGCTTGCAATAACGAACGACGGCCTCGGTCTACCCATCGGATTAAGGCTGGATCATGGAAGCGTGCTTCGCGAATTTAGTAGCCAGATTGGAGACCAGCATATCCCCCAAGGCGGAGGTAATCGTTAAGTTAGTATTGCATTGACTTAAGTACCCGTTGGTGGTAGTCTCCTATACAGTCTATAATTGGAATATTTCATAGAACTCGTCATCATCCATTTGCATTAGAAATGGCTGTGCATCAATTCTGCTGAAATTAGGTGTTCTCGTTGTTTTCATTGAAATCCATCCTCGTCCAGCGATCTTTGCTTGCAAGTGTCACTATCTTGGTAGTGACACAATTGGACCACACCCATACGTACACACATATCTGAATGTGTGCTCAGCTGCTTGTCATTAGCTAGAAGTCACTGGGTCAATTTGCTCCAAACCATATCCACAACAACACAAGTTTCGCAAAACAGCAAGTTTACATGCTAACAATGCAAGAACTACTAGGTGTGTTTCAGCAAACCAGACAAATAGACGGTCCATGTTTCTAAACTCTGTTATATATAAACAGATTCCATGAAACCAGATCTCAAAGTCTAATCTCATCTTCAAAGCATCGAGTGCGCACTATGCACGGTTGACCCCTATCTGACGTCCAGCAGCCGATATGATCTCGTCCGATAAAAAAAGACAAAGGACTTCGGAGTTGCCGAGGCAGGCATCTCCTCCATCGGCTTTCACACAGTCACGAGAACGCCGCCTGTCTCCGAGAGCGCTTTCTTCCTCTTCCTCTTCCTCTTCCGCCCAGCCACAACCAGCTCGTCGAAGACAAGATCACCCCTGTGCCGCATCGTACCAGACAACTTGTCAACCGCGAGAGCCCACTCCTGCGCAATCAGGTGCAGAGGCTGCCGGATCACCCCGGTCTTCCCCTCCCGTGCATCCAGGATCGCCAGCCGGCATTCCCTGTCCACCACCAAACACCCCTTCTACACAACCAGGTAGAATACCCCTACGCACCGGATTGACTCCCGTGAAAGATGGGTGTCTAAGTATGGGCCACATGCTACCGTGGCGGTACCAGTGTGCGGACCTCTTCGACTGTGCCTGTGGCCTGGGCTGTGGACGTAAAGATTGTAGGTGGTGTTTGTATGCTCGGCATCTGGATGGGTATTGTCATCTTCCTTAGTTCCTTGGAGCAGGTCTTTCTCATTGGATGGTGTACAAGCCTGGGGACACATCCTTGGACCTCAATAAGGTCATTCTTCACGTAATAATGAACAGTATTAATATCTACTACAGCATTATTCTTGTCATAAAAAAAACAGAGAGTCAAATCAATAACTTTTACAAAGATTAAATTTTATACAAGACCTCAATTTTGTTAAGAAATGAATGAGTGACCGTCTCATGCCGAAAAGATGGACTCGATCACTTGGCCCTTCCCAAAAAACTGTCATGACGTGCCATGACAACTCCGTCACAATATTTTCCTATCCTTTTCCATCCCAGTCCCCCAACCCATCTAAGGAGCTCACATACTCTTCCCAATCATATCAAACTCCTCCTTCCATTTAACATACTTCTCCACCCTCTTATAAGGATCCTTGTTCAGCGCCACGCTATCAATATACAACCCACCATTACCCAGCATCAGTGTTCCCTTGGCCAGAACATCACCACTCTTCCCAATCACATCAACAGTACCGGGTCCGTCTTCGCTCGGTCCTCTCGGGTCGCGGTATATGGTAACTGGTAGATTCTTACCGGGGCTGAAGAAGAAGCCGGGATTGGAGCGAACATCGGCTGTGCCGGGGAAGGGCTGCAGAGCCGCCTCACGCACGCTATCGAGGCAGCAGATGACGCCGCTGGCGAGCTGGTCCGTGCTAAGTGGCTTATCGATCTGCAACTTGACCCGCTCGGCTGTGAGTTGAATGTTGGGTGCGCGTAGGAGGATGTGATCGATGTTCGCCTCCGTCTTGGTGCCGTAAAGATAGAAGGGCATGCATCGGGATGGATACGAATTCTCCCGGTGGTAGGAGATCAGCGAGCGATCCTTGACGACTTGCTTGACTGTTGCTATCACATCCTTTAGGAGGATGCCGCTGGAAACCAAGACGTTAGCCTCTCTGCACGCTGAATCGAGCGGAATCAGTGTAATGCTTACGATTCCCTGCTTGTGATCGAGCCCCGGAATTCCCCACCTTGCGATGTAATGTCATCGAGTTTGACCTTTGTCGCTGTGACGAATGTGATGGACTCGGTGGCATTGGCATTTTTGATACTGACGTAAGCCTCTTTCGCCTTCGCCGGCAGATTCACTGCTAGGATAACCTGCCGACGGTGCTTTGCAACATGGAACATGGGGAGGTGAACAAGATAGACATTTTCAATTCCTTGCATTAGGAAGTTGTGATAGTCTCCGTTGATCTTGTTGCGCTCCTGGCAAACCTAGATAGTCCATGTTAGCATAGAGGCTTTCTCCAACCGGTGTATGAAATGATTCACCTTTACTTCCTCTGCAACCACGCACTTCAACGTCCCTGCTAGCTCACTGAGAGAATTTCGATCGGTGGGGAATGGGGACATAACAACGTTGCGGACAACCATCAGGTCCATAGTACACGGTTTCAGCCCCAGACGTTCAGCGTACTTCTCCTTGCACTCGCCGTATAGCTCGTCTGAGAACACCGTTGAGGTAAGGACAATCGGAATTTTAGTAGGGTCATCTTCGGGCTGGTCGACCGAGAGCCTTTCTACAACGCGGTGCATTAGATAGTTCGCCTCTTCCATGTCATCGTTCAATGTGCCATCCGTGTGACGCCAGTTGAAAGCTATCCCATTTATGTTGAGGTCGGATCCAAGAGCCCGGAGCAATTGCATGGCTTTCTCATCATCAGGTCTCTCAGCGTCTTCCTGTACGATTTGCGCGTTCGATTTGTTGAGGATTTGCTCCCGAATACGCTGCTTCTCTTCCTCGACCATTTGCTTGGTAGATCCTTCCTTGAGCTCAGAAGGAAGCATATTCAGCGGAACGCAGATGAAGCTATCTTTCTCTGTAGTCATAGCAGCCCATTCGGCCGACAGCTATGGCAGAGAAAAGATCAACAAAGGGATAAACAGGGGTGATCTCAGTGATGCTTACCCTACTACAAGTGAAAGTGACCTCTCGGAGAAGCGCACCGTAGCCATCTGGCGTCAACCCAATTATAACGTGTGAGAGCCAAGTGGACATTGCTGATGCCCCGGGCTTACTTCCTTCTACTCCGTAAATGCCGATGCTGGTGAGAGTTCCACGTGACAGAACCGGACTGGTCCAGGTTACGAGGAACCGCATACGCTCATCTCGGTAGCAGAGTCCGCCAGCAGGATAGGGTATATATCCAGCTTTATGCGGGTCGACAGTGATCGAGTCAGCAAATCTCAACGCAAAAAGATCTTCCTGCGTTTCAACACGCAATCCAGAGTCCGGTACGTAGCCTTCACCAGCTCCCACATCTGTTGGCATATTGACGATGTCCCCTGGATGATAATCTGGCGGAAGCATGGAACAAAAGTAGCCTCCCCATGCCGCATCGGCGTGTACCAGAAAAGACAGGCCTCTTGCTTGGAACCTTTTCCGCAGAGCCAGGACGCCTGAAAGTGAGTCTACAGATCCTTCTTCGGTAGAGCTATCTTGAGTCAATATTTTACACGAACCCAAAACCTTTTGAGAGATGCGCGTACCCGATGATGGCGACCACCGCGTAGACCGCACGTTGCTCAGAAAGACTCTCCTCTAGGTGCTTCTCCAAGTCCTCGAGGTCCAGGCGAGCGGCACAATCGGCTTTGACACCGACAACGTTATCAGATCCGATGCCGACAATAGCTGTGGCGATCATAAGTAATGAAACTTCTCCAGTTGACTAGATGGGAAACCTGGGACTGACCGCTTGCTTTCGGCCACGAATAATGCCGTGTCTTAGACAGAAAGTATCGCATCGGTTTTGTAATACCGTACTTCTGTTCGAGTATGGCTTTGCCCGTCGATTGAATGTTGTACTTGTTCTGATGGTTGAATGAGTCAGATTATCATTCAGTGCATTCACATAGAGGACTTTTTCCGGAGAAGTACCATAATGTTCGACATGAAGGTGGAAGAGATCCCGTATTCCTTGTATATTCGATCGGTAAGGTCCAGCACCGTGTAAGGCTTGAGATTGAGCAGCTCCCAAGTCGAAAGCTGAGCGAAGGGTTTCTTCTCGCCTTTGCAGGTTTCGACTTGGAAAGTCTCCGCGATGAAGTCTAGAGGCTCGCCCTTGGCCATTGCCTCTCGGAGGGAAAGCGGGTAGAACTTCAAATTGCGAGCTAGATGTGTAGGAAGCTGGTCAGCCATTCACAAGAACCTCATCAGCCTATTCATGTAATCTTACCAACCCTAGACACAAAGACACATGTTAGTGGTTCATTGCAGTGGAGGCTGAGGCTGATCGTACCAAATTGATTCAAGATTCGCAATCGTTCCATCGCAAGTGATATGGCCCCACGATGTTGGAAAGTCCCTGTTCTCGGGGTCGATATTATACCCAAATAGTTTACAAAGTTGCAAGCCAGCCTCGATCTCGGCTACTGTAGTAAGTGGGCTTACTTCGATAGCAACGTTGTTCGGATTGTATAGCATGGTCATAAAGTACCCGAGAAGAGAGGGAATACTCATGTCAGTGCACATGTGGGCTTCGTATCTTGGGGACCAGAACGGCAACGAATGCTTGCCCAGCAGCCGTGCGGCAGTTCTGACGGCATTCTTGACTTTCTGGGTACATTGTTGAAATACTTCTGTGTTCTGTACAGCTTCGGAGATGAATTTCTGCGCAAGGCATGAATCACATTAGCTCCTTGAATCAAGAGCGAGGACGCGATCAGCATAACAGTATGACTCTGCTGATTCATGTGATTGTGGAAAGAAGAGAGAACAATATACTCCATCTTGAGGGAAATATCTATGCCTCGTTGCAACCAATTCATCGAGAATAGTGGAGATATTGTCCCTGAAGTACGAAATATTCTCGGCTTGAGGTCCGATGAAATACGAAGAGATCGCCTGATGAGATTTGTCCTCGGACGGGGCTTTCATCGAACAAGTATTATCTGAAGCCATCGTCGCTGATGAGTTCAGATCATCCGAATGCAAATGCCTGCAAAGGAAAGGATAAGGGCGGTATTAAGGAGATTTAAATCAGCAGATTTGGAGCAGATCAGGCTGAGACGCTGAAACCTCCCCAGATTAGGTGAGTACATCCGATTGAGCTCAAGATTCCTGGTCAGAGGGGAAGAAGCATACATATATCTCTCTCTCATCGATATTCTTTATGGGTAGGCTTCTTTAGGACCAAGCTAATATCACAGGCATCGAGCGAAAAATTCTCAACCACATTGCATGCTGAGGGATTTATCTGCATGCAAGTGGAAGAATAATAGTTTTTCACATGAATGGGCAAGCTGATCCACATATTTCTTGCCCTGTTAGATTCCTGCGCCTGTGAATGGCTGAGAAAGAAAAATGAGGGAAGCTCGTTGTCTAAGTCCTGGAGCCTGGTGCAGAGGAGCAGCTGGACAAGACGTTCGAGCTCCGGGCAATCACACAGAGCAGCATGTACGAGTGAATAGAATTAATAGCTCAAGGTGAGATATTACCTTTCCATTGGCTGATCTGGGTCGAAGTGTAGCTACGTAGTTTGACGTGTCATGACAGCGTTGGTCGTGGGTAGGAATGACAAGATAGGTATGCACTATAAATTTTGTATGGTGTGGTTGCACTGAAAGAAGGTTCCGATTTCAGATCTGCAAAATGACAGACCCAGTACAATGATGTACAGATGCAAATGCACAGCGATCCGAATGGAGAAGCTGAGAGTTTGATGGTGATGGTGTGTACAAAGTGAACAAGAGCTAGAGTTTGGTATCGAAAGGCTCATGTAGGAGAAGACTGAGGCCAATCCGTTGAATTTCTTAGGTGACGTCCGAAATAAAACAAAGACTTTATAATGATGCAAGTATATCTGAGTTACTTACCAGGAGAAGGGGTAATAAAAAACGTGGGCTAAGTGCTGTTAGTAGGAATAGCAACTATTATTCTGTCAAATAAGGGCCATATTAGTATGATCAGAAAGGCATATTTTGACTACAGTAGGACCATATTTTTGACAAATAACGCTGTAAATGATGAAATCTCATTGGATTACAGATGCCTTAGCTACATATCCTGGTACATTTTAAGCAATCCTACAGTCAGGCTAACTTTAAGCGCACTTTAGCGGCTCTCTTACCATCTTTTAAAGTGGGCTTCTTCCTGCCAAGTAGTAGTTACTAAGTACTAATTTCAAGTTCCGCCCAGAGGATTTTTGTCTTGGCGGATCTTGTTCTCGCGATCCAGATGATGCTGACCCTGAACATCGGGCACGAAATGCGTAGACATGTTGGATATGATGTTGAAACATTGGCAAGAACCTAGAGCTCTTTCCTAAGCCGTCCCAAGCTCTGCTAAGTCTGATCACATCCTCGTATCACATTTGATGTTTCACGCTTCTCAAGAACTACTACATTCAAACTACTGATGCTGCGACAGATTGAGTATGACTACTAGTATGGACTGGTCACTTTGCCTGGTAAGCCGATTATCACAAACCCTTATCACGTTCGTCCCAGTCCAGGCAAACTTGGTATTGGTCCTCCTCGATCTCAGTCATCGAAAATTTCACACCCTACACAGAATTGCTTCGTCTCATCACATCAGCAATAGCCAAGTATGGGCGGTGGGTACAGCGCAAGACAGGACATCGCGCGTCCAATCCAACAACACCGGACGCCTCAAGATCAAGACTTGATCCGCCTCTTCTCATCCGCCACCACTTCTTCTTCCTCTTCTTCTTTGTCGCCATCTCCTTCTTCCTCCCCCTCTCCTCCATCTTCATCCCCTCCCTCCTCATGCACACGGCCTCGAGCACGCACAGCAACCGGCGATCCAGGACCCGTCACCACTGCTGCTGCTGCTGCTGCTGCTGTTCCCTGGCGGCGAGTCCCACATTTCCCTTCTCCCTCTGCCTCTTCCTCGTCATCTCCTCGTCCCTCTCCCTCGTCAAGGTCATCAGGCAGATCGAGTCTCACATCAGGAGCAGGAGCATCAGCAGCACCACCACGCAGCGAAACGCGACCGACTTCGACCGTTCCCCGACCTCGCAGCGCAGTCGCGAGGGGATGCGCAAGCATTGGCCATATGCTGAAGGCGCATGAGCAGTGTGGAGTGAGCAATTGTGCGTGTAGTGTTGGGTGCTCAGAGGGGGGATGCGCGATCTGTTTGGGTGTTGTGGCGTTGTATATCTGATGGATGCATGACTTTCCTGCCCAGCTAATAAGTTACCATGTAAAATAAAATACTAGCTCGACATGTAATATACGTAAAACAATCGAGAAACTTGAGCACACGGTATGACTAGTCTTAACTCGGTCGGCTGAAGGACACGGTGTCGGTTCTATTTTATTAATGGACGAAAGGTGTGGCCATGGTCTGGTATGGTAGATATCCCTCCTAACTCTCATGTGACGCTGGAGATGGAGAAGATACCTACATGACCGACTGTGAATACTACTAGTAGTAGCCTCCGGGGTATCAATTTAATACGCACTCACAGTTCCCACTTTCCACCGGCGTGGACTATGCTAGTCAACCTTACTAGCAAACTCCTCCGTCGACCACCAGCCCACCATCTCAGGCTCGATGGTGCCGATCTCCGTGCCACCCAGCGAAGTGTAAATGCAGTATCGCCATGCGTTGCAGATCGAAGCTGTGGAAGAGGCAGGAAGGTGTTTGCTTTCAAACGCTTGTAGTTTCCAAGACATGGTGTCTACGCCGAGGAGTCTATCCCACTAGAGCAGTCGAAAGCACTGCTGTAAATATCGAGCTGGTATCATGCACAATGTAGGGACAGGAAAGACCAAGAAGCTCATTGCCGTTGGAGTCAAGGTCTTCACGATCTGAAGCTGTTGAACCATGAAAATACAATAAGAGGAAACTACCCAGAGGCCATAGACATGTGAACATAGAGACCAACCCGGCGTAAGCCATATATGTGAACAGGATAGCAGCGGACACTCACAAAGGGTGAATGCGGATTTATTCAGATGGCGGTGAATCTACCCTTCTGGCTAGAGGACGGTACATGAGTACTATACTGTAGCTGCGATGTCTTTCGTAGACATGTTTGCCGTGCCTTTGCTCGAGGACGTATAGGTATACAAGGATCGAGCGCCAATTTTCGGCCCATGTATGCTGCCAGCATACCGTGAGAAGACCAAGCTCTATCTCACAAGGATGTCTCTATTTCTGAAGCCCCTGAAACTGTATCCTGGCAGTTGGCCCGAGGGTGTCGAGAGAGGTTTGACCGAAGTGTATTGCTCTACATCACGTGAAGAACAATCTTTTCTGCCTATCATCGGCAATGAGTGAGCTTTTGGAAGCAAGCGCTTTCCTCTTTCTAGGTCTTTGCTGGTTGGCACCTGCATCACCACCACCACCACCACCACTACTGTCGTATGATGAATATTCCCTGCGTGGATCCAGGGTACTGTGTCCAGCAACAGCTTCTTTGATCGTTTGCTTCGAAAGACAGAAGTCAACATGAGAATTAAACGCATTGTTGTTGTCCGCAGGCTGAGGAAGCGCACAGATAGGGCAACTCCAGGTTTCCGTTTGCTGGACCACGGTCGTTGGTGACTTCTTCATCTTTGCAGCCGAGTTGCGGAGATGATTGGTTTTGTAGCGGCCAAAAGGTTCATGAAAATCAATATTGTTGGGTTCAGGGCTTTGGTGTTCAGTCTGCTCTTGACTCAACCGCTCCAGTTCATCCATTTCATTTAGTCGTTCTTGACGGGCAGATTCTTCGAATTCAACCTCTGGGAAGACTTGCCAGCCATCGTCATCCAAGTTATCCTCTGCACTGGATGACTGCTTAGGTGCTGGACCGAAAAAGTTGCCAACCTCTTTCTTCGTGCTGACAAGGTGCGTACACCTCAAGCCCATCAACCGTAGTTTCATATTGGGCATTTCCTTTTCCAGTTTAGCCAGCATTGGTAGGGAGTAGTTGTAGAGGTCATCAGCAGTGTGTACCGCCTTTGGAGTTGTCAACTGTCGAGTAAAAACCTCGTAGGTGTGAAGCTTGATCTTCAGTACCAATGTTCTCCCTTTAAACCCTACCCTCAACATGTCCTTCTCCAGTTCCTCAGCAGTATGCCTGAGTTTCTCCCTTAATTCGGATTTAGTACTGATATCTCTGAAAGTACTCTCTGTCCCTACGCTTTTGCGTTCATACTCATCAGAGGGCCGTACATCCGTCCTGCCCAGGCCCAGATATGTCTGAATCAGGAATTGGAACGCCTTCTCACCAAATAGCTTGTAGAGGTATGCTCGTTGAGAGTAGATCTCGCCACACGTCCTCACACCGATGGCATCAAGCTCTCTTTCAAAGACTCTTCCAACACCATTGACCTTCCGAACCGGCAAGGTCGACATGAAGGTCATGATCGCCGTACGATCGCTTGGGACACAGAACTGACCGTTGGGTTTGTTCTTATTGGAGCAGATTTTCGCAATCTTGGCATTACAGGCGATACCAGCAGAGATTGTGATCTTGCATTTCTCCTGCACTTCAGCTCTCAGTTGAGCAATGGCTGCTTCAGGAGCAATATCATAAGTCGAGCAGTACTCGGTGATATTGAGATATGCTTCGTCGATGCTAGAGCTCTCGAAGCGTGGGTCATAGGCAGCAAGAATCGCGCGCACTTCCTTGGCCTTTGCAGTATACTTGTCGAAGTTCAGCGGCAGACAGATCAGCTGGGGACACAGCTTTTTGGCTACGAATCCGGCCATCGCACTCCGGCAGCCGAACTTGCGAGCATGGTAATTGCAGGTCGTAAGCACACCTTGTCCAACCGCGAATGGTACGTCCTTGAGCTCAGGATGGTCGAGCTCTTCCACAGCGGCATAGAATGCGTCGCAATCGATGTGGACAATCGTCTGGGATAGGTCTCGCGATAATTCAAGCGTCGCAATGTAGTCGTCCGCACGGCGAAGATCTGCCTTGAGGTCCAACTTTTCCAGCTGAGCTTTTCGCTTCAAAATTCGCTCAATCTTGGTGGTGAGTGTCTTGTCTTTGCTTTCTTCATTGTTGAAGAACTTGGAACCTTTTGACGCCTCGTAAATCACCTCCGAGACTTTCTTCTGGTCTACCGCATCCTGGCCGGCCTTGGTAAGAGATGGTCCGAGAAGGTGATGTTTCAGGGAATGATGCTGTGACGCTTGCGGAGCCTCGCTGGTGGCATCCTCGGCGACAGCATCATGATCTTGTGTCGGGTGCACATTCGACTCTTCAGCCCTGTTGATGACCTCGTCTGACTCGTCTGAGACAGCTCCATCCGTCCTCATAGCCTTGACTCGGACAGGTCATATTATTGCCGTGTTGCGGTGCGCTGCGGTGCAGCCGGTGCAGTGCATGGTGCATAGGACATACTATTATGTGGTGCTGGAGCCCTGCAGGACGCGCCCAGATCTGAAGCGTGAATCCATGTGTGGAGATCGGAGCTAAACCAAATTGGGTTATGATGTTGACCTGTCGGCAATGCTACAGACAGCGTAATGTCTATGACTCGACCACTCCCTTTTCCGAACAGTAGTCAAGACTGGTTACTGGTTGATGCCGGCAACCATGACATTGTTCGAGACTCGCGACAAAGAATGTCATGATGCGAGATCGCTCGGCCCAGCCTGCGCCCACCAGAGACACTGTGTACTCGACCATGTCCCTCGACAGACAGAAAAGTGGCACACCTGCCAAACCTTTTACCCCAACCTTGAGCACTGCTCTTCGCAATACGAAGAGTCCTTTGACACCTAAGTTAGCTGGCTCCAAGAATGCATCGCCTACCAGCCCTCCTCGTCGTGCTCTACGGTCAGAGTCGACAGCACCACCTACAAGTCGAAAGGAGGACTTCCGGTCACCTGCTACCCCGACACTCAATGGGAATATCACGCCACGATCCGGGGCTCGAATGTCTCGAATAGGCGGCGAATCTCCTTCTACACCTGGTGACAGCACTACAGGGACACCGTCGAGGACACGACCATTGTCGGCAATCGAGCTCTCAAAACCAAGGCGATATCTTGGAGCAACTACAGGACTGGGTATTGATGCACTTGGGGTCAAGCAGAACACCGGCGCAGTCGCACCTACTCTGGCTACAGGCCGGTTGGTGTCGAGTGAATCGGGTAGACGGGTTTCGACAGGGAGTGCACGAAATGGAGCTGGGATGTCTGCCTCTCCAAGATTTGTGCATGCCAACGATATACTTCCATCTTCAGCTTCTAAGGTCGGGCAGATGGTGAAGACCGAAGAGAACACAACTTTCCCATACGCTAGCGATGCAGCAGGAAGGACTAACAGCCCGGAGCCTCTCCAGCCCACACCTCAATCTCTGGAGAAAAAAGACCAAGGCAAGTTTTTTTATGCAGATGGCAGGCCATCAGACCATTTATCACCATCTCGAAACCCTCCCATCGCTGCAAAGGCTGGCCCTGCTGCAACATCTTCTCCACCATCTCGAACCCTCAATATTCAAATAGCAACTCGAGACCTAGATCTACCACCATCACCAACAAAAGCAGAAAGCCTGAGAAGCGCGCCTGCGACATTTAACTCCGGAAGTGGCAAGCCTGTAAAGGCGAGAATAGCTGATGGGTCTGTCAAGCCAACCGCTCCCGTTACGCCCTCTGATAGCTCCCGCCGAACCAGCATCGCCAGCAAGACATCAACCGTACGACAGGTAGGTCAGCGAAGGCCGTCGATTCCAGTTGACTCTACGCCCTCAACACCACCCCAGAAGGCAAAACTGCAAATCAGCCCTAGAGCCTACATAGGCCAAGTTGCATCCCAACAACCAGAATTTCCACAATCGCCAACTGAGCGCATTAGCCCACGATCAACAAGTCTCAGCTCTTCAAACACAGGTGTATCCACCCAGACCCTCGACTCAACACCCGCCAACTCCGCCCACCCTCTCAGCCCAGCAAAGAGTGTGCCGCCACAGTCTCCCTTGCAAAGGTCCAACGAGCTAGCCGCCAACGCGCGGCGAGAGCGGAAAGTCCTGGATTTAGAGATCAGTAACTCCTCCCTCCTTGCAATCAATCGTACCCTCGAGCGCGAAATGCGCAAGCAGTCTCTTGAACTGCGCAAATTCCGTCGCCGCAGCCGGTGTCGCCAAGTCTCGACGGCGTCTACCGCCATGAGATCTGTATCCGGACAGTCCGGACTGGGCACCGTCGCCGAATCAGAAGATGGCGATGGCGATGCTGAAGGCGAGTATGGCAGCCTCTCCGACCTGGGCGAAATGAGCAACTCGGAGTTCGATGGGTCGGACCCAGAATCTGCATATGACGACGACTCATCCCTCCTCTCACCCACATCTCCATCAGAACGCTCCCTCCGTGCCCGCACAAGAGACGAAAAACGCCTCCGTCTCGACCTGAGCAGACACCAACAACTCCTCATCGACAGTCAGAAGATGAACCAAAGCATCAAGCGGTGTCTGAACTGGACCGACGAACTCATCAACGAAGGCAGGAAAGCCCTCGAATACCAAGTCAAGGTCAGTGATGTCCAAGTAGGAGGGAAAGTGCTGGTGCCTGATGAGGAGGAGGATGAGGGTGGTGGTGGTGGTGTTGATGGCGGGAGCAGTGAGAAAGGGCTGCTGAGTGCGGGTAATTTGCTCCCAGTCTCGACTCCAAATGAAGTGAAACAGGAACGGAAGCTGTGGAGACAGGGGCTCGAGGAGATGGAAATGGAGGTCGACAGGATGTTGGCGCAGTCGAGTACGTTGAAGGAGGTTGTCCCTGCTTAGTGAGGGCATTGGTCACCACTACCAC